CCCCCCCCCCCCCCCCCCCCCCCACTTCCTCCGCCTCAGCCCAGCAACACGCCATACACCAACCATTCTCGCTCCACCCCCCGGCAGCAGTCCATACGCCATCATTATAAGTCAATGATGCCCTTCTTCATGCATCAATGAATTTGAATGGCACCCACCATTCCTACACAATGAAGCACACCCGCAAGACAAAAACAGAGCAAGGGGATCCGCACCCCGTGAAACTGCCACCACTATAGTCTCATGTCTCAGACCTCCTCGCATATACCGCCGTCTGTCACTAAAGCGAGACAGGCAACAGTTTCTTCTTTCATGTGGTTGTCTCGCCTTTCACTCGAGGAGTCTTTTTTTCTCCCTCTAAAGGTGCGGAGGTCCTCGCACGTAGAAGAAGAAGAGAAAACGAAAAAAAAAAAGAAAAAGTAAACGGTAAGTGTTTACCCAACAGATCAACAAAGAGGGTAAGAGGCAGGTACAAAGCCCCACCCCCACCCCTCTCAACGATTTCCATCCCAAAGCCAAGACTCACCTGCCACACACCTGCCACCCCTGCCACCCCTGCCACACACTTGCCACTTGCCACCTGCCACCTGCCACCTGCCACCCTGGCAACGCTTTCTGTGGAACGCACGTCAGTCTAACAGCACATACCCAGACACGACATACACGTGACGAGGAATGGACAAGTTGAGTGAGAGGAGAGAATCCCCATGGGCCAAAAAGAGCAAGAACAACTGAACGGCGCATTGTTCCAGCGCCGCCGCCGCCGCTCTTGCACCCAATGAGAAGCAAAATCTATTTTTTTTTGGCGATGATCCCGGTTTTTCTTTGTTCTTCTTCCCTTCGACCGCGCCAGAACCAATCAAGGCCTAAGCGCGCGTCCGTTTCGAAGACCATGGTGAATATAGCCGCAGCGAACGATGTTTCCACCTGAGCTAAACTATTTCGCTGTCCCGCCGTATGAATGCTGACGACATGGATAGGCTGGACCATCTTCTTCCCCCCCTTTCTCTTTACTCGGACAACCGGAAAAAGAACCATCCATTCCCGCCGTAATTTCCTCCGTCTATGAGTTGAGTTGTAAAATAAATAGTGACAAATCTGCGTACCGTCTGCTTCTCGTTGATGACGATACCGATTAGCGGATCGAGCCCTGGATGTTGAAAACCATGCTGGCGCTCGTCCTGCTTGATGGCGTGAACAGCGCCACAAAGACGTGATGAATCCCAATGTCGTTCCTTCCTTCGTGAGGGTATAATGTGCCCTTCAAATAACAAATCCCAATCATCAATATGCTCCTGTGAAAACTTCACCCATGCCATTCCCAACTGGAATGGCGTCTTCCAAGAATGCCCAGGTAGTCATTCCAATACACGAAACCAAAGACAACATGCTCTCCTACAGTCAGCGCTTGACCGTGGTAGGAGTTGAGGTAATTCGCTGTCGACATGAAGACTCGTGACCAACATGAACGGGGTGGCGGCTCGGGTACGAGGAGCCTGCGCTGGCCCCGTGACCAGTAAAACGCCAAGGTAGAAGTGGACCACAAGAGGTCGATACGAACAACGTTTGAAAAAAGCAAGATGCGAGTGGTGAGTGTAGAGTCCGTACTGCAAAGTGGGCAGCAATTATTAAAAATCGTAAGGTTGGCCGGTCAATATGATGTTAGAGAACGGATGGTCGCTGGGCAGGTGGCCCGGCACAATTTGGTTGTATGGTGACGTCGAAGATTACATCGAGCCCATCTTGAGCAGCGCCTCGATCGCTTCTCTCTCTTGCGGGTTTTGTTGAGCAATGCTGGTCCAGCCGGCGGGTGCGGCGCCGGTGAGGTGGGGCGCGCGTTCTTGGTAGCTTACGGAGACGCCTCGGGGGCTAGCCCTACTCTTCATGTACGCGTTCGCAAAGCTACGCGGCTGTGGCGACATCCTTGCTCGGGCTGTAACGCTCCTTGACAGCTGATTATAGTCCCTCATGACACCGCCGCCGCCCAAGCCACCACCAAGTCCGCCCATGCTGCTCTGACGTAAGACCTGAGCGCCGATACCGGCCCAGTCTTCTTCGTCTGTAGCTTCGTCTTCCTCATCGAGTTCGATATCGTCATCCATGTTCTCCGGTGCGGGCGGAGAATCGTAACCAACATCATCGCCGTCCATAGACATCTTGTCGGCCTCGTGTTCGGCCATGTTCATGTCGACGTCATAATCGGAGGCGTCATGACCACTCATCGCAGAGCTGGCAGCCCAGCTACCGGAATAGAGGTCCTCGCGGCGGGCGAACTGGCCGTGGCCCATGCGTGGGATACGGAGACCGTCCGCGGACATGGCGTAGCTGTCTGGAACGCTGGCAGGGGGCGAGAAGGCCGACTGTCTCATGCTGTTGACCGGGATACCGCTACCGGTGGGATTGCGCTCCGGGCGCGACTGGCCCATGATGTACGCATCCCAGCGGCCCCAACCAACCTTCTCGAAGACAATCTCGCCTTCGGAGATTGCACTGCTACCAACAGTGCGGCTCTCTAGCGCAGCTACAACCAACCTGCGCGCCTTGGCTTGTGGTATGCGAGAGAAACCCGGAACAGACTGCGCCAGGTTCATGAGAACATGGCGGATGGCCACGGGCCCATTGTTCAGCAAGATATCTGGGAGGTGATGCTTGGCGAGCATGGCTGGAGTAATGGTATCGGCGGCCTCGAGGCCCGAAAGGGCGGCGCTGGAGAGTGGCGCAGGGGCCGGAGGCTGTTCGGCGTCGAGCAGATCGACGTCGGAGTCGTTCTGGCCATGAGGGTGGGTATGGGGGACGGAGGAGGAGTGCAGCTTGTGCTGCGGAGGAAGGGTCGGAGAGATCGAGTTCGGCGGCGTAGGGAGCATGGCGGCTCGGTGGTTGCCCGGGGCGGGATCGTAAGGCTTGGGGATTTCGACCGAGGAGGACTGGGAAGCGAAAGCCCTCGCAAAGGGAGAGACAGGCTTGCTAGGGGCGGTGAATGCCATATTGGGAGGCAGCGCGGTGGGTTGTCGCTTCTATAAGTGCGAGGAATGAGTCAGCGCGTTGCGGCGAGCGGTAATAGGAGAGGCGGCGGGTTCTTTGTGCCCGACAAAGGGGAACCCACGTAAGCGTCAAGCTGCAGGGACGTGTCTTTCGCAGGCGCAGAGTGTGCGACGGTTTGTCGGCGCGTGGATGAAGACGGCGAAGCAGTTGCGGAGCGCTGCGTCGGCCGGATGCAGAGGCGCGTTGCGGAGTGGCTGGCTGCAAGGCTGCTTGCTGACTGGAGCTGAGCCGCAGGGGTAGAGCTAGGGGCGTCGGTCGCAGGCTGTCGCTTTGCTGGTTTCGATGTCGCGGGAGGGCGGATTCTGGCGTGTCTTTGTGTTGTGTGCTGCGGAGGTCTGGAAGGGTGCCGACGGTCGCAACCTGGGCAGTTCCTTGGTTGTTGCTCTGCTGTAGCACGGATCAGGCGGGCCTACCAGCCTGCGCCAACAGGTGCGCCAGAGGAAGGCACACTGGCATGATGGCGCGATCTGATTGGCGGCGACGGCAGTGATAACTGACCAAGATGGCGGGCGCTGATTACGGGGCCATGGATGGATTAGCTGGATTAGCTGGATTAGCTGCACCTCCTCTCCCGGCTCGAAGATGCGCGCGTCCCAGGCTTCAGCCGTAGGAGCGCTCAGGGACCGCGCCGTCGCAGGACCCTGCGCGTATGCTCCCGCCCTGCACTGCGTCCCGCCCTGCACTGCGTCCCGCTGGGCAGGCTGGACAGCACTCCGCGATGGCGGCGACGCTGCCTCAGGTGCGCGGCCGTGGCGCGGTCGCAAGCCTAACGTCACGCGCAGCGCTCCCCTGCCGGGGGCCAGCTCCGTGGCTCCCACATCCCACTCTCCCGTGCAGATGCGGAGCGCAACGGAGGATCCACCGCCGCAAGCACGTTCCCACGGCAATGCTCGGAAAGTGGATTCGCAGCGCACCAACGGCACTTTGAAAACTGCCCAACACCATGCGCCCGTTCCCCGCACACCGAGCCCGCCCGAGCGCCAAGGCGCACTGCGCGATAATGCCCACACTGCGCGGCAAAAAAGCAGCCAGCGTGTAGCCAGCGCGTAGCCAGCGCTCCACGTGCCCCTCTTCGCGCTCCTCCGGCGAAGCCGCAGTCGTCACTGCGCCTGCTGCTGGAGCACGTATTTCCGCACCGCCTGCCGACCATGAGTTAGCTTGCTGTGGCCTGATGCGGAACCAAACAGAAATCGACGATTGTGCGTGACCAGTGCGCACACGTGTCGCGCCTTGAAACCGTTGCGGTACTCACGTCCTTGAGCCGGTGGATCTGTGCCGTCGTACGCACATACACCTCGCGATACTGCTCTAGGCTCTGATGAACGACATCATGCTTTGTCGTGGACCCGGCGCAAATGGCGCGCATCTGCTGCTCCATCTGTTATGCGTGCCCCGCTTAGCGTCAGTCGTAGGATTCCCACAATCCGCCTGCCCGAAATTCCAAAATTCAAAAACCACCAAAGAGGGAGATCGACGCACCTGTTTGCGCAAGAACGGTTTGCTCAAACTCGTCTCGAAGCCTACGTCGTCGTAACCAGTGATCAATGCCACGCCCAATGTCGTCGGGATGAACTCGTGCATGCCACTGCCTCCTCCACGGGTCGCCGCAGTGCTGCCTCCTCGTCCACCACGACCCCTTCCCCTGCCCCCTCTGGCCCCTCTTCCGCCCCGGCCACCAGGCGCACCTTCTTCCAGTTCCTCACCGCCGGGGTTGCCAGGTCCACCGCCTCGGGGTCGAGTCATGACATATTCGCGCTCCTTGATTTTGGCGATGTGTTCGGCCATGGTGGCATCCGTGCCGATGCCGTTCGCGTCCATCAGTGATATCAGCTCGGGTTCCGTCAGGTACCCTGGTGGGCTCGTCTTGCCCTCACCCATGTTGGCCTCGGTGGGCTCAAACTCCTCGCCTACGGTGAAGGTTGGAAGCTGCTGGCTGCTTTCCCATTTATCGTAGGGATATACGTCGAGGTAGTTGCGCTCGAGCACTTTCAACCCGTGTGTGCGGAACGTCTCGCTTCCGTACAGGATCTCGATGTCCGTCGCCTCGCCTTTGGCATCTTCGGAACAACACGCCAGGAACCGACGGACCACGAATTCGTATACTCGTCGCTCATTTTCGTCGCGAAGGGCTGTCTTTTCCACAAAGTTGACTGGGTGGATTGGAGGGTGAGCTTGGTCATTGTTACGTCCGTTCCTCGGTTGTTGGAAACCACCTCCAGTCAGGTCTTGTGCGTACTGTCCCCAGTCTCTTGATTGGTGCTGTTTTTCGATGATCTTCTTGAGGTCCATGCCCTTATCAAACTGATCTGTTTCCGTGCGAGGATAACTTATCCAGCCGTTTTGATAAAGCTTCTCGGCAGCTTTCATAACCGCTTGACTGTCCATGCGGAGATAACGACTGCCCATCTTCTGGAGTTCAACCGTCGTCAATGGAAAAGGCCGCCACTTTGTCGTGGGTTTCCTCTGCATCTTGGTAACTTTGGCCTTACGAGCTGCTAGGCAGCGCTCGAAGATGATGGTCACAGCCATGCGGTCGAACAAGTGACCGCGGGCCCAGTTGAAGTTGACTTTGATATCCTCCTTGAGGTGCATGACTTTGATATTCCAGAAGGTCTCTGGCACGAAGTTCTTGACGCGGAAATAGCGGTCCACAACAAAACCGAGCGTTGGGAACTGGCACGAACCATAGCTGATGACGCCCTCGCGAGGGACCATAGAGCCCAACGTCTGCGTCTGCATGCGTGTGAAGGCGGCACCAATGCGGAGATCGAGCTCGATTCTAGCAGCCACAGCCTGCGCGGCTCGCTCATCGATTTCGATGGGGTTCCGAGCGGCCGTGATGACGTGAGCGCGCTCGATGTTGCTGAACCTGGCACGCTTCACTTCGATGGTCCCGTTGCCCTTCAGAGCCCACTCGCGTATCTCGGTGCCGATGTGCTCGCCCTCCCGATCGCAGTCAGTCCAGATGAACAAGGCATTGCACCTCGTTGCCAAAGTCTGAATGTTCTGAGCGATCCCCTTTTTGTCATCGGCGACGAAGGTCCGTATAGGTGCCTCGAAGAGGTCGTGAGGTCGGCAGGAGTTCCAGTAGCGATACTGATCGGTGAAGTCCTGGGAGGTCAAGTGGCCGGTGACGGCGGTGAATATGACGGAGCAATTACCCCAGCGCTGGCCGAAGTTGTACATGAACTCATGATTGCTGATGTATTGCGTGCCTCGAACTCGGCTCTGCGTGATGGAGTTAGCGAGAAAAAAAATAGTTGTAGCCTGGCACGACACTCACGCTCTGCATCTGGCGACCAGAAAGGTGCTCAGCGACAGCCTTGGCTATCGAGGGCTTTTCAGCCACGCACAGAACTCTCCGCATGCTGCCAAGCGCATGTCCATGTGGGTGCTGGAGGGAGGGATCGCGTTCGTGGTCGTGGTGAGACGCGCATCCGCGTTTGGTCGGTTTTGCAGCGTCTGGCAGGAACGACGGAGCTTTGACGCGGGGGCCGCCGCTAACGGCAGATCCCTGTGCCGATCATCAATCTCGTCTGGTGGTGACGTCGCGACGTCCCAAGCATCTATAATACACCACAGCTCCCACGCTTCCGTCGCTTTCTTCACACTCTACCCTCCAAAATGCCTCTGGTAGCCCTCAACACAGTGCTGCCGGCAGTGAAGTCCCTGAGCGACTGCGCCGACTGGTCCAAAACCGTCGAGCCCTTCATCCCCCAACTGAAGACGCTGCCCTACGACGTTGCCCAGCATGTGACGAGTCTTGAGGAGCTAAAGGCCATCTACGTGGCGACGAATCCTCTCATCTCTGGCTTCGCGTTTTCCCTGGCCATTGCTCCTCTCTTTCTCCTTGCTTCCGAGATCAACAGGAACTATTCCCAAGTGGATCGCTTTTGGAGTCTCTTGCCGACCTTCTACAATGCCCACTACTCGCTGTGGGCACACCTGGCAGGCGTGCCGGCTGAAAAGGCGGACAACGTATTGGCCTTTAGCATGCTCTGGAGTGTAAGCCTCCTAACCCCGTGACCAAGCATACAGTCACTGATCCAATACAGATCCGCTTGACCTACAACTACTGGCGAAAGGGTGGATACAATATCGGCTCAGAGGACTACCGCTGGGAAATTATCAAGTCGAAGGTCCCTGCTGCTGTATTCTTCCTCTTCAACGTCACTTTCATCTCCACTATTCAGAGCGTGAGTTTGCCACATTTGGCCCAAACATGCGGCGACTGCTGACCCACTTTCAGGTACTGCTGTTCGCCGTAACGGCGCCGACGTATATCCTACTTCTGAGCTCCCACCTCACCGGGGAGGGCATGAGCACATCAGACACCCTCTTCACTCGCGCCCTCATCGCCCTGGTCGTGATTGAGTGGTTCTCCGACCAGCAACAATGGAGTAAGTACCACAGCGCCAAAAAAAAAAAAAAAAAAAGAACCCAAGCCTAACCCCCCCACCACCACAGACTACCAAACCGCCAAGCACGCCTACCTCCGCACCGCCGTCGTCCCCAAGGACTGGCGCCGCGCCGACCTCGACCGCGGCTTCAACGTCTCGGGCCTGTGGGCCTACTCGCGCCACCCCAACTTCGCCGCCGAGCAGGCCGTCTGGGTCGTGCTCTACCAGTGGGCCGGCTTCGCCGCGCGCGCCCACGCCAACTGGTCCGCCGCCGGCGCCCTGTCGTACCTGCTGCTCTTCCAGGGCAGCACCTGGCTCACCGAGCTCCTCACCGCCGGCAAGTACCCCGAGTACGCCGAGTACCAGCGGCAGGTGGGCAAGTTCCTGCCCTGGCCGCTACGCGGCGCGTACAAGCCGCCGACGACGACCGGGACGACGACGACCGGGCCGGCTGGTGGTGGTGCTGCTGCCAAGGCGAAGGCCGGCACGAAGAAATGATTTTGTTGTTGTTGTTGTTGTTATTGTGAAAGGAGGGGAGTGTGATCTGGCTATGGCGATCGCCGTGCAGGTTAGCTGGTCTCCTTTAATATGAGCGTATGTTATTTGGCTTATACCGGCGTTTCCATCTTCGCGGGCTGCCGAAAACAGACGAGTCGTAGTAACATAGTGAACAATCAAAAAATTAATCATCTGCTTGCCCCGAAGGACGCTCCGTTTCTCCTACGTAGGCAGCTGAAGCAGACGTCTAGACAGGAACGCGGGTTTCAAACTGTACCCACGACGTCCATATAGGATTCCACCACCCACGTATAAGGATCACCGATGTAGGAGGCTCAAACGTTCTGCAACGTACTATGAACCAACATGACCCGCTGGTATTCACGCACTAGATCAACGAGTAAATCAAGCAGGCAACTTCATCCATTGTGAGGCTAGTAGCTACTAAAACGAGCGTAACAGAGACCAGTCATCTAGAAACGGACCGCTGACGTGTTCCAAGGCTCGACTGGTGCCATTCACCCGCACGGAACGCGCAAAAAAGGGGTCAGTCCTCATTTCTCAGACGCTGACTTCAGGCTGGGTCGGGACAGCCTTGTCGATGCGGTGGAAGCCGCCCTTGGCAGCAACGTCCTTCTGCAGCTGGGCCATGCGCTTCTGGTCGCCGAGGGGGTCGACGGAATCAGCGTCGAGGGCCCACTCGAGGTAGACGTTGGTGTAGTTGGGCTGGAAAGTCTCGTCGAGGACACCGAGGCGCTTGCCGTAGCGGGTGACCTTCTGCCAGTCGCGGTCGACGTTCTGCAGGTCGCGGCTGAAGTAGGCGAAGCTGCGCTCGAAGATCTTGTGGTTGACGGGCGTCAGTGCCATGACGGGCTTGACGGCGACGTACTCGGTCCAGGCCTGCTCGGGGTGCGCGAGGACGAAGTCGGTGGCGCGCTTCACGGCGCGCAGGAAGCGGCGCACGCGGTCCGGGTTGCGGGCGAGGAAGTCGTCATTGGCGATGTACAAGATGGAACAGAAGCAGCAACAGCCCAGCTCGGCCAGCTCGTCGATGCGCAGCATCTGCACGTCGTCGCGCGGGCGGCCCTGGGCGGCGAGCCACTCCTCCAGCTCCACCATCTGCACGTTCTCCAGCCCGATGCCGGCGTCGATGTGGCCGGCGGTAATGGCGGCCGTGACGTTCATGCCGCAGCGCACGGCCGTGTAGTCGTCAGGCGTCATGCCGTAGTGGCGCGTCAGCTCGTCGATCTGGATCTTGCCGAACTCGCCCACGTAGCCGATGCGCTTGCCCTTGAGGGTGGCGAAGTCGGGCGTGATGCCGCTGCTCTTGAGGTACACGACGCCGGTGAAGGGCTCGTCGAGCAGCGAGCCGATGGACGTGACGGGGAAGTTGCGCGCCTTGGCCGCGAGCGTGTGGATCATGGCCTTGAAGCCCATGTCGACTTTGCCGCTGCCGATGATCTCGGTGACATCCTAAGCGCGGGCCGTCAGCATGGTGGGCATTGGTGATGTGTGGAGTGATGGGCATACGCTGGGGTCGTTGGGCTCAAGAAGCGCGACCTTGATGCCTTCTTCCTGGAAGAAGCCCTTGGCCTGGGCGAGGTAGAGAGGGGCGTGGTAAGGCGTAGCGTGCCTGCATTCACAGTTAGCAAGTTTCTTCTGGCAGCTGCGGGTCAGACGGTTCCTACCAGTTGGTCAGGAACGTGATCTTGTCGGTCGACATTGTGGATGACAGATCAAGCAGACACTGCATTGGTCAATACACATTGTCCATGCAGGGCAGAGGGGAGGGGGAGTCAAAGAAGCATGTTCTTTCGCTGGTATTATCCAGATCAAGTTCACCGGTATTTCTCAGAACGACTGCTCCTCGGCTGCGGTGAGAGTGAGACTCGCCAGCCACAGCAGAGGATGCAGTCGAACACCCGGCATGCGTTCTCCTTTATAGTTACCTTGATCTGCAGACATGTCCATGGCGACAGGCTTCATTGCTCTTTGCTTTTCCATTCTTTCGTACCGGAGCGAATTGGTTTCGAGTTTTCGAGAGTAGTGAAGCGGATGCAGACGGTGCACTGTGAGGGAGAGGGAGATGCGAGACTGAGCAGCTTAAATACTGTGGTGAGGAGGGGTAATAGCGGGGTAGCTCTTGCTAGTTGTGCCCTAAGGCGAGGGTTAATCTGTGGGTCACAACGTACACAGCAGTCGAAGACGACGTAATTCGCGCGCCGGAGGAGCCATCAGAGTACTATGAAGGAAGCAGCATACGTAGCGAGTGGATCGTTACCAAGGCCGAAATGAGCGCACCTTTCCCCAACAGTCGAGGAGGTGGTATGCTCTACACCAATTTCCTCGGAATTCCTGTGTTTCGGCCCCGAATCGAGCCGCCAGTTATGCCAGCTCCTCCATCAATGTTTTTCCGCAGCGAGACAGAAGCAGTACATTTAAACATTTGAGCATTGACGGCATCGCAATGCAGGCGGCCACGCCTGGGGAAGAGACGAGCACGTGCGCGCAGTGCAGGGGCACACACAACGTTACAGTAAAAGACGATCCGCATTATCCGCCGCTGACACAGAAACTTCTTCAGTCCATCCTCACACACGTCAGAGGGCAGTCTTCTTGCCCGATGTCGGGCACAGCGAATCCGCTCGCTCGCCGTACGCAGTATAGCTGTAACGAAAGTGGAGCCCTTTGCACCACCACCTATCATCAGGCCCTCTGCTCCCGCCGTTATGATCCTAGCCTCAAGCACCACCCCTGCACGATCCACGGCCCGCCCGGCAACAATATTGCCAGCGGCCCGCTCCCCCAACCGCTCTCCTCTTTCGGGTCTCCCACGGCCCGATAGCTAAGACATTCGAGTCCAGATGTGGCAGATGAGCGACCTTTTGTGCGTGAATGAAATCGTCGCCGGAAACTAAAATGCGCGGCGGGTGAGACATGGGGTAAAGAGATTGATCCACCTACATGGGCAGCGGAAGCCTATGTCTGGATACATTTGTATTGTTTAACTGCTCGCATCTGCATCCAGACATCTGCTTCTGCTACTCACGAAGAAAAGCGGTTTGAAACCACATCTACGTCGGCACACCTGCTTCGACTGCCCACACAGATCGCCGTGGGCCAATTTCTTTCATCACCCGCTGTGGTGCGAGTCGTGTCGCAAATGCCATTGGACCAGACGCCGATCATGCCGTGCTCGATCCGGGGGTCCCTAGCAATTCGGGCATGTCGCGTGCGATAAGGCTGTTCAGGGATTGTTGCGGACCGTCGGGTTGGTTAGGAGGCAGTTCTGTACGGTTGGTTGCAATAATATCCCTACGCAAGCAGTTGAATCAAATATCCCGACACGGAAATGGGCTCTGATAGCCTTTCTTCGTAGACGTGTTCAAGGTTTCAACTGCTCACCTGGAGGTCTATCCGGACAGCAACTTCAATGATACGAACGTCCAGTGTCAACCTCGTATCACCAACGTCACATGCAATAGGGCCCATGTCAAGGATATTTTAACACGTTTCATCCATATTATTACTGGTGAGGCTGCTTCGAGCCCACTATACCATTTACAGAGAATTCGTGAAGGAAATCCCACCCGACTTTCCAGATTGTCTAACACATACGCAGTAACGCCGTGAGGTGCCAGTTAAAATTATTAGCCGTGGTAATTGTGGATAGATTTTTACATGCCCCAGCGGCGTTGCCAATTGATTGACGCGGCGCCGAGGATGTGAAGCGAGGGCGTGAGGACCGGCGGGCCGGCTGGGAGAGGTCCCAAAGGTAAAGAAAACATAAAACCAGCAACGCTGATTAAAAGGAGGTATAGAACAGGTAAAAGGACGACATCCATCAACAACACATGAACTCTAGCATTACGCGGCTCTAGGCCGGAGGTTGGGACCCTTCAAGGACCCCGACGAGGTTTCCTTTCATTTCCAAACCGTTTCAAAAATTCGTCTACGCAATCATCTCATTCGCACTGCCGCCAAACCATCACTCAACCCTTTAGAGGAGGGAGAAGCCAATGGCAAAGCTGACCAGGCTGATCGTGCTGGTAGCGACCCACCCCTGGCCTATCAGCGACGTAGCAGCCGAGTTGCCACTCTGCGCGAAGCTAGCGCCAGAGCTGCTGGTGGCTGAGGAGCCCGAGGTCGAGCCAGCAGCGGCTGCAGAACTCGAAGCGCTGGCGGCAGCTTCAACGGAGCTAGAGTTGACAGCGACAGTCTTGTTGATTGCCTCGATGCTCTCGAAGGAGCCGGTGGTGTCGGTCCAGTTGTAGTTCATGGCCGGGGTGTAGTTGACGATGGTGACGTTGCGCACATACATGGTGAAGGGAGCCTCATCGAAATCCGTGTATCCGCCGGCCCATTCCACCGTTCCTTTGGCGGTGTTTTTGGTTCCAGCGGACCAGACACCGAGGCTGAGGCGGGCGGGGGTCTGGGGGTAGTTCTTGCCACCCAGAGCGTCCTCGTACTTGAGGGTACGGACGACGGTGCCGTCGATAAGCCAGCTCATGGACGCATTGGTCCACTCAAAGGCGTACTTGTGGAAGGTATCAACCGGCGTCTCGACGTCGTGGAAACCACCACGGTCGTAGCTGGTGGTGTTGCCCTTGCCAAAGTAGTTGGATTGGACGGAGGTGTTGTTGCCACCGAGGATTTCCTTTGAGTTTGTCAGTCCATGCTCAAGGTATGCAAGGGAAGCAGTATTATGGCGTTATGGGGTGAGGGTTGGGGTGGTAGAAGGGGCGGCAACGACTTATGGGAACCGGCAACGACTTACCCAATCAACCTCGTCGAGATCGTCCGACTCCAGGACGATGGAGCTAACGATACCGGTACCAGGGGCAGCCTTCATCTCGACCTCGAAGTAGCCGAACATGGTGTAGAACTCGGTGTGCATGGTGGGAGCATCGGTATCCTTGTTGATGGTGAGCTCGGCACCATCATCGCCGTAGTTGATGACGGTGTAAGCAGCACCCTCCCAGCTCTCGTTCTGGCCGGTGGTGAAGTCACTGGTGAATCTGTACTGGTCCAGGCCAACATTGGGAGGGCACGTGGCTGCGATTGTGTCAGCGGGACCACGTTCATGCAGGTCACGATGGCGAATAAAGCGTACAGTTCTCGATAGGGTTGCAGTCCGAGGTCAGCTGGGCCGAAGCAAGCGGGGCGGCGGCGGCGAAGAGGGCAATGGCAGCCCGGGCGTAAGCAGATTGCGAATGCATGGTCGTTGTGCTGGTGAAGAGCGATTGGATTCAGGAGATGGCGACAGCGCTAGGGACAGCGGCGCGAGAAGCAAGCAAAAAGCAAGGGAGACTGTGAAAGAGAGAGTCTCCTGGTCAGGTTCCAGACGGTCGAGCGAATGACGCGGAACTGAACGGCCTGCAAGAGAGTGGCAGCAGGGAGTGGACGAGATGGTTGGATTGGCCTCACACACCAGGCGGACGTGGTACGCGGCATGCCAGGCTCAAGTACGTAGGCTGCTTGCTGCCCCGGCGCGGGCTGGCAGGCGCAGACCGGCGCCCCGAGATCTACGTTATCAACGAATGCGGTCATTTCTGGCTCCGGGCGACGGATACCACAGGGCCCCAATGCTTGGTACGAGGCACGCAGCCAGTCGGAGCAGAGCATTCGTGTCGTGACAATGTCGGGCACGCGCGGATCGAGGGGTAGTCCACGTCGCGCGGTGGGGGTACGCGGCCACTGCGTGGTGACAGGGCCAGGGGGCGACGCCGGCACGCTGCCACCGGCTCACGCCTTGCCGTCTTGCGCCAAGCTGATGGAGAGCCGCAAATTGCCAGAGCGCGCGAATGGGGCAGCGCGCGCGCAGGCTCGCAGACCTCCGCATGTGGAATCAGCAGACTGAGGGTCTGCTCTGCCACCTGCCTGCTCGCCACCACGACGCACGGCCGGGCGACGCGGTGTGGATACCAGGTGGTTACGGCCGCCGGTAGTCGCAACCTCGTAGCACCGGGTCTGAGGACTGCCTCAGAGCGCGACACGAGCACCGCAGCCGGCGACGCCGCGGCTTGGACGGAGGCGGTGCTCGAGGCTCTGGCGGTGCCGCGACGGAGGGGTCACCTGGGCAGTCTTAGGTGCTATCTATTAACTCGGTCGGTGCGCCGCGGCGTGGTGTGGTGCTGGTGCTGGTGCTGGTGCTGGTGCTGTGTGGCGGGCGGCGCTCCTCCAGCCAGCACGATAGACGGACGCTGCGACTCGGCGATGCGGACAGCCGACGTGTAAGGCCGAGCGAGCGAGCCTGAGCGAGCCTGAGCGAGCCTCCACCCCAGGCCAAACCAACGCGGCAACACCACAGATTATCGCAAAGGGCAGGCCGGCGAGCCTAGCCACACGCGTGCCTCTGTGCCTGGTGATCTGCCGTCGCCGTCCAGGGCAGGGTCCTGTGGCCTGCAGTCGGCCGGGAGAGGCGTTTTCGAGCCCTCGCCGTTCCGGGTATCGCGCTGGCGCGCCTCGAGGCCTCCCCTTTTTTTCTCCCGCTCCCCCAGCCCGGGCCCAGCACTCCACACCCTCCTGCAGCCTTACGAGATCCGCGCACCCGCGATCGGTGTATGGATTCGTATCGCCCTGCGCGCGCTCGCGCAGCCTCGCCGGCGGCCGCTGTCCGCCCTCACCACCACGGTCGCATCATCGCCAATCTGCAGGGCGCAGGTGCGCTGCCGGACGAACCGGACGTCACGATCGGCTCGTCGGTCGTCAGGAGAAATTGCCCGGTGGCCATCAAATGCCGCCGCCCACCGCGGTTCTTGCCGATCGCAAACCAAACGAAGGACGTAGGGGCGGCTCGGGTGGTGCCAATCTTCATCATCTCGCGCTCCGCGGTCTCCTTCTGCACTGCCCGCATGCGCACCACCGCGCCTGCGCCGTTCCGTCCGCGCTTTTCTGGAGCCCTTCCCTCTGCTTGCACGCGAGGCGACAATCAGGGGCAGCGCACCCCGGCTGCGAGAGGCCGTGTCCATCCATTGCCGTTTTCCTCTTTTCGCTCGGCAATCGCGACTCGGCCAACGGAAGCGGGAATGCTTCGTTTGTGCCATCAGTCAATCGCGCGTATTGCCTCGTTCTCAGAATAATTGCCTCCAAGACCCCTAGCGCCGGGTCCTGCCAACCATCACGAGATGTGGAAACGAAGCCACGACTCGGACGCCGGACTTTTTTTTGACTCTGGTCGTTTTCCAGAAGCGGGTCGCGGCTGAGGGCAGCAGCAGTAGTGGAGCGGAGTAGCGTGTGCTCGAGCGCGCGCACGGCGGTACCCGGCACCGGCCAAGACCGGTGCTGCTAGCGATTGCAGGGGGGCTTGGTCCGTTTGCTGCTCTGCCCTTTGCTCCCACTATCACGTCCAGATGCGGTGAACAGAGGACACGCCGCAAAGGGCAGCCGGACCGGTGACAGCCATGTCGCTCCCAGCAAAGTGACGCATTAAGATTCTCACTCTATGCGTCGAGATAAGCGCGCCAAGGCGACGCAGGTCAATATGCGTAGGGCTCGCAGGCAGCGGGTGCAGGTGGGCAGAGCAGCCGCTGCGGACAGGGTTGTAGTGCTGCCGGCAGCGGCTGTGGCACTGCGCTAGAACGACTTCAGCCCAGGCCGCGGCGATGGCGATAAGAGACCCAGGGCTGGGGCACGCCTTCTATTTTTTGCCCGGCTGCTACCGTGTGAACAAGAAGTAGGACAGTGTGTCGGCACAGACTGTCATTCCTCCAGAGCCGGTTTGATGAGGATGCACAGCCTGCGAGGCGCCGTGGATCTTCACGCTCTCACTGCCCACGCTGTGGGGTATTCCCAAGCGCCCCAGGACGCCTGAATCGCCGATGGCAGGTGTGACGGCTGCCTATCGCCATGTCGCATCCACCCTGCGCACTCATGCAGCATGCAGGAGTAGTTGGAGCAGTCATGCACCACCGAAAGCGGCTCTAGAAAAGACGCCGATTCCACCCGGATCCATGCCCCAGCTCCGCTCTACCAAGCCAACCACCATACCCGCCTGAGAGACTCGCCGTTGCTGAAACGCGCACATCGAACCCCCGCTGCTCTCCAGACGCATTCGCGACGACCCAAACACCACCGCCATGTCCAACGCGATGACGGCCGACTTTTCAAACGGCGGGAGGCTGCTGCCACCCGCACCACTGCCCGTTCCTTCCTGTCCCATGCGCGTTCGTCCGCTTGATGAGAACAACGTTACCTGCTCTCGAGCGGCGGAGATTAATGCCTCTAGACTGACCAAACGGCAGCCCTCGATGTGGCGTTGCGGATGCTCTTCCGATTCGGCACCACGCACGCGTCGTCCCGCCCCAAGCGAGCGCCTGTAGCATCACCTAGATCGATTATGCGGAGGCGTTTATACTCTTGGGGAGCCGCTGGCCGAACCAACCATCGGGCAGCGGCGCGCCCAGCGATCTGCATGACGTCTGCATGCACGGTAAGCCCCCTTTGTAACATCACCTCGTCCGACCTGAAACTCCCCGAATGTGAAGAAGAATATTCTCAAACGCTGTCTGAGGCAGCGTGAAAAAGGTTGCTTGGCTAAGTATGTCCTTGTATGCAATAAACCAAAAAAAACGACGGAAAAGACGAAAATGATTCCCAACCCGCTTGGTATCAAGAGCGATTATGCGTTATGCGCCATGTACTCCTTCTTTACCTCTATGTCGACTCCTCAGCATCAGATGCAAGTAAAAAAAAAATGATGATGCTCGTAACCTCGCTTTTCAATCAAGAAGACAAAACGGACCATTTTCCGATCTCTTTTTCTTTTTTTCCCCCTTCTTTTTTTGTTATTGCATGGAGGCGGGCGTGGTGATCCAGTGATCCTGCTGGCACGGCTCGACGCTCTGAATGAAGGAGTTGATGCGGTCGACGACCCATCCACTCGTCGTGTCCTGGCCGAGGTTGACCGGGTCCCTCTCCGACCCGGCTTGGCCAAGACGTATCACCTTGCCAGTCTGACACCGGCCGGGCGAGAACAGGTACTGCACGCAGTCGTCCCGCTGCGCACACGCCTCGCGGCACCCTTGCAGCGAGTATTCCAGCGGCGTCTCCTCGTAGTCGTCTGACAAGTTGTCCCAGTTGTCCTTCTCGCCCGAGATCTGCGGGGCTACAACATGCGCAAAGACATCGCGGTGACGGAGCGTCGGGCGGTCGGCCTGTGATACAAAAATACACGTTAGCGGCTGCTTCTCGAATTTTCGCTGGGCACGGGGTGGTTTTCATTGCAGTGCTTGCGTGTCGGGAGGGGGGTGGAGACGGGGGAAGGAGCGGTGAACTTACACCCTGGCTCATCCAGCTCTGCTCAAAGTCCCACATGGCCTTTGTCCACTCGGGCTTCATGTGGTGGTAAGAAACCACGGGGAAGCACCAGTGGTTCTTGGTGTAGTCCAGTGTGTACGGGTTCTCTCCCTGGATGATGGGGAAGGCGCCCGTCAGCGGCACGGCGACCGTCTCCATGACCCTCGACAGGACCACGTCGCCGGCGTAGTCGGCGGCAGTCAGCTTGTCAAACGTCTCGAGGTTGTTTCTACGCTGCGCCACCACCCGCTCGAGCGCGTTCTTGGACAGAATGATGCCGGAGCCGCCGGAGGCGAACTGCTTGTCCAGCATCCAGTTTTGGCCGCCGACGTAGAGCGGCTTCTCCGGCTCAAAAAACGACAGCCATTTGAGCAAGTTGGACCAGATGACATAGGTGTCGGCTTCCATGAAAAAGTAGAACTTGGCTTCTGGCTGCGCCTTCAGCGCCTTCTCCATAAGAGGCAGGAATTTCCACTTGTCCAGCTTCAGGCCCTGGTGCTGGATGACGTCGGCGAGTTCGGTGATGTCCTTGCCCTTGCTCTTGTACTCGTGCAGCTGCCTATACAGGCTAAAGTCCGGGTGGGTTTGCCTGAGATCCTCGTTCACCTCGTCGAGAAGGTCATGCACCTTCTGGCCGTGGACCTCCTCTTCATAGTCGGAAAAGATGGCGAAGTTGGGAATGCAGCGGAAGGTGGTTTCCAGGTGGGTGGGCAGCTTCTCGTGCACCTCGGTGGTGCTCGTCTTCATGACGACAAAGACATCTTCGGCTCCGGGCAGGCTGGCGCAGGGGAGCTTTCCCACGTCGGGCTTCTGCGGCTGCTCGGTGAGGCCCTCTGAATGGGCGGGCTTGCCGAAATTCTGGTCCAGCTGCACCGTCTCGGGCACGAAATCGGCGTTCATCGCATTTTGGCGAGCGAGCCCCAGGTGCGACCACGAGAGGAAAAGGAGCAGGAGCGAGGCGGCGACGGCAATGAAAAGCGGCGGCCGGGGCCGCGAGGCTGATGGGAGCATATTAAAAGCGGCCGAGAAAGGATCCAACGCGCGAGGAAAAGGGCTAAGTACGCAGACCCATGGACTCTGGGATTTGGAGGGGCTGTGGAGGCGGAAGGCGGCGTGCTGTTTGGTCAACTTCAAGGCAGCCTCTGACGCACCAGTCCGGCAGGCAGTGGGATATTAGCAGCAGCAGCGGCAACGTGCCGGATGAGCCGCGGGAGGCACCTGGGCGGCGCATTCTTATGGCAGAGGGGGCGGGAGTGCGCCGGGGCGGTGATCGGCAGCAGCTTCGTCTCCCTAGCCTCTTGCGAATGAGAAGCTCGTACGGCGGTAACTAAGTGGCACCGCGACTCGGGAGGAGGACGGGCTCGCTGGGTGTGGTGCGCGCACATCACCTCTGACCCAGCGAGCAGGGATGCCGGCGCTGATGGTAGCGGTACACCCAACACCACGCAGGGCTGCGCGCAGCTGTTTGCAGCCCGAGTCAGCGGCGCCAGAAGCCGCGTAAAATGAGGGCGAGCACTGGCACACTGGCACATGCGCTGGCAGCCAGAGGGTTTGGGCGGGCGAGCAGAGGCCGGATCTAGCGCGCACCGTCCGCCCGACGCGTGAAGCTGGCCGTGAGCCCCGCAGCCGCCGAAATGGCCTCATCCTCACTGCTCCTTCCCTGCACACCTGCTCCCGCGCGCGCGCCCGTCGCGACCTGCCAGCCAGCCAGCCCGCCAGTTTTTTTTCGACGCGTACGCGCACGCCGGGCACGCGGCCAACCATGCAGGCCAACCAGCACCCCGCCGCGCCCGCCCCGCCGCCGGCGGTCCCGCGCCAGTGAGCGAGGGCGCCTGTCAGCCCCGGCGACCCGAGCGGGCGGCGGGCGGCGGGCGGGTGATGACGTCTGCCGCAGTCACCAGGGCACCAGGGCACCAGGGCACCAGGGCGGCTGCGCGGCTGCGCAGCACACAGAAACACGTGCCAGCGGCGATCAAACACAAGCGCCACGTCGCGACGGCTGCTTCGGGCGTGCGATCACCGCGAAAAGGGTCGCAACGGGCGCCGGCTGCGCGAAAAGGAGTGGCGCTGGTCGAATTGACGTCGGCCGCTCCCTTTTGGCTTCGGAAACGCGAAACGCCAACGCGGGGTCCCAATGTCCCATGCCCGCTCGCCTTGCACCTTGCCCGCCGCCTCCCTTGCTGCCGTCAGCTGAGAGCGACGCCGCCGCTGCTCATCAGGCGTGCAGATAAGCAGCCCTTTGGTTTCAGCTTGCGAACAGATCCGCCGACCCGCCCTCCTGGCTTCTGGAAATATGCGTTTCTGATTCAGCGCAATCTCTCTTCCCGCCGCCGCTCCAAACTCCAAGCTCGCTTACCGCGCACGTCAACTCAACACCTCGCCGTCATGCACTGCCTCTTGGCGCGTTCCGCATCGTCATCCTCATTACAACCTGTGCTGCCTGCCGTAAATCAAAGCCCCATCCAGCAACCACCGCCACCACCCGCCGGCGCACCTGCCGGTCCTCATCTCCTCGATAGGGGACGCTTCCGGAATTAGGGGAAGAAAAGAACCACAATTGCCAAATTCTCAATGCTCCTGACATCCACTCTTGTTTTCCCTTAAGCACCCAATTGGCACACCACACCCGCCCTTGGCGCCGCATGCTGCCCGCTTGCAGCTGCCTCCCGCGTGGCTTGGACGCTGCCAATTGGTCTTCACGCCGGAAAATCTGACTCATTTAGGAATATTCCTTTCTCGCGTCGTCAGGCTGGCTGCTGATTGCACGCCTTCGCCGACATCAAGCACTGATGCCGTTGAACGCGAGGTAGTTCTTCGTCTGCGGCTTGTTGTTCGAGATTTTGTTCTTCGTAGACAGGTCCTGCATGCGTTGGCACAACGCCTTCGGCGCACGACGCTGCTCAAGCCCCAGGAGATACGCCCCAAGACCGGCAATGTGCGGCGCCGCCATTGAGGTACCAGAGATCGTCCTCTGCGTCACGTCAGTTGGCAGCCATCAGGCTGACCCGGATCCGAATGTCAGCTTACCGTTTTTCCGTCGTTCCACGTCGACTGAATGTCCACCCCAGGTGCCAGAATATCCACCAGCGCCCCCCAGTTGCTGAAGGATGCCAGCCGGTCGTTCTTATCCGTGGCACCTACCGTGCAGGCCGACGCTTCGTTTGCCGGGCTGAAGAAGAGCGAGGGCAATCCGTCGTTGCCGGCTGCAACCGACATGAACAGCCCGGTCTTGATCGCTGCCTTGACTGCGTCCTTTTGCGCCTTGTTGTACAGTCCGCCGAGGCTCATGTTTGCAACAGATCCTTTCGGGCATTGCCCTGCCTTTTGTCTCGCCGTGGCGTTCATGGCGGCGAACTCAATTCCCTTGAGCACGCCAGAGCTGTCGCCCGAACCGTCTGCACGAAGCACCTTCACCGCGAAGAGAGACGTCTTCTTTGCCACGCCGTACGTCTTGCTACCGACTGTGCCCGCGACGTGCGTGCCGTGTCCGTTGCCGTCCACTGTATTGTTTTCTCCAGAGAAGTCTGCGAGGAAGCTTGCACGGCCTTCGAAATCCGGGTGGCCGGTGTAGATGCCCGTGTCGATGATGTAAGAGCAGGTACCTGCTCCAGCAGACGCATCATACACATAGTTGTAGGAGCCCTTCTGACGGTGTGAGATTCTACCAAGGCCCCACGTAGCGTTGCTTTGGGTAACGGCGGCGGTGTGGACCTTGGTGTTACGCTCGATGTACATGACCTAAGACATGTGGTAAGCTAAATGACACCCATCACGCAAATTACCGCGAGCCAAGGCTTTGCAGTCTATTTAAGCTGCGTGTCTTGAGCCTTGCCTAACCCTCTGTGGCCACGGCCAACTATAGAGGAACATGAATTGGAAAAATCACTTACTGAATCCATGTTTTGTACCGCATTCAACAGCTGATCGTCCAGGCTTCCCGCCGCGCCCCTGAATGAACCCATGCTGTAGACGTGGCGTACGTCGTTATCGAACATGTGAAGCATATGTGAGAATTCTGTCTCTTTAGCCTCGGGCTTCATGACGACGATGTATTCTCCAGGAATGACTTCGGCGGTTCCCTTTGGCTCAAGCAGCGGTGCTGCTGCTGCCAAGGGCAGAAGAGGGAGGAGAGGGACGAAACGCATGATGAATGACGATATCGAAGCCTTGATAAGGTTGAGGCCGCCTCGGTACCAAACAACAAGAGTATAAGAACAAGAAAACAGCAGATAGCTGCGGATTAGATCGACTCGGGTACATCCTCCACGCCAGAGGAATGCTCTAGACTTAAGTATTCTCCATACCACCCCCCTGTCTCTCAGCTTTTGTCTTCTCCACGAACCATCCTTTGCAGGAAGGGGAAAAGATGGACTCACCATCATTCTCGGAAAGGCGTGCCAACAACCACGCAACAATCGAGACTCGAGACAGATTTCCTTCACATTGTCACCTGCAAAGTCAATTTGCGCCATTTCTGGCGCCTGTAATGCATCCCTATCCAGTTCCAATCGGCAATTGAAGCGCCACCGCCTCGTTGTTCCGACACAGATATCACTCCGGTTCAGCTGAAGAAGCTCCACAAACACCACTAGGGCGGCACTCCGCCTGACGCCAAGCATGCGGGATGGGGCGAGCACTACTCGAAGCAGAAGGGTGGGGGCTTGGATGCCAAGCACAAGAGTTCTTCCCTTTTCCCTCGAACCCTCGTCAACTGTTGCCGGAATTTCGAGCGGGAATTTGGTTCTCGGTGATCATGGTCACATTTCGGCGGAGGAAAGCACAGCTACTGGGCATGTTGCTCCTTCGGGGTCCAGAGGACAGAGCCGCTTTCTGACCATTGCGTCGATAAGCACCACCAAGGTAGGGAAAGCGACGGATGAGGTTCCTGGGGAGTCCAGCATAAATTAAGCTAGTGTAGTAAACCCACGCTATTGCTCCGGTGCCGGGGCCGCCATGGGAGCCACACCTTCCGACATGCCGATCTCCGAATGTTCATCACTTTCTTCTTTTACCCCCCGATCCAGCGTTGGTCGGTGTTCACGGCACTAGAATGGGGGTTTCCCCGCTTCCTCTCGGCGAGGGTAAGTTCCGGGCCGTGGACGACCCCTCGTCTCTCCTTCCCTCCTCAGTAACAGCATCTGGATTCCGCGCTGGCAAAGAGGAGAGGTGCGGGTTCTGATTGCGACAGTTAGATCAAAATACACATGTGGCTTTGAGACATGACAGCCACATATTGAAACCCTGTCTCTCCTCTTGGATCGGGCCCGGTCGCGCGTATCTTACAGTGGCAGAAGGCGACCCCTCGTCTATCGACGTTAGACATCGAATCTAGATTTCTCTCCGAGCCGCCACGATCCCTTGATCTCCAAGCGACAGCCATCACAATCTCGTTGACGTACGTCTCTTCACACGTCGCATAACCACGGTTCGAACGTAGTGCAGGGAGAAAAGAAGGAGAAAAAACGATCCAGAGAGGGAAAGGGGAGAAAGTGCAAGCTTTCTCCCGACCATTATCCCATCGAAAGACATGTATTACGTCGAGACTCTCATGCTCGAACCCCGCGCAGCCTTCGCCGGCGGGGCACACAGTTCGCGGTGCTTTACGTCGGCCACGGTCAACCCCCCATCTTCGGTCCCCCATCAGTAGTACGTAGTAGGTAGTAAGTAGCCGGCCATCTCCATCTTTTCCCCCTCCTTTCACCGCCTCCCTTTACTTTACGTACCCACAACTACCAGTCCCTCGGTTCGGGAAACTTTCACACGCGCACGTCCGGCTGTCACCTCCGCCCCCTCGGTGGACGTACCTATTGTCTTGGCGGTGCTGTTGGCACGGCTTGGCACTAAGGGCTTAATCAAGCACGTCGGCTTGGCCCCCCCCCCTTTTTTAGGAAGGTGCTTCTTTGATCTTTTTTTTTTCCGACTCGGCGCGGTACCATCCAGGTCGATCTCCGATGACAGACTTGTTGTTGCGACTCCCAGTTGTATCGTTACCTTGCGCCAAAAGTATGCACAGTTGACGAGTCTCAAATCATGGATGTAGGGCAGATTATACATGAACCCTAAGGCAATACGCAAGCGACTACCACTTTCTCTCTTACATCACTTTGTTCTCACCAAGTATCTCATTATTGCCACACGCGTGCACGAGAGGTATTAAGATAGCGTTGGAAAGGGGAGAGTATAATATCATTAGCCGAGCACAGCGCAACCGGCGAGATCTGAACATATATATTTCAGTTCATGTCTATCCGAGACTTTTTTTTTTGGAAAAAGAAAAAAAAACCACCATCTCCATCTGGAAACAACACTGTTCCCGGAATCAACGAGTCCATTCCACCACCAACCAACCAACTACCTCTACGCAGACGAGTCCTTCAGCACAAAGGCGCCGCGCTCGATGGTGTTGACGAAGTAGTAGCCGCTCTTGAAGTAAGCGTAGCTGCTCCAGCTGCCGACGAACTCGATGATGCCGCCCTCGGGCAGGGCGTCGTCCTCGGGGTAGATGTCGAAGAAGGCGACCTCCTTGACGCCGGCGCCGGTCGGGTCGGCGGGGATGGAGCTGACGTCGATGATGTGGAAGCCGGCGCCGTAGTTGGACTGGTAGGCCTTGCCGTCGACGATGTACTGGTTATGGTCGATGCCGTAGTGCTCGCTCTTGTAGATGCCCGTCTGCTTGGGCGCCGCGAGCGACGAGATGTTCCAGATGTACGTGACGAAGTAGCCGTCGGCCGCGGGCTCGACCTGGTCGTACTCGTCGTACTCGTCGTCGAGGATGAGGAACTCCTGCCACGACTTGTCCAGCAGCCAGCCCTGGTGCGTGTACGACGCGCCCTGGTACGACGTGCGCGAGATGACGGTCGAGTTGGACTTGTCCGTCACGTCGTAGATGGTGAGCGTGTCCTCGTTGTAGCCGTAGCAGATCTCGCGGCCCTCGTACTGCGTGTCCGGGCCGTGGTAGATGACGCACTGGGCGTCGTGGACGTAGCCATCCTGGGGGTCGCAGCCGGGGCTGGTGGGGTTGGACGGGTCGGTCAGATCGATGAAGATGAGACCGGCAGCACAGGTCGTGTTGTCTCTCGGAGCAGCACCGACGGCATAAGCCCAGTTGGTCTCCTCGTTGACGACAACGTTGTGGGTGCGGCCAATGGGGAGGCCGGTGAAGAGACCGGTGAGATCGTCCTCGTTGGAAAAGACAACGGGGCTGGCAGGATCCACATCCAGGAGCTATAAGACGATGGGTTAATACTTGGCAACAAGGAATGACATGCAGATGCGGCAAAGCTTACCTTGGTCAGATCAAAGATCTGGATGTTGTGGCCCACGGCCTCGGAGCCGATGACCATGTAGTTCTTGTAGGCGCGGATCTCGCGCCAGATGGCAGGGACCGAGTACTGAGGCAGACGGCCGAGGTAGATGAGCTTTCCCTCGGGAGAGATCTCGGCGAAGGCAGCACCGTCGCTCTGGCCAATGGTGATGAACTCACGGCCATCTTCCGAAGTCCAGCCCCACGAGGAGGAGCCTTCGCCGAGCTCGCTGCCAAGGTCGGCGTGGCTCAGGAAGTGGACGAGGTCCAGGTTGTTGCAGCGGAAGGTGTTGTTAGCATCGCCCTCGATGCCGACAGCAACGCCATCCACGCAGGGAATGTTGGAGAGCTCGGGGTACTGCGAAGACTCGAATGCACCGGCAGCCCTCTGCTTGTCCCACCAAGACTAGGATTGTCGTCAGCTCAAGCGCGGGCGGTAGAGAGCAGCGGGGAAACATACGTGCTTGTTTTCCATGATGCGCTGATGAATGACGCCCGAATCGTACAGCTCTGCAGCCTTGACGGCATCCGGAGCCAGTTCCATCGAGGAGGCGACGCCCGCCAGGGCGGCCAAGCCGGCAGTGCTGAGAAGCTGCATGATGTGGGTGCACACTTGGAGGAAAGCGGACTGCTGGAGAGCAAGTTTGAGGGAGTATTTCCAGGCAGCTTTATATATACGGCCGCGCTGGAGCTTCCCCAGAGCCCGCATGTTCGGATGCCGCCTCAGCGAACAGTCTTTGCCTGCCTCATCCGGCCTAAGGTGGTACGGCGTCTTCCTCCCACCATCCTTGCATTTCGACGGCGGGCGAGATAGGGTTTTGGCGGACGTCGATTGGACGGCGGGGTCGCATTGGGTGTCGCTACGAGCGGGAGAGCGTCAGGACACACAGGTCCGTTGCACATGGGCGGTCTTGGTGCTGAGGGGGAGCAGATGGGCCGGAGCGGAAAGAGGAAGGCGGAGAGGCTCTGGGGAGCTTGGCGCGTCTTGGCTTCGGTGGCGGCGCCATGGCAAACGCCTGCCGTTGGTGGCGACGCAGTGCGACAAGGCCTTGGTATGTCCGTATAACTGCGGAGACTCAGATAAGCTGTGTACGCCTGATGTGATTTGGCCGCCTGGTGTTGGCATGCATGCAGCCCCCGCTTCCGGCACAGCGCAATGGCGAGCTACGAGGCTTGTTGTGAGCCACCAGGCCATGGAAGTCGAAAAGTTTCAAGCGAAGGCGGTATGACCGGAGCTGTCGCTGCAGTGCGCCCGTGAGGAGGAACAGACATGGAATTCGGAACATGTCGTACACGTTTGTTTATGTTTTAGAGGTCGACGAAAAGGTAACCAAGGCCGGCTGTTGAGAGGCGCATGATGCAGTTCCCTGCAACCGATGAGATGCCACTCTTGGCGTGCGGGCTCGTTTTGATGTAAATGAAGCGGCGGCATCGCACCATTCGTGCTTACAATCGCTTCACTCTTGTCGCCTGCCACACTGAGCATCGACGAGCGGGTCGCTCCGACCGAGACAACCCTCAGGAAATATTGAGCCAGCCGTCTTTCTCCAATACGTCCCTTGCCAGTCTTCATATAGTGGCCAGGGTGGGGAGGCATCCATGGTCGAGACCCATCCGCTGCCAACGTAACGTCGCCTGCAACCCAAGGATGACAAAACCAGCAGGTGGCGTATATTGGCAAGAGAGACCACAGTTAGAAGGCCAAAGCCGAAGAAGGCCAAAGCCGAAGAAGACCAAAGCCGCTTCCCATCCATACGGGCACCAGTAAAAATGAGTGCGAAGCGGTGAGCGATATGCCTTTTGTGGTGATGATCCACAGGTCAAGACGCCCGGTGGTGCAATCCAATCCTGCAGTGAATGCAAAAAGACAATAAAGAAAAATAACAAGCAAAGAGACGCAAATGCCGGCAACAAAATAACGAAGAACAACGTGGTGCGGCTTTCGTCCTCTCGACCGAGTCGTCTTGATTATTGTCCCGGATGGATGCCTGAGGCATGATAGTCGGCTGTGGATCACTGGATCCAGATCTACCATGTGCCAACCGAGCAGCCACAGGGCTTGTGGCGCGGCATCGGAGGACGATCATGGACATCACCTCACTTGCTTGTCGACTTGGGGTGTAGAAGCTCTCCCAGGCCACAGATTCTTCCATGCAAGATCGAAACGATAGGGAGCCGGTTTTGCCCGAGCCAGAAGTGAAGACGGCGGCAGACCAAGAATGAAAAAGTCAAACACTTACGTCCGCAATCCACTTTCGAACCGGGCCTTCGTCAGCCTCAGGAGCTTCCACCAGCTCTTCCGAGCTATTGCCACCACTCCGCGTTCGCGGCCTGGCAGCAAGATGGCGGACCGACCGCGGGGGCGTCTGGGGGCCCCGTTGCGCTTTGTGCTCCATCGCCTGATCAGAAGCCGGATTCGAGAAGTCGTGGGCTCGAGCATGCAGGTGCAATTTCGCCCTTGCATGGCGAGAGGTGTCACGGCCACGCAGCAGCCCGACACCGCCGCTTCGAGTCTCGCCATCGGGGTCGCAGGCGTCCCAGGTCGCGTCGGACAGCGCGCGCGACAGGGCGGGCGCTGATGGCAGCAGGGCAGCAGGGCATGGGGGACGGCGCTGGGTGGCTGGAGAGGGCGTGGGGGACACGGGGAGTCGCAGGCGGTTGATGAAAGATGGGGCCTTGCCCGATTGTTCCCGACATCTCTCACCACGGTCGCGAGACCCGGCCACGACTACTGCCACTCCGAAACCTCCCTCCTGTCTCAAGCCAAAAATATTCCCAGCTTGAGCCTCATCGCCCTCGCTGCCAGACGCCTCAATGTCCGCTATAAAAGCCGCCGGACTGGCCCACAGTGGTGCCGCCCATCATCAGACAGCCACAGTCACATTCGACATAGCACCAGTCCAACCCCACTCGTAGCTTCCATTCATCCGCACAGACGCATTATAAATCCACCACCATGTACGCCTACCTCCAGATCCAGCGCCGCCGCGACCAGCAACTGCGCGAAAACGGCCTCTCGCAATGGTTCACCCTGACCGCCCCGACCCTGGGCTCGCCATCCGCAACATCACCGTCGTCGGAGTAAGTTTTTTGTTTCCACTCACACCACCACCGCCGCCGCCGCTAACATCGTTTCCCCAACCAGGACACATACCTCGCCCAGTCCATCCTCGACGCCCTCGGCGAGCTCGACCCCCCGCGCCAGCTCACCCTCTTAATTCCCTCCACGGCCGGCCCCTCCGCCCACTCCCCGCTGCTCTCGTCGTCCACCACCACCACCACCACCAACCACCACCACTCCGACTCCGACTCCGACTCCGACTCCCACCACTCCCACCCCCACCACCCCATCCGCCACCTCCCCGCCGACTTCTCCTCCCCCTCCAGCCTTCGCGCCGCCCTCGCCGGCCAGGACCTCGTCATCAGCACCGACGGAGGCGGCGGCGGAGGCGGCGACTACTACGCGGCGCAGACGCGCCTCGTCAACGCCGCGGTGCAGGCGCGCGTGCCGCGCTTCGTGCCCGCCGAGTTCGGGGCCGACTCGCTCAACGAGCGCGTGGCGGGGCGGCTGCCGCCGCACGCGCAGCGGGCGCGGTTGATTGGGTTTTTGAGGGCGATGGAGAGTGAGGGGAAGAGCGGGGACGGGACTGTTGCGGGTGGGGATGGGGATGGGGATGGGGATGGGGAGGTGGGTGGAGATGAAGGTGGGGGTAAGGGTGGGTGCTGTGCGGATGGGTGTGGGCATGGGCATGGGCATGGGGATGCGGAGGGAGACGCGGTGGAGGTGGTGCAGACGAGCGGGGGGTTCGACGACCCGTTTTCGTGGGTCGCGGTCGCGGCGGGGGCGCTGCTGGGCGCGCGGCTGGACGACCTGGGGTTCGACATCAAGTGGCAGAGCGCCACCGTGTACGGGGACGGGGACGGGGATGCGGGCGGGCGGGATCGGGCGTTTTTTGCGGTTTCTTCGCTGGCGTGGGTCGGGCGTTCGGTTGCGCGCGTCGTCGAGCGCTGGGACGCGGTTCGGAATTCTTATCTCTACGCGGCGGGCGCCGTCACCTCGGCCGACGAGGTCGTCGCGTGCTTGCAGGCGGCGACCGGCAAGGAGTGGGCGGTCGGCACGGCCGATGTTGCCGAGTGCGTGGCTGAGGCGGAGAGGTGCTTGCGGAGGGGCTTCCCGGACGCGGGCATCGCTTTGATGGAGAGGAGCGTGCTGTACGATACTTCTCTGGGCGCTGTGGATTCCTTCAGGACGAAGAGCGCGAACGACCTCTTGGGTTTGGGCCGGGAGAAGGTGGAAGACATAATCATTGGCGCGGTTCACGACTTTCAGAATCACGGAAAGGCCGACTGTGGTTGCTCGTAGCATTATCGATTTGGATCTTTATTGTTTGATATCTTTGAATGTGTGTGAGGAAGCCCCATATCTGCCCATGGTTTCTTTGATCCTTGCTCTAAGCATAGCTCGGGATATAGCCGTGGAGTGTCTTCAAGGCATCGGCTGAGGATCCACCCGCATGTAGTGGCTGTAGGCATCGTAATCCTCGGTTCCCTCCCACGGGGACGGCTGACCAAACTCCCCCGTTGACGGATGACCAAACTCCCCCGTTGACGGATGGCCAAACTCCCCCGTTGACGGGTAACCCACCTCCCCCGGGGACGGTCGACCGATACATGCAATCCGTTAAATGTAGATCATCCACTTTCGATGCTGTCAGCATCGAGTAGAGTATTCGGCGCCAATCTCCTTGTATCAAGTCTGCAAAACAAAATGAAATGGACCGACAGTTTCTCAAATGTTTTCGCACGAAGAGGAGAAGGTCTTCTTCAGTGCAGGAGAATCTGCTAAGAGAGCAAGTGGTGAGGTTGGCCCAGGGTGCAATGGCATTGATAGCTCCGAATACACCGGCAAACGGTGTGTTGATCGAGAGATCCAGACATTGGAGCATCGGCATGGCGGAGAGCATGTTTACGGTCCGAGCCACGTCTTCGCGGGAGCGTATGAAACTCAGTCCTATATCCATCTTGAAAGAGCGCACTGATTGCATACAAAGACCGAGAGACTGGAAACGTTGCTCAGGGATTCTGCGCAGGGCCGGTTTGTCAAGGGTCCCATGATCCACAGAGAAGCCTTTGAGCTGCTTCGCGCTTGCGATCATGGCGGAAATGACTTCGTCGACTCTGAGGAGCATCTCGTCATAGTCGACCGTAAACATAGTGAACGTGCTGTGCACCGCAAGTGGGTTGGGATGACGGGCCACCACCTGGCGAAGCTTTAATTCGGAATAAGGGCTCCTAAAATAACCGATGCGAATCGATTCCAAGGCCGGAAGATTGCCTAGAACCGACGTAAGGATTGCAGTCGTATAGCAAGTCGTACGTCGGTCGGCTGACAGGAGGGTGTATGGAGCCTTGGCATAGGGTGGGAAAAGTGGACGATAGTTATCGGCTGGATTGGGAGGATTGAGTTGAACATCGACCTTGATTTCCTTGACATCACGGCTGTATATTGGGTGCCTCGAAAGTTCGGAGAGAGCTCTCAGGTCATGTACATCAAGTGATGTGGTCCTGGATGTGAGGAACGCCCGCCTGAAATGGAAGTCTGACGCGGCTCGGAGTGTGTGGCAGGAACGTCGGAGGTTGAGAATGTCTTTGTCATCCACGAACGATGCGATGCTGTCGAGCAACTCAAACGGAAGACTATCCAAGCGGGTATCCATCTGGGAGGAACTTTGGTTGTCTTGTGAGTATCGCTCTATGTGGCTATCGTAGTGTTCGGGTTCAGTCGTTCGTTGCTTGGGCTTGATGTTGCCGGAATCTTGAAGCGCAGACCTGAGGCGAATAATAAATAGCTGAAGGTATGCAAATTCTGACCGAGGACAGCTTGCCTATTGCCTGGAGTCATGGGTGAAGCCCATGGGTGAGTGCGTGGATCATACCCATGGATTACCGCACGACTAGCCGCCCCAGCAAAAAGTAAAGCACTCTCATTCCACCAAAAAAAAAAAAAAAAAAAGCCCCGAGCCACTACAGGGCCAGTTTGCAGAGTAGCGCATGAGCTCCAACGCCAGGCATGAAAGGTTGAGATCTCCTCAAAATGTCGAGGTCAGCGCATTCGCCGAATGTATGCGTCTGAATGTATGCTAAACCCATGTCCTATAGCGGTAAGGTTGCAATACGAAAACCGGTCTTGTATCCATATGGAGGGCGAGAAAGGGTTAATAGAATAAAGGAGTTAGAAGGGGAAATGGCCCTGGACAGGAGAGCGTCTGGTAGGAGAGTGGAGAAAGAGAAATGCGAAGATATTCAACAACTCATGCTCAACATCATGACTGGCAACTCGATTCCCGAGAAAAAGAGGCTTCAGGCATATACAGATGCCTCAACAACTATTCATGTAGTATAGCCGCGAAGGCTCACAATCCGTCGCAACATCGAGTGGTGATCCCATAACGCCAAACATGCACACGAAGCCTCCTGAACGCCGCGCTGTGACCCTTTTGTGTCCCCGCACCTAAATATCATACACATGCCGCCGGCTTTAAGTGGCGGGTCGCGCTCATGTGCGGTTGGTCTCCAAAAACTCCTTCGCCTCGTTAACCTTGGTAGCGAGATATGGACTTCCGCCGCGGTCAGGGTGGTTGAGCAGCATAAGCTGCCTGTGCTTCTTGCGAATGAGCTCCTTCGATAAGCCTCTCTCACTGTGGCGGCGGTTAGTCCGGCGTCTAGTATGCACATGAGCAGTGACGTACGGAAGCTCGAGGATGAGAGCAGCCTCCCTCCTGTTCATCTTGGGCTCGAATCCGCCCTTGTAGAATGCACGACCCAACGCATTCGTCCCACCACGGGCTCTGCGGAGAGCGACAAGACCAGCCCTGCCCTGCGAAATGTCAGTATCTGCGCACAGTCTGTCGCGACAAGCCGCAGGAAGGGCCCACGCACGAAGAAGGCGGCGGCAGCCACACCGAAACCTATCGCAAGCGCAGACGCCATTGTGAAGTATGAAGTGACGGGAGGACTGGAAGCAGCGATGTCGCACGGGCGAAGAAGGCGTCGAAAGCTGCGGGCGAAGGCGTCGGAGGAGGGCGGCAAAGATGGCCGAGGTGGTCCGTGCGAAAATTTTGTCTTGGCATTTGCAGAGGCGTTGGGAAACTTCCTTGCCGCCGCATCTTGCACCACTGCCCGCCGACCTGCGCTTCCCCCGCTCCGCACTCCACTCGACCCTGTCCCGGCCAGGCACAACGTCCCTGCTGCCTTGCGCTCCCCGACAGCGCGACCGAACATCTGCCAACACCACCGGACACTTCGAGCCTTGAAATCGCACATCAACCGGCACCATGAGGATTGAAACGTGCGTCCTCTCTCACAGAAAGCCATGCTTGGTGTACTGACTTGAATGCAGTTGTTCTTTTTGCTCTCGTACGTCGTGTCCGATCCTCGCTCTTCGCGCCTCTCGGCCGGATCACTCGCTCATACAAAGCTATGGATGGGATGCGGAAGAGAAACAAATGACTGACGCTTTATATAGGGCCCTGCTACCCTAGCAAGGGTATCAGCTTCGTGCGCAACGGTACGTTTGCCTCTCTTTTTTTTCCCCCTCAATCGCAGAAAAGATAGATACATCGGCACAAGAGGAAGGTACAAAACGCATGTCGGAAATGGACGCCTGCTTGCGGGTCCCTTGCCCAAATATCTATGAGCAAGGACACCGAAGACTTCGCATGCGGAATGGCTTGTCCGTTACCATGAGCAAAATCAAGTCTCCTGGGGTCGGAAGAGCTGGCCGTGTCGAGACCGGGAAAAGCATGATATCCGGACCATTGCAGCGCACCTGGCTACAATTCTTGAGAAAAATCCCAGAAACGGGAGAGTATCCATGAATTTCTTCGCTGTCAACGTCATGCGGTTACTGTCCCGATTCAACGCGCGCAACAGTACCACTGAAGGAACGCACACAACGACATGCTTCTAGTCGAATTATCCACTGTTCGGACCTCCCAGCGCCTTAACGCCGTTGACCATGCACCCAAGTGGATGAGGCGGCTTTGACTATACCTCTTGTGCTCATAACATCGCTTTGATACCTTGAATAATCACTGACGCTCTGGGTTTATAGATGCAAAGATGTTCCGCTTTTGCAGATCGAAGTGCCACAAGAACTTCAAGATGAAGAGGAACCCCAGGAAGCTGGCCTGGACCAAGAGCTATCGCGCGGCGCACGGCAAGGAGATGACGGTCGACAGCACGCTCGCCTTCGCCGCGCGGAGGAACGTGCCCGTCCGCTACAACCGCGACCTGGTGGCCAAGACGCTGCAGGCGATGCAGCGCGTCGAAGAGGTGCGCCAGCGCCGCGAGCGCCTCTTCTACAAGGAACGCATGAAGGGCAACAAGGAGCGCCAGCTCGCCGCCGACCGCAAGCTCGTCGAGGAGAACCAGCACCTACTCCCGCCGGAGCTGCGCGACGAGGTGCCCGAGCACGTGCGCCAGAAGCTCGAGAGCATGGAGGTCGAGAACGGCGAGTTCGAGGACATGGACGAGGAGGTCGACGAGGAAGAGGAGAAGACGCGCGTCCGCGCCAAGGTCCCCAAGGCGAAGAGGAAGCAAAAGCTCATTGTCGGCAAGGGCGTCGAGGACATGGATGTCGACGAGTGAGCTGGTACTGGGGTACGGGGTCGAGGTTTTCACAAGACGGCAGACGGCATTCTTGGGCGCAGGGATGGGCAGCAAGATCGATGACTACCCACAACATGGCGTTCTACGGCGCGAGGGGCCCGGAAAAGATTGAGAAAGAACAAATCGGTTGTTTGTTTCCGTTTCATTCGCTCGCGAGGCTGGGAGGTAATCGAGAAGTACAGAACATGGGGCGGAATCAGCATCATAGCTTCACGTCGAGTACGACGTCCGGTAGAAAAAGTGTCTTTTTTATCTCCCCTTCGATCGAGAAGTCGCAACAGCATGTGTGAATGAATGATCAAGGGCATCTTGTAAAAGTGCACATGCCACGTGCGCGCCCAGAAAGCCGGCAATCTCATCACACGTCCCAATGAAGAAGAAAAAGAGAAAAAAAAGACTTGTACATACATCCACAGCACCCCTACCCCCCTTCCGCTGTCGTGCTACCGACCGTTATATTCCGCACCCGCCCACCTGGACCCTTCCACCTTTAGGTTCACACTCGCCCCGGGCTCGCCACCTTCCGCTAACACGGATGCGGTTAGGCAGAAACCCGCTTGGGGGTCGCGGAAAGCACTCCGCCCGCGCACGTCATATTCGCGCGCGCGCACACCCGGCCCTGCGGTGTCTGGGTTTCTGCACAGGTACCGTACATGTACATAGCCGCGCGTCAACGGAGACGCGAATGATATCGTCACACATGTTCAATCGTTGATTGATGCATCGTTCTCTCGGGACCAACGGCGTTCGACCAGCGCATAACGCACACCAGGGAGGGGGGGCCTAAGAGGGATAAATGAATGGAATACCGGTTCGACATGTTGACGGGATGGGGCTCTAAAAAGCAAGACGTTGACGCAATATAATGCAACTAAGAGAGGACAAGGGACTTGCCAAAAACAGTGGGTGTGCTCGAGAAAGCCATGTTCATAAGTTGTTGCCTTAGGGCGAAACTCAAAAGTCCCAATTAATAGTAGTCCGTAGGCTGCCGTCTTTGCTTCTCTCGCCAATGTCAAAGAGCACCCCGGCAGCGAGAGAAGGAGGAAGAGAACAGCGGGTAGGACTCTACAAAAGTTTGCTGGTATTCCCTGCTATCCATCCATCATCCAGCATCACCCCCACGTTATTCTCTGAAGAAGCCCCGCCGTCCCCCTGGTATCTGTCTTTTTTTCGGTTTGCTTTTAGAAAAAAACAAGAAGCCAGAAACCATCACGTGCACATGCACACTCCGGGAACCCAAACCACAATACTCATCCATCATTGCCTATTCTGTGACGATGCCGAGTTCGCTAGCTAGGGTGCTGAGAAGATTACATTGCGATCTCTCTAGATCTAGGGCTCCGTGTGCATAGCATCCGTGAAGCTATTCGCCGCAGTGGTGGCGAAGTACCGCACGTCGACATCGTCATCCTGCTGAAGCTTCTCCAGGCTGGGCAGGATCGAGTTCTGGATGAGGTCGTGACCACGTTGCGATCCCTCGGGAGTCGTGCCGGACTTCTCGAGCTCAACAATGGTACCCGTCTCCGGCAGACGCTTGAGAACGTTGATGAGCACCTCGTACGACTTGGCCACGTTGAAGCGGATGTTGGGAATGCGGTCATCAACAAGCTTATCCATCATAGGCAAGATAGAGGCCTCGATGACGTTGAGACTTAATGCGGGTGCGAGCGTCTACGGATCTGTGTTAGAACACTGAGACATACTGGACCAGCTGGGAAAACTCACAGAGATGGCGAAGCAAGTCGTCATGCGGTAGAGATAGTTCGGGTGAGCGCCCATGGCCATGACCTTCGGCACAATGGCCTCGTTCGCCCAGTCGACGCCGAAGACCTCGGTAAGCTTCTTAAGGTTCTGAGTGGAAGCCTCGCGGATGGAGAAGACAGTGTCGCCCAGCCAGCTCATGCATAGGCTGCTCAGCTTCTCATCGAAGAACTTAACACCGAGCTGGCTAGCCAGAAGGGGAACGTATTCGATGATGGCGAGGCGCACACGCCATTGCTTGTCTTCTGCCAGCTGAACAATAGCAGGGAGAAGGGACTGGGAAAGAAGCTCGATGCCGATGACTAATGTTATTGGTACCACTGTTAGGAATCGCGGGCATGCTCTCATGTGGGGAAAGTCTCTTGGAATACTCACCATCGTTGACTTGCTCCAGCTTCGAGATGATGTTAAGACGGACGTCGGGGAACTCATCCTTCAGCATCTGAAGGAACATAGGAAGGAGGTGCGTAATAGTCCTATTGCGCATCAGCACCTGACAGTTAACCAGATCCACGTGCGCTATGCTTACTCGTCCTTGCCAAGAATGGGGGCAAGACCGCTGATCTGAGTACCCAGAGCAGCGCGAACGTGCTGAGACTGGTCGGAGACCAGCTCCTCGATGTTGGGCATAACCTCTTGGAGAAGAGTCTCCTTGCTGAGGAGCCTGCAGAAGCCTGGGTGAAGTTAGCGCAGAATCAATTTCAGGTCACTTTGAGCAGCTCATACCAGGGATCTGTCCCGCGATAGCACTCCGCACCTCCGCCTCGGTGTCCTTCACAAGCTTGACGAAAGCCGGAACAAGGTCCCTTGTGATGAGCTCCTCTTCCACAGCCTTTGCAATCTGCATCGCCAGTTCATCAGCACAGGTCCATAATCTTGCTGAGGCAAATATGTTACCTTCTCGAAGCGGTCTGCAACCATGTATCTCACTCTCCAGCTCTTGTCCTCAAAGAGATGCCTCAGCGCCGCAAGCAAAACTCCATGGCTCGTCTGCTCCTCCTTCGGGACAACCTCCGCGATAGCAATCAAAACGTCAACGGTCAGAAGCCTGACACTGTCCTGGTCGTCGGTAGTCAGGCGCTGGAAAAGCGGGATCATGTCCTCGATAACCGTCTGAGGGGGCATGCCGGCCTTCACGAACTTCGCCAGGTTGTTCGCGGCCTGCCTCCTGACCATGGGCGTGTCATCGTGGACAAGCTTGCCAAAGTGCTGTCGGAGGCTCTCCTGGGCCTGGGCAGATGCTCTGGGATAGGGCTCCACGTAGAGGCCGGTGGCGGAGATCTTGGACGTGAACCAATCGGCGGTGGAGAGGCGGATGGTGAGGGGCACAAAGTATTCCTCGACCTGCTGCGGGTTGAGCTCCTGGCAGACCTTGTTGAGCGATTCAACGGCCTATGTCGGGTCAGCGCGCTGGCAAGTGCCAATTGGGGAGGCTGGGGGACAGACCTTCTCCCTGACCAAGGGCTCTTCAATGCCAGCCAAGTTCTCGAGCGGCGAGATAAGCACGTGGCCGTACTCGGGGCCGCCAACGTATTCTACGAAGTTGCCGAGCTCCTCGCTCAGAGCGGTGAGGACCTCGTCCTCGTCCTCGACAGATTCTGCACTAGGTCATCAGCGTGTGCGCGCGGGCCCCCGTTGGGATGTCTTGCGACGCACCATCGAGGAAGGGTATCAACTCATCCCGCGTCCGCTCGGCTCCAAGGGCCAGGGCAATGGTGGACAGGCGGCGGATCGCGTTCAGTCGTAGCAGAACGTCATCGTGCTGTAGAGAAAGCATCAGCCTGAGGAGCGCGTGGGGCGGAGCAAAGAAGGCGCGGTACCTTCAACTCGTCAATGAGGACGGCGATGGGGTATAGCTCGTCGGACTGGTTAGGTTGGTCCATGGTGGAACACAGCGCGAGCGGGTCGGCGTCGGTAGGGGAGCGGATGTGAGGGCGTTCGGTCGCGGATTCAGGACGGGGTGACGTCTGTTGTGCGGTGGTGCGCAGGGCGGTGGAGGGGGAGCGGGGAGAGCGGTGGCGGTCGGAGGTGGGTGTGCGAGCGATGCAAAGCGACCCGGCGTGTGGGGGGAGCCAGGTCTGGCTGTGTGGGAGGGGCGGTGGTTATGTTTGCGGCGGGTGTCTCTGGTCGAGTGTTGGTTGTTAGACAGACAAGGCGATTCGTGACGCACGGACACGGGCGCGGGGCGGAAGCTGTCGCGCATCGAGAAAATCCACAGCGTGATGACTCTTCCGCCGCCAACGCCATTAACCACCGCGTCCCGCCAGCAGAGCGCACGCCCAGACTGCCCGCCCGGCTGCATTCCCAATCCAACGCCCCAGACGCCCTCGTCCGCTGCTGCCCTCCCGCGCCTGCCGGCCTGAGCCTGCGCACCTTCCTCACCACCACCCCACGCACTCCAGAGCCCCACCGCGCGCCGCGACCGGGTCACGATGCCTACCATATCCGTGGATAAGGCCGAGCTCTTCAAGGCTCTCGGCAGGGAGTCAGTCAACCCGACCCTTCGCCGGCATCCGCCCCACTGCTGCAGCGAGCAAGAGCGTGGGAGACACCGGCCCCCGGTGTCGGGCAGCGCTGGAGCAGGATGCCGGCAGTGCCTGGGCGAGCATGAGTGCTGAGACAGCGCAGGTACACCACCGAGGAGTTTGACGAGCTGTGCTTCGAGTTCGGTACGCTGGCATTGGCTGTCCTCTGCTCTGAGAACGGGAGCTGACCATACCGCAGGCATTGAGCTCGATGAGGACGTAAGGCCGACTCTTCCCAATCCATGCAAACACGGGCTGAACCGCACCAGACCACCAACTCGAAGCGCCCCATCGTCGACGGCGTTGAGGAGCCGCCGCAGCTGAAGATCGAGATCCCTGCGAACAGGCATGCGCCGTCCCACCCAGACACATGAGAGCTGCCGGCTAACCCCCCGCAGATATGACATGCTGTGCTACGAGGGAATTGCCCAGAACCTCAATATTTTCCTCGGCAGGCAGCCGATTCCCAACTACAGATTAGTGGCTCCCGCCGGCGGCGAGCTGCAGGTCATGAACGTGGACAAGGAGACGGCGAGGATAAGACCGCTCGTTTCGTGCGCTATCCTGCGCAACATCAAGTTCACCAAGGACCGCTACGAGTCCTTCATCGCACTCCAAGACAAGCTCCACCAGAACCTTGCGAGACAGAGGACGCTTGTCTCGATCGGCACGCACGATCTGGACACCATCCAGGGCCCCTTCAGCTACGAGGCACATGCTCCAGAGGACATCAAGTTCACGCCGTTGAACCAGGACAAGGAGATGAATGCGAAAGAGTTGATGGAATTCTACGACAAGGACAAGCACCTCGGACGCTACCTGCACATCATTCGGGACTCCCCAGTCTACCCTGTCATCTACGACGCCAACCGCACCGTCCTTTCTCTGCCGCCCATCATCAACGGCAACCACTCGAAGATCACCTTGGACACCAAGAATGTCCTCATCGAGATTACTGCTCTCGACAAGACCAAGGTCGAGATTGTGAACAACATCGTCTGTGCCATGTTCAGCCTGTACTGCGATGAGCCTTGCACCGTCGAGCCGGTCAAGGTCGTCTCTCCTCACAACGGCGAGAGCCGCGAGTCGCCAGATCTCACCCCTCGCCAAATGCAGGCGGAAATCGACTACCTCAACCAGGTCTGCGGTCTGAACCTGACTCCCGAAGAGCAGTGCAAGCTTCTCCAGCGCATGTCGCTCCAGGCTACTCCGTCGCAGAGCTCGCCTAAGCACCTCGACGTCGCCGTCCCCGTCACTCGCGCCGATGTTCTGCATCAGTGCGATGTCATGGAGGACCTCGCCATCGGCTATGGTTTCAACAAGCTGCCTCGTGAATACCCCAACAAGAGCGCGGCCGTCGCAGCACCACTCAAAATCAACAAGCTTGCTGATATCGTGCGCTCGGAAGCGGCTATGGCCGGGTGGTCGGAGGTCATGCCGCTTATTCTCTGCTCGCACGACGAGAACTTTGCGTGGTTGAACCGCAAGGATGACGGCAACACTTGCGTCAAGCTGCAGAACCCCAAGACCCTGGAATACCAGATTGTCCGCACGTCACTGCTACCCGGTCTTCTCAAGACGATTCGTGAGAACAAGCATCACAGCGTGCCCATCAAGATTTTCGAAGTCAGCGATGTTGCCTTCAAGGATCTGTCCCTGGAGCGCAAGAGCCGCAACGAGCGCCACTTCGCTGCCGCCTGGTACGGCAAGACCTCCGGTTTTGAGGTCGTTCACGGTCTGCTTGACCGCGTCATGCTGATGCTCCGGAGCGCCTTCATCACACATGAGGATGCTCTTAAGAACGAGAAGCTCGGCGGCTACTGGATCGAGGAGGTCGATGGTATGTTTGTTATTCTAATTAAATTACCCCTACCGTAAGTTTCGTGAGGCTAAGTCCATCATCACCAGACCCGACCTTCTTCCAGGGCCACGCGGCAGCCATCAAGCTTCGTCTTGACGGCAAGACCCACGACATTGGTGTCTTCGGCGTCCTGCACCCGACCGTGCTCAAGCACTTCGAGCTTCCGTAAGTCATTCTGTTCTGAGAAGTCCCTTCAGATCTGGTATCCTAACACTCCAGCCTAGTTTCCCCACTACCGCGTTGGAGCTCAACCTCGAGGTCTTCTTGTAAGGAAAAACGGTTTCAATATAAGCGCAATGTCTCACGAGTAGCACAAGAATATGAAAGACAAGTTCAATGACGTGTAGATCCCCCAAAAGCTTCTGCTTGGGACGGTTAGCGTCATTAGCAAGCTTCACGATAGACAAAAGAAAAGGCAGAGACAAAATGATGAACGTTTGAGAACATGCGCTTTCGGGGATCGGTAGTGATATACCGGTCACTTTGAACAAACATGCTGACCAGATGCTGAAGTCCTGAATGCTGAACGAGATTGGATTTCTCGAAGTGAAGACGTTTTAAAACTAGAATGCAGGGCCGTGGAAGACTTGGACTTTTCTGGCAGCTTTCCCATCCAGTAGAACGCCACCGCCCACCACTCGAATCGACCCTCGGGGTCGGTCGATTCCCTTCCTTTTTAGTTGTGGCTCCGATACGCCGAAGATTCCGTTTGCCCGCCAGTAGTGTGTGTGCCCCGTCCATGACCAGCCCAAAGGAGGGAGGTGGATCAGCGAAAAAGGAGAAACGCCTCCCAAGATGCACTTCATGTACCAAAAACCAAAAAAAAAAAAATCAAGAAGAAGGAGCAAAGCAGCCCACAGTTCCTCCCACGAACTCGCTCTCACTCAGTCCAATACCTCTACCCAGCCCTCCTTCACCCCGTCTTCGCCTTCCATCGCGTCGTCGCCGCCCTGCGCTTTCCTTTCCTTGCGCAGGCCCACCAGAGCGCGGTGTCGGATCTCCCGCTCGTCGGCCATCAGCTCGTGCAGCGCGTTCCTGGCGACGCTGCTCTCGAACGAAACGTCGTACTGGGCGATCTTGACCCACTGCGTGTGGCGCTGGCAGCGCTTTTTCAGGCACACATCGGACTGTGCCAGCAGCTCTGAGAGGAGCTCCTGCTTCTTCGCGTCCTCCACGTCGGTGCCGTTCTTCGTCCCCGTTCCGTTGACGAGCGGCGTGCCATCCACGGCGGCGGCGGCGGCGGCGGCGGCGGCGTCTTGCATCACGATGTCGTCTTTGTCCTGGTCCTCCGGTTCGGCGTCGAGCGTATCCTTCCGGAAGCAGGCGTTGCCTTTGGGCGTCGCGCGCCACAGTGCAAACTCGCCTTCGCTCCAGTTGAGACGTGAGTCGTAGCCGCAGATGTCCTTGGGCTTGACGCCTTCGCGCTCAGCCACCGCATTCACTTGTTCCCGTACCATGAAGACTAGGCGCTCACGGTCCTTGAGAAGCTTGAGGCGTTTGTTCAAATCCTCGATCTCTTTCTCGATTTCAGCCACACGAGCGGCATCCGGACCGGATAGGGGTGCTTCCTGGTTGAAGGTCGGAGACGAAGGAGATGCAGTGGCAGGCGGACTGAGCATGCTGTTACCCAGATCCTTGAAATGGTTAACGTCGCGAGCAGAAAGTGTCAGCGCTTTGAGGTCACGAGCAGACAGAGTTGCACCACGCGGCCCGGATGTGCCATCCTCCTCTGTATCCTCACCGTCGACGACGCCGTCCGTGTGGTTCGTCTTCCTCCGCTCGCGCCTGGGCTTTTGAGAAGTCGAGGCTGTCCCGGCTTGACTGCGGAGGTTTGCGGCGAGCGACTGGAAGAACAGTCTGCCGCACTCATCGGAACAGTACTTGCTCTGCTCATCTCGCCTTGCCGGACGCCGACACCCGTCGCGCCGGCACATGCGCTTCCATGTGGTGTAACCTTCTCCCGCTTCTGTACACCTGGGACAGAAATACTTCTCGATCAAGTCACCGTCCGACTCTTTGACATTGACGCACTTTCCGTGGTACCAGTCCTGGCAACTTCCATCGCAAGCAATCATCCACGTGTGGTTATCCCCCTTGCGACATATGCAGTATATTCCGTCATCCGAGCCCGACTCTTCGTCTTCGTCTTCGTCGGCGGTTTGGTGCGGAGGCGGCGACGATTGTGCTGCTGGCGAGCTTCCGGCGACTGGAGTGCCAGTTGCAGACTTTTTAGATCCTTTCGTTTTCGCAGCTTTCGCAGAGGGCGTGGGTGATGGTCTACCTTGGTCGTCCTCAACCTTTCGCTTCTTGCTGCCCGGCTGCTTTGGCCCAGTGCTACCCTTCTTCCTGACCTTGCTGTCGACAAGTTTTCGCTTCTTCGGCCCAGTCGGGCCGGCGGGCGTGGGATCCATCGTGGGTGCGGTCGACGGTGTTGCAGTGGAAGCCTCCCGGCTCACTCCGCGCAGACCGTGTTCGTTCCTGGCGCTGGCGACTGCTCTGAGAGTTTCTACTTCGAGGGTGCCACCGCCTTGCTCGGTCTTAAGTGCGGCTTGTGCGGGTGTTGGCTCCCGAGATGTTGCCGATGGCTCGAGCTTGACTTGCGGAGTGGGTGAGTGGGATGGCGCCTGGAAGACGGGTATATCTGCGGGGAAGCTTGATGGTGAAGGCGCGCGTATTTGATCAGTCGTGGGTTCTTCGCGCACAAAATCGGGCTCACGGCTTTGCGCCACAACATTCAGCAAGCCCTCGCCGGCTTTCGATGAATCAACTTCCGACGTGGAAACAACCTGCGACGCGTCGCGTCCGTATGAAGTGTCCTGAGGCTGTTGTGGCTCGTTGCTCGGTCTTCTCTCAGGAAAGGTTCCCAGAGCGTGGATGGGTGGGAGGACATGTGGATTCGATGACATAGATATCAGCGACTGTCTCCGCTGTTCCTCGGGTGACTTTGATCGATGGTGATATTGCTCCAGCGATGGTGAGTGTTGTTCGGGAGCTGCATCAACCGAGAGGGGCTCCACAGGCACAGCTACAGAGGCATAACTACTTGCTCGGCGCGCTTCCGGATAGTTCTCCGATTGGACCTCTTGTTCACCGTTTGCGGATTGGGTGGATGTAGGAGCATGCGCGAAGCTGTTGCGTGGCGACGGATCGGTTTGGGCAAGGCCCGTCAGCGCGTCGGCTGCTTCATAAAGCGCGTCGGAGGCATTCTCAAGCGTTGACGTGTCCACCGTGGCAGGCGCACCGGAGGTAGGGGCCGGCGGGGCCTGAGTCGCCTCGGAGGGATGACGCTTCGGACTCGATGGCTCAGAGGCGGGATTCAACAACGCGGAGAGTTTGAAGCTCATGATTGCAGTGGCGCGCAGTAAGAGCACTGGCGAGGCAGGTTCGAAATTGGCGGACAGCTCATACAGGTCGAAGGCGCATGGCGGTGCGTTTGCAGTAACAGTTGCCGGAAAATCGGAAGCGCGTAATGGAGTTGGCAGAAGCGGAGAACGGGATGGGGACCGCAGCGAAGGCGCGGCGGGTTGGAGATGATCGGCGGCGAGTCAATCCCGCGTGCTTTCCCCAGTCAGTCCTTGCGAACGGGTCTTGGCGCGTTTCCAAATACGTCATAACGCGTATTCGCCCACCATACTCTGCCCTCTAACCACATTTGCGAGGTCTGCTGGATGCTGTGGCACACTGCCTTCGCTACTTCTATTTCTAAACTCGACGCTAATCATTTGAAAGACCTTTTTCGCTCGGGGAATTTCCGCCCAGTCCGAGGTTACACGCAAGGGCGATCCATTAAGACTCTGTCCTACCACTAGTTACCACAACATGTGCGAAAAAATAGTAAGGACGTTTTGCCAGACGCTCCGAAATCCACCAGAAGGAGTGTTAATCCCTAGTCTAAACGCCCTACGCCTTTTGTGAAGAAATTTGGCTCTCGTAAACACCATTCACTCTTCGTCCGTCTCGGGGGCGCCATCTTGTTGTTCTTGTCTCCTCGCTCGTCCCCTCCCTCGGCCGGCTCCAGCCTGTTCCCCGGCATTGCCTTGTCCGGTAGAGTTGGGCGCTTCGTTAGCACGTGCGTTCTGTAGGCTACGCTCAATCCTACGGTCCAGTTCGGCTGTCGCGTTGTCGTGGTACACAGCTTGCACCATGCCCGCCACGCCTTTTTCTCCAATTTCTACTTTTCCGCGCCCTGCGACGACCCACTCTCGGACATTGTCTTCGCTCGAACGGTCTGTGATGAGTTTTATGTAGCCGTCCTTCTTCATTCGGGCGAGCAGTTTGTCCGTTGAGCCCACTGGGGTTGTTTGGTCTGCGTTGGTCCGTTTTAGGTACCTGTCAAGCTTCAATTCCGGCAGCCTGCCGCCTGCAAGCGTAATGCATGTCACCACGAAAGTGTAGAGTCCAATGTATGCGCTTTCATCAGAGAAAGTAGGGACTTTTGGTGGAGGGACAATATCCCAACCTCGATACTTCTCCGGCAGGGTGTTGGTGAGAACGTAGGAAGTCGTCGTACTGCTCTGCTTTTCCGATCTTTCCGCGGCCTCTGTAAAGGGTTATTACAATCACGGATCACGACAAACAAGAAAGCAAGTCTTACTCTGGCGTCCTTTGATTGTGTGATCCTCCGTCTTTAGCAGCTCGGTCATCTCCATACCAAAAACCGTTTGAAGTTGCAAATTTGCCTCGGAAAAGACAGTCTTGAACTGTCTGCCGTGCGATCCCAGAACTGCGAGACAGATGTTAGGTCCCTATTTTTCTCCGAACTGTGGAAATATTCCTACCTTTTGCGCTGATATCTGCGCGGCGGATGGGTATCCTGGCGTACTCGCATGCCAACGCCATCCTCACCAGTTTCTTCGTCATCTGTTGTAGCTGCTGACCACCCTGAGTGGCTTCGTCTTCCTCCTCCATGTCGGATACTGGAGACTCGCGGCGGCGTTGTGTGGGAGTAGGCTCTTCATCGGAGGCATCGTCCGCGGCCGGCTGTACAACATGAGCAAGGTGTATAAAATTGCAAACTGCACATTTCACTTACCGCTCGTCTTTTACGCACTATCGGCATGTTGGCGATCTTCGAAAACGTGAGGGGAGACGGTGAAGTGGAGGCAGAGCGCGCGGGTCGCAGGAAGACGCGACGCGTCGTTGATCGCATTAAGCCGGAGCGGCCACGACTATTCGGCCGGTGGGGTCGCCGTCAATGCCATTCGGCGCATGTACTGTACATCATGGATCGTCGAACCACCACTCCCCAGAGCTCCCCACATCTTCACCCCCGTTCTCAGCCCACTTCTTCAGCCACCGCATCGCTTTGCAGAGGCCACTCAAAATGTCGTTCAAATTAACCGCCCGCAATCTCACACGACTACGCGCACTCCATGGTCTCACCTATTCGGGTCAGCCGTCGTCAACCCTGTTTCGCGCCGCACCCGCATGCCAGTCCATTCGCTACAACTCGGCGCGCGCACCGTCGCGCAACTCGAGCGACGATCTTTTGGAACTTGAGAACCTCTTGGACAGAAGTCGCAGCTCCTCGCGCTACAGCTCCCGCGCTACGGAAGAGCACGACTTTGACCATGTAAACCCGCTTGACCCAATTGCCGTCCACCGCGCCGAAATCGCTCGTCGTGCATACTACTCTCGGCGTCGGAACTATGCGGCACTAGGATGCATACTCAGCATCCTCATTCCTATGGTGGTTGTATACAACGTCGACTTGGAAGACCTTCGGAAGAGACACTCGGAAAAGACAGATGCGCCGTCCAACGTCACTCGCGAATTCCAAGGGAGGAAGGTCGTGATCGCGCCTGGCAGTGAGAAGCTTCAGGCAATAGGCGAAGAAGTCATCGAGCTGGTAGAGACGGGGACAAGCAGCGTACCCGTTTTCCCGAAAACTATCAGGCTCCCAAATGCAGAGGGCGATGCCGGGGCAGCGAAGGCGGAGAAGGACACTGAATACACACTGCTTGGACTTGGTATCCGATCCGTATCCTTCCTGGGTATACAGGTCTACGTTGTCGGGCTGTACGTGGAGACCTCGGCACTGCCTAGGTTGCAGGCTGCGCTCATCAAGCAAGTCAACCCTATGGCTTCCGCTCTGATACCCGGTGAGAAAGACCAGCTTCGCAAGAGCCTCGTGGACCCGGTAGAATCGAATGCTATTTGGGAGTCTCTGCTGAAGAATCCGGAACTGAGGGCTAACATGGCCTTCCGCATCGTTCCGACTCGCGACACCAACTTCGCGCATTTGCGCGATGGTCTGGTGCGTGGTATCACGAAGCGCATGCAAGAAGCAAACATTGCTGCACAACAGGCAAAGGTTGAGCCTGAGTTCAATGATGAGGCGTTCGGTCAGGCAATGAAGGATTTCAAGGCGCTTTTTAACTCACGTGGCAAGGCTGGGAAAGGCTCTGTGCTCCTGCTCAGAAAAGATGCCAAAGGTGCCCTGGAGATGTTCTACCAGGCCACTGGTAAGGACGGGAGCAATATGGGACCGTTGGAGACACTGGGCGTTGTGAATGACGAGAGGCTGACCAGGCTATCGTGGCTGCTGTATTTGGGGGGTAAAAACGTGAGCAGTGAGGGGGCAAGGAAGAATGTCGTCGATGGTTGCCTCGACCTAGTGGAGCGGCCAATTGGAACGGTGGAGACAAGAGTGGAATGAGAAAATTCGGGGGGGCATCTGAAGGACGGCGTTGATGGTCAGGGTTGGGGTCATTGTGAGTGATGTATCCACTCCACCTATGTACATTAGTTGTCTCATTGGACAATCGAGCTCTCCCACGGTTTGTGGTCCTCTTCAAGGGGGTTCTCTCAAGACTGGCGACAGTGAGTATCTACCGACATTCGAAGTCGAAATGGATGCTGCGGGTCTGCTGTACACCGCACATCCCAATCAGGAGAATTGCCTCCCCACAAATTATGCTCACGCCAAGCACGGCTCTGCTTCAGAGATACATACAAGATCCGACTACAGTACCATTCCCCACATAGCAAAACTTTGAGTTTCTTTTTCTTGTCCCGGGCCACCATTCCATAGTCTCTGTTGGGCGCTACCGCCGTCACACCTAACCCTTATGCTGAGCTCTGTTTACCAATCATACACTTCGTCTCCCCCACCGTGTACTGCCACGGTTCTTGCCGCTCGTCGCAGCATCGTGACTGACCATGCACATACAACCCAGGCAAGCGCGGAAAGGTGGTCGGAACCGATAAGTCGAACAAGCTGTTCCGCAAGCGCCTAATCAAGTCGTACGTGCAGACCCGCAGCCTTACATACGGCGAACCAGAAGTTCAAGAGTTACACAGTCTGCAAAGGTGCTGTCACCACCCTGGGCTGATCATGCAGTCGATCAGCGCCGAGGAAAGTAAGGTAACTCATAGGCCGAGAAGGTAAATGAGCACCAAAAGAAGCAACGAAAAAAAAAATCGGAAAAAAAAAATCGGAAAAACCGCCACACCTCCTTATTCCATTTCGCAGCGAACAGCATCTCGCTTTTCGAAACAGAAGGATTCAAGCGGAAACACGCTCGTGCGCTCGCTCAAGCGTGGGCAAATCTTAAAAAGTTAGGGGGGATGCGAGGCAGTTGGCGCGAGCGAAAGAGTAGCCTGAGCACGGGTGGCGGCTCTAAAAAAGTTTATGTTCGCTACACATGGACGTCGTCGGACGAGATTAACAGCCGCGCGCGAGACGGGAGGTCTGGGGGCCACAGATTTACGAGAGGCAACCACGTCGTCGGTTGGTGCGGACGGGCAATCGCATCTTCGTTGTTTTCGCGTGTGCTGCAATTAAAGTCGTGCTCCTCAATGGGCCCGGTACTCGCCCGTTTGGCGTTTTGCAGATCAAACGCAGAGGGTGCAAGGAGCAGGGGAGCAAATGCCTGGAGGACGGGTCAGGCAATCCTCAGCCGTTTCAAAGCGTGCAACGTTGAACGAAAGCAGAAAGAAAAACAATTACATGAGCTGGGCGGCAAGTCCGAGGAACGGTGCAATTGGATATTGGAGGGTTATTTGTGTGATGGGAGCACAGAATGCGGCAGGCCTGTCCGTGTACGAGACTTCTAGAACGACGCATGTGCGACACCACCGCGGAATGGAAAGACGTGCAGAATCATCAGTGAAGGGAAGCGGTAGCCCGCTCTGGATGTTCAACCAGTTTCACGTTTCAAGCATGATTCTCGCGGATCTCAAGACAGGCCGATTAAGCCTCAAAAACTTCATTCCAACTATCCACACATCCCCTTCCGCGTGAAGCCCGCCGCGCGTTTCAAAACAGGGATATTGTACGACGGCGCCCTCCGCCCAATCAAGAAATTAGAAGCTGTACAATTGGAGAACTAGTTGTTCCAGCCCCAGAAAGTTTGTATCCCGAGAAGTGCAAAAATGATCCCTCACGCCTCATGATGCAAAAATAAGCCATAGCCTTGTCAGACCAATGGTATCCCCCGACTGAGGGGAGCATTGATGGAAGGCTCAGTTGAAAAAGATGACTTAGTGCATTTACAGGAAGAAGGCGGCGATGGCACCGAAACCGGCGAAAGCACCAGCGGCGTTCAGGGCGCTGGCGGCACCGGTGTAAGAGGGAGGAGTAGCCTGGGGGGTGCCAGCGGGGGTGCCAGCGGGGGTGCCAGCAGCGGGGGTACCAGCAGCCGGGGTGGGGACACTGGGCCTTGTTAGCAGCTATTCCATTGAGGATTGCAAAACGGGAAACTCACCCAGGGGTGCCGGCAACAACCGGGGTGGAGGCGTAGGGGCCACCGGTGGGGTACGGGACGTAGCCAGTACCGGCCGGGCCAGAAGAGACACCTGGGGTTATGTAAACAGTGCTGGTCGAGATAATAGGTTCACAGGTGTTAGTAGACGAACCGGCGGCCGGAGCGCTAGGGCTGGGGACGGAACCCTCGACGCCAGAGCTAGCGGGGGCGGAGGGCGAGCCGTAGCCGGGGGTACCCGCGGGGGGAGCACCAGCGCTGGGGGTGCCAGCGGGAGGAGCACCACCCTCGGGAGTGCCAGCGGGGGCGCCGGGGGTCTCGGTGGCGGTGACCGGGCAGATGGTGGTCGAGATGGCGACGGTCTGGGTGACAACGCCCTCCGAGCCCGAGGAGACGAGGGTGGAGTAGATGGTCGAGGTGGTCGACTGGGGGGTGACGGCCGGGGCGCTGGGGGCGCTGGGGGCGGAGGTCGCGCCCTCAACCTCGGAAGAGGCGGGGACGGAGGCAGCCGGGGTGCTGACGGCCGGGACGGCAGTCGAGGCGTGGGAGCTGGCCGGGCAGTTGGTGACCTCGGGGCCGCAAGAGGTGATGGTCACCTCCTCGGTCTGGTAGACGGTCTTGTCCGGGTTGGGGGCGGCCAGGGCGGCGGCGCCGAAGATAGCAGCAACGGTGAAGGCCTTCATTTTGACGGTGGTAGTTGGTTGGAAAGAAACGGTAGAAGGTGGGCGCTCGGTTGTTGGAAGAGAGTGAAGTTCTCGAAAGAATGGACGACCGAAGTCAAGAGTTGATTATTGTCGTAGGACTGTGAGCTTGGAGCGTGGAGAGGAAAGAGAGACTTCCAGCGGGCGGCGCAGAGCTTGTATATGTGAGCGGGAGATTACTGGCAGCCGGTAGCGCGGACCGTCAGCGGTGCTAGGCCGCCGCCCAGCAGATCGCCGAAGGGCACAGGCAGTGGGCTGTTCCCCTGGCGCCAGCCCGAACTGAGCAGGTCGGCCGCCAGGGCCCCCTCGTATCGGACCTGTCACCCCGGTCCCGCCGGGACCAGCTGCGGCAGGGCCAGCGGTCCGCGCCCAGGCGGGCAGCGCCTGTGTCGGCGTCGTGTGAGGGCGAGAAACAACGGGCGCCGGCGGGCGCCGCAGGAGGCGCTTCTGCGCGCTGACTGGCGCCGACTGGCCGCACGGGCGCCGGCGGCCGCGCAGCAGCCGCGCAGAGGCGGCTCCCGGGCCAGGGGGGTGGTGGTGATTCGCTGAGAGCGCCGGGTTCCTGCATGGCTGGTGGAGGGCGTCGAGGGCGGTGACGGCGACGCCTCGGGGCACAGGGTCAGGGGCAGCGCTTGGCGGCCCGGCTGGGTGTTGCTTGTTTCCCAGCGCGCGCGGACGCCGGTGCTGCAGGCGAATGGCCGCCCCCATGTGCCTGGTTAATGCTGATGCTCGCCGTGCTCCACGCCGCTGTTCCTCGCGCCCATCCCACTCGCCGGCTTTTTTACGCTTATTTCCCTCCGCAGGGCGTGCGCTGGTGGCGGCGCCAACGCTGCGTTTCACCATGGGTGGGGATCTTCATATAAACTGGGGCCACGCAGGGCTCAGCGCCCCGTCGGCGGCCATGTGCGCGTCCGCGCGGAAACTGTGCGAAACAGCGTCATCGCCTCTCGCCTTGGGCGCTGCAGCTCTTGCGTGCTCGCAGCCTCGCGCTGGCAACCGCGCCGCCCACTCGCCCACGCTGCCGCCGTCAGTGGCGCTGCAGCCTGCCGAGCTGCGCCGTGCGCTGACTCGCGCCCGCCGTCGACGCTGCCTTCATTTCCCGCCGGCGAATGGATCAGGACCAACGCCCGAGGCCGCCAGTCCCGCGCTTGGTGGAAAGGCGGGGTCCTATCGATATGACGGCCGCGCCGCAGCAGCAGCCACAATATCCCGACATCGAGGAGCCCCGGCAGCACTTCCCTCTCCTGACTCCTGACTCTGCCGCTTTGGGTTGGCTGTCATGACTCCGGCGGCCGGGCAGCTGTGTCGTCGCCGCTGTCAGCATGCCCGCTTGCAGTAGCAATGTCCGGCGTGCCCTCTGCGCCTCAATTTCAGCCATTTCAGCCATAACCGCTCACGTAGCCACACGCATGGCCAAGTGCCGGCCAGTGTCGCCAGCCGATCTGCTGTCCACCTTCGCCGAGATGAGCCGTGGTTCCGTTCACCGGCCGCATTCTGTGCTGGGTGCAAGGCGACGGCGAACATCACTGCTTCGACGAGAAGAGAGGCTCTGGCAGATTGCGGGAGAATGGCGGGATGCACACCATGGCCGCTTGCACGGATGACGCGTTCTGGTTGCAGATTGCTGGGCGCATGAATCGGATGCACCGTGTTTCGCGGCATGGACGTTCGTCTTCCCTCTCCGACCTCCTTCAAACCATTTCCACCTTCGCGTCCCTTTCGCGTAGCCCTCGCTACTTGCACTCTCCCCCAGGACCCCTTCTCGATCCTGCCATTGTCGAGTACGCTCAAGATTCTGCTTGGCAACCCGCCTCACACGCCACACGGTCCAGCCGCCGAAATGACACGGGCTTCCGCGATACGAACGCACCCGCAACAGCAGAGGCTCTGGGGCTAGCCGGCCGGATGGAGCTAAGCTTCGCCTATGGCTGCGGGTGCAGCATTGCTTAGCCCGCGCAAACGGCCATGTTTCCCAGGTCGAAACGCTCCAGTAGCGTACCACCACCACTCGGCGCCAACAACGACATGCGCATCCTCGGTGAGATTGTACATGTCGCTCGCCTTTTCGCATATGCACGACGACGGCCTTCACCGCTATATGGCGGCGTTTCATGTTCGACGCCAAGATTGCCGCAATATATATTCACGGGCCAGAACGCCCATGGAACTCCGCCTATCATGGTTCAAGGAAATTCCTGCAATACTAACTTTCTCACCTATAAACCACGCAGTGCCGTTTCAGCGCACGCATGGTGCCTTCCGGCGGCAGCACATAGCGTGCATGTCTTGCCACAAGAGCTGTTCGTTTTGGGAATGGCTGGTCATGGACAGACCAGCCCAAACACCAAGTGGAACACAGAAAGAGTGCGGCATGTGTTGAAGATGTGACTCTATCACACAACACGGCCAGGTTCTTGTCTGTAGTCCAGTTTAACGTTGTGCACAGGAAAACGAGTGTGCGGAGACCCATGTCGTATCTGAGCGGCATCTTCGTATTGCGGCAGCTAGAGTCCTCTTGACGGTTGGCCCGCCGATACGAGGCGATCCCCTCCTCACGAAGTTTATCGTGCATCCCCTCTTCGGTACGGACGATCCTCGTATACAGAGTCCTCGGATCAGATGCGGTACGGGAGATCAATGTGGACGGCGCACCGTGGAGCAGAGGCGCGATCTCAGGATAAAGAGGCGATATCTCTGCCCGTATGGCTGGGTCTCCGCCCGGCAGTGTTCGAAGGAACCTCAGAGGCGCCACCAGAGCCGGCTCATGACTGCAGTGGCGGCTTGCCAATATTCCAGAAAGAGATTCGTTGTCCCCTTCTATTTCGTGCAAGCCATGCTCATCTCCTCCACGAACAGAAGCGGGGCATATTTATTTCAAGGAAATAGAATCCCGTCAGACGCAAAGTTGAAGGCCGGTTGAAGCCACCGCGACATGTCAAGAGGAAGAGGGCTATCTTGATCCACCATTCCCCGTTCCGTGCAAGCTGGGAGAGGTGCTCTGAGAAGGTGTCCAACGGCCGTCTACCGGTACTACCGGTACTGCATAAAAGGGGAAGCCGTAGCTTTGCCGAAGGGGCGAGAGCGGCGGCTTGATCCTCACGTGGGTCTTGCAAGCCTCCCGATAAGCCCACGGCTGTGAGTGAACGCCTCTCGTTCCTTCGTTTTGTTCTCCTTCTCAGCGACGATTTCTACGCTCAATTTTCCAGCATGCTCCTTTGGGCTGCGGTGGACTATCGAAAGCTATGTATAGCAACCTTTCCGAACGCGGTCGGGTCTGCCAATCATAACCCCACGGGCGGAACAGCAGCTGGGCTACAGGGCGAAAGCGAGCAATCGCATCATCGACTTACCCAAACGCCTCTCTTATCACCCATGTCGTTAGCTTACGCCTATCCGCATCTCGAGCGTCCTGGAGCAGATCTTGGCAGCACGTGCAACAGCGGGCCCCCGACGTCACGTTTTCGGCTGATCGTTATTTACCCGCGCCGCCAAGCCGCGCTTAGATCCATCTTCGCCCTTTTCCAACGACACGAGCTCCGACGCGCGTCTCTTGTCTGTCGCCCCGGCCACCAAGACGCTTGGCTGCCCCGACGGAATCCTGCTCACCTCTTTGTCGCATGCTCTGCCTCCCAGATCCAAGAGGAAAGGATTGATGAGTGGGCTGGCTGCAGTGCCGTCCGGATCGAATTTGCCAGCACCCCGGGCGCGACCAAGGATGCGGTAGGCCGAGTGTTCCGCCCAACACCTGTTTGGGGAAATGGGTTCTAGGGCCCATTCCTCGCACGGAGCCACGTTCTCGAGTGGTCTGGACTGCCCCCGGACAAGGATCGAGCAATTGGACCTGCAGTAACACCACTTCGTCGCCAAATGGGGAACGAATTGCGGACGGTGGCGGCGAAGAATGCTCATTGGTGGCAGCTAACATGTGCGGCTGAGGGGTAACCTTTCCACAACGCGCTTCCCCGAGAGAGAAGGTATGGCGGGATGCGGCTGATGTCGATCTCCTGGAATATTGCCTGTGCTTTGCAGAACGCCTGAGAGTGCGTTGTGTGTTTCGGATCCCAACCTTGTGGTCGCCCCGGCCTGTTTCCAAATGCGCCATGCGCCTGGGCTAGGCATCGTAGAGGATAGCTCTCAGTGAGGCGCTGCGAGTTCTGGGGACCAAATGTGAGCAATGCGGGACTGTCGGGCGTCGCAGGGTTGACTTGTCCTCTTCACTCGTCACATCCTTGAACAATTGACAAACAACTGGCTGCTGTGATCGATTGAGCTGGCCCCCGAAACTATTGTCGATATTGCCAGAGTGTTGCATTGATTGGACAAAATGCAGGCAGCTGATGCCGCTACGACTTTTCCCAACGCTAATTGTATATCCTAGACTATAACACAACGAGGCTCATCAATTTGTTATCTTGTTGACGTATGTCCATGAATTGCCTTCAAACACTTCACGAAAGTTAGAACAACGTGCGAGCGCAAGGTATCCACAATTGAAAATCAACCTTCACTTCCACGGACTCCGTGAAAGATCCACTGTACCATAGCGCAGGGAGAAGAGCTCATACTTCGGACTGTGAACATTACCATTTTCTCTCTTACATGCAGCTACCGGCACACTCTGTCTTCCGCTCGAGCACCTGGAGCTGTAGTGGATAGGAGCTACCATACTTATTTCTTACTAGTACGATGCCAAGCTGAGCGGCGTGGTTGCCTACCTTGATTAGCAATACATCAGCAAACAGATGTAGAAAGTGACAACTCTACGCGTCGACAAGGCTCATCACTTTTGTGTCATGATGGTCGACATACCAAAACGTAATGGCAGTAACGTATCGTGCCGCAGACGTGGTCCACAGTGAGCTGACGGGACTGGTATAGAACAACGCTTGCTACTTCTGGCAGGGAGTAATCTGTTGAGCGAGTGCCCTCAGGCGGGCGTCTTATAGGCACAGAAATCTCCATTCGACACGAAATCCAGATCTGACCAGCTGGCGTGCAAGAAACCCAAGGCGTTCCAGGTGACGTAGACTCAAAGAAACCCCATTTGCATTGGTAAATAGCACGTAGATGTTCGACGTTGCCCTCGAACCTACAACAACTATCGAGCTCGGTCCTCTCTCAGTGTAACACTTATCCAGCTGATTACTCGGGACTTAGAAAAGCGGAGTGCAATGGCTAGAGCATTATAATTTGATACACGCCAATATTCCAAAACAGCGCTGATCTCGTGCATCATGAAGTGGATTTGATCTATGCCCCGGGTCTGCTGTGAAGCGCAGAAGGGAGGTAGTACAAGTACGCAGAGGATGCACTCTAGAGTGCTGATGATCCTAGCGAAGCCGAGACTTTAGATTGCTACTGCCAGCATGCACTACCTGAAATCATAGAGCTACTAAAATTTATACTGGTAGATCCTGGCACCAGCAGTCGTGAACTGCTCTCCAGTTACCCCCAAGAATCTTGGTATCTCCGAAAAGCCCTCCGATTTAAGATCAGTGACGTTGTCACAACGCGGCCGAAATGGTCGAAGCGAGCGAGACGCTAGGCCTGGGTAACTATGCGCAGCTCAGACTAAATCTACTCGCATAGCTACAGTGGGGAAGTCAGAGACGATTGATGTAACATCGAGCATAATCAAAGTTGCTTGGGAACGTCCATCGCAATGTGCGTCGAAACATCCTGATCAGCATCGTTTTATAGTACCGATCGGCGCCATGCTAAGTGCTGCGCGCTCATACTAAGCCGTGTGTAATCGAGCGCGAGGAGCGAACTGGACAGTGCTTGTATGTCTGCCATTTTCTCTTTGGACGGCACTCTAAAAAAGAGATGCGCATACCTATTGCGTCAGTTAGCAACCTCGGTCCCCCCGCCATTAGTTTTGCTACCAGGTGTTTTCGAGATGTCAGCTAACATGCCCTGACAGAACATTCAGCAGCCTGACTGTCGCACGTAAGGTGTCAGTTGATTGCATTCGACACCAAATGAGAGTTTTCATCGGCCGTAGTAGCTGGTGCTCGGCGGGGCAGGTCACGAAATGTTCCAAATACCACATGGCACATGCATCCGACTTTGAACGTTGAAAGAAAATTCAAGCATGAAATCATTTGCTTGGCTGAAATCTTTTCCATTCACCCATGGTCCGTAAGTCTGAAGAAAGCCATTATTTTTGTTGGCTCACAGGAAATAATCAGATGACTCCGTGACCAAACGTCGTGAAATGCAGAAAATCGACCTTCCCGTACGCTCTTTGACCGCCCGGTCTTCCTTTTGAACAATCTTACTCCTGAGCGAACTCAGCAGGAGCCTCCTGGCCCTCCTGCTCCTGCTGCTCGGCCAGCCTCTGCTGCTCAGCGGCCTGCTGAGCGGCAATAGCCTTGGCGCCGTAGTCCTGGGACATGGGCTGGACAATAGGCTGCTCCTCCTTGGGCTCGATGATGGTGACGGAGTCAGGGAGGGACTTCTGGGGGCCGGCCTTGCCCTCGGGGTCAGAACCACGCATGATCTTGACCTTGATACCAAGGACACCCTGGCGGAGGAGAACGTGGCGGGTGGCGGTGTCGATGAAGTCCTGGGCGGGCTGACCGGAGTGGATCATGAAGCCGTCCTACATGTCGTTAGTAGTCGATTCCAGTTGCTCCGAGTCGGCTCAAACATACAGTGAACTTCATGGACTTGGCACGGGCGGCCCTGAGCTTGCCGGAAACGACAACCTCGCAACCCTTGGCGCCGGACTCCATGATGAAGCGCAGGACACCGTAGCATGCCCTCCTGACAGCAAGACCGTTGAGGAGCTTGTACCTCAGGGACTCGCACTGAGCGACGGCGGACAGACCACGGTTGGAGACCTTGGCGGCGTAGAGGGAAACGGAGTTCTCGGGGAACTTGAAGCGCTTCTGGATGAGGGAGGTGAGCTCGCGGATGCGGCGACCCTGCTCACCAAGAACCTCCTGGGTGTGGGTGGCGCGGACGATGATGTCGGTGACGGTGGGCGTAACGCGGACCTCGACGCCGGAGTAACCCTCCTCAGCGAGCTCGCGCTGGAAGAACTCGTTCAGCTCGGCGTAGAAGACACCATCTGTACCGCTCTGTCAGCATCGGTTGCCCAACCGCCAATTACTGCGTCGATGATTCCAACGCCCTGCGCGCCCAGCAGGCGAATTCCTTGCGCAGGCCTGCGCACTATTTCCTCCATTGGGCAGAATCAATCAACGAGCAAGCGAAATTGGGAGCGTACCGGCAACGAACTTTCTCCTCTTGGAGCTGTGGAATCGTTAGCGAGTGCGCTGGTGGTGGTTACGACGGCGGCGGGGCTGCAGTAACGTACATCTGAGCACCAGCGGCGGCGGCCATTTTGACTGTAGTGGACTGAGGATGATTCTACACCTGGCGGGCAGAATCTAGGCTATGGGAGTCGGTCGGGTTGTCGTCCGTGGGTGGAGAGTCGCGGCGTCGAGGTGCACAAAACCAATTTTGGGCGGAGGTCAGAATGCTGGTGTGCGAGCAGCCGATGGCCAGTGCGCGCGCTTGCCATGCCGTGCCGAGGATCCCCCGCTGAGAGCGCCCACAAAGTCATTGCCGCTTGCTTCGCTCAAGATGCGCAGCACAGCAAGGACAAAGCACGCGGATAAGGCCCTGATCAGCGGATAGCCTGGGAGCAGTACTACTGTGCTCGCGTGAGCTACCCCATCGTTGCTGCTTTTTTTCTACTTACGTACACGATGGCCACGTTGCAGGCCGCACGTGTGACCGCGCTGGAAAGGGCAAGCCGGCCACGACTAGAGAGCGCCCGCCCACGAAGTTTGCAGTGTTTGCCTTGCGCCCGCGTCACAAGGGGTCCTATCGATATCACAAGTCCCGTCGGCACCGCGTCGAGCCTTGGCCCGGCGAACGCGGCTACCCATGCTGTCATTTGCCCGCTACCCACCATCACCCCGGACTTCTCTTGACGCGCAGGGCCGCGCCATACCTACGACTGCTACAGGCTGACACCTAACGCTTCGAAACCCGAAACATCACTCCCCCGGTATTATTCCTTTCTTTGAAGTGCTCAACGCCCGCACTGCCCTGCCCGTTCATGCAGTGGGGCTGCCGCCTTTTGCACTCCCATCATGGACAGCAGGATCCGCGTCTCCAAGGTACGTTGACTGCGCCCGCTCTTCCGGCATGCACTGATTGTGGCCCAGGTCGACAATGTCACTTGTTGGCGGGTTGGCCGCGGCATCGAAGGGACAGTTCACCTTCAGCTCCATCACTTCGTTTTCAAATACCATGACCCAACCCCGCCTGCCAACGGCTCCTCAGCCGCACCGGCACCGACTCAGCGGCCACGGGAGATGTGGGTTGCGTATCCTTTGATATCGCGCTGTTCATACAAACCATCGCCATCGATGCTCTCCCCGCCTACCATCCGCGTGCAGTGCCGCGACTTTACCTTCTTTAGCCTCCACTTCCGCAAAGAAACGGACGCGCGCGATGTGTACGATACCATAAGGTGCCTGACTTGCAAGGTCGCGAACGTGGAGAAGCTCTATGCGTTCTCCTTTCGGTCGCCGGAGCCTGAGAGAGCCATCGGCGGCTGGAAGATCTACGACCCAAGGCGGGAGTTCAAGCGTATGGGCATCAGCGCAAAGGATACGGATAAAGGATGGAGGATAACAGAAATCAACAACGACTACCAGGCAAGAGAATCTAAACGGCATATGACGGTGCTGGCGAACTGATGGCACTCCAGTATTCCCCGACTTATCCCTCCGTGTTGGCGGTACCCTCGGTCATTTCAGACATGACGTTAAAATACGCCAGAGATTTCCGTTCGCGTGCGAGAATACCAGCCCTGGTGTACCTGCATCCGATAAACAACTGCTCCATCACGAGGAGCTCTCAGCCACTGCCGGGACTTCAACGCAAACGCAACCCCCAAGACGAGAAGCTGATTGCCGCCATTTTCGCAACTTCGAGACCAAACGGCGAAGTTTGGCAGTCTGACTCCGTCCAGCCGTCGCCCACTTCAACACCAAAGCCGTCCGGCAGCCCGGAACCAAGCACCGAAAATCTCCCCTCCACCAGCGGCGAGAGCTCTTTCGTCGTGGCCGGGACGGCAGCGGAGGATGAATTAATCTCAAACGCCACGCAGCAACCTATCAGCCCTGGGCGGATGTATGGCGCGCAGCAGAAGAACTTGATTGTGGATGCTCGACCAAGGTTGAACGCGACAGTCAACTCGGCAATTGGGAAGGGGTCTGAAGATATGGCCCACTACGGAGCAGCTACAAAGGCTTATTTGGGAATTGCTAACATTCACGTAATGCGCAATTCGCTGAACAAGGTCGTAGATGCCTTGAAGCACACCGACTTCGCGAATGTGCCCGCCCACCGTGAGCAACTTGCGAAGAGTGGATGGCTGGAACACATCGCCGGTATTGTGGATGGATCGAGGATATGCGCAAAGGCGATTGCCATTGACCATTCTCATGTCCTTATTCATTGCTCGGATGGCTGGGATCGCACAAGTCAGCTTAGTGCATTGGCTCAGCTGTGCTTGGATCCGTATTATCGCACCATGGAAGGGTTCATTGTCCTGGTCGAGAAGGACTGGCTTTCTTTTGGTCATCAGTTCCGGCAGCGTTCTGGCCTCTTGAATAGCGACAAGTGGTTCGAGATTGAGAACGAGCGGATAGGAGGCAACGATGCTACCAACCCCGGCGCAGGAGGAGCCAATGCATTCGAGAACGCCTTGCTAAGCGCCAAAGGGTTCTTCGGCAACAAGAAGAACGACAGTAGGGAGTCATTGCCCGAGTCGGAAGGCGATGTCAGAGTTGACTCTCCAAGCCCAAGGTCGAACGGGTCCAAGCCTCCGGACAAGGTCCAGACTACTAAACCCGATGAAGTCAGCCCCGTGTTCCATCAATTCTTGGATGCAACCTACCAGCTCCTTCACCAGTACCCAACGCGGTTCGAGTTCAACGAGCGTTTCTTGAGGCGGCTGCTCTACCATCTCTATTCTTGCCAGTATGGCACGTTCCTGTTCGACAACGAGAAAGAACGTGTTGACTACAGAGCCCACGAGCGGACACAGAGCGTGTGGGACTTCTTCCTTGCTCGCAAGAAAATGTTTCTGAACGACAAGTACGATCCTGATGTTGATGATCGGGTCCGGGGCAAGGAGCGCATCTTCTTGCCCAACCCTACGAAAGTAAGGTGGTGGGCCGAGTCTTTTGGCCGGAAGGACGAAGAGCTTAACGGCACTGGCACTGGTGCTGGATCGCTCCCGCCACATAGCGCTGGAACTGTGCCGGTTCTGTACAGGGTTGAGCACGCGAACCCGGCGACCGGTGCGACGGTGAGGCAGGAGCTTAGCGCCAACGAGAGATCTTTTAATGGAGAGCCTGAGATGTCTGCAAGCTTCTCAAACCTGTCGATAGGAGGAGCAAGCCCGACTCAAAGCCAGAATCCAAGTAGAGGACCTAGCCCCAGCAGAGGCACCAGCCCGGGAGCTGGTCCTGGCCGTGAAGCGACGCCAGGCGAAGATGCACCAATGCAGATGGAGCTTGGAGCTCATTCTCACAGAGACGCAGCAGCAGCTCTGCACACGATGCAATGAATGGTTTAGAGCAAGGCGTTTCGGGGTTCAGAGGCATGGTTGGCGCCTACGGATACCGTGAGGTGCTTTATTGTTCAACGGTTCGTTTTTGGTTTTGGTTTGGAGGGCACACGCAAGAAATCTCATTCCGGCATTTATATGCTAGCAACGGGGGAAACTGTCGGATGGCTCGTCGTTCTTTGACCTTGGTTCTCGCGTTCCTGTTCGTTGTTTGCACTTGCATCAGATAGCGCCGAGAAGCAGCCATGACCCTTGCAGCCAGCTGCAGAACGCAGCCGAAAGTCCCTATCTACTACGTCACTCGCTGCTCAACCTCCGTCCCAACCCGCAAGTCGGGGCCGTGCTGCATTCGATCATCAGCCAAAATAGTCCGAAACAGATCGTGCCGCGCGCGTTAACCTCGTACCTGCAGCCCGCTTGCCGTGGATCTTCAACGCCAATGCAGTGCTTCTGCTCGCTATCAGGTTTTGGTCGCTTCAAGCTCGTGATAAATGGATGAGCTCTTTCCGCGCTCTACTTGCCTTTCCGCCTCTCTTTTCCTCTGCCAAACCCGCCCACCTCGATACCCGCACACGATGGACAGGTACCTGAACAAAGCAAAGTCCAAACTCCAGGACAAGCTCCAACCCTTCCTCCAGGACCACAACAACAACGGCGGCTCCTCAAATGGCAGTCAACACCACCGCCACAGCAGCAGCAGCGGACCCCCGCCCATCCCGCCCAAACCTCTGATCCCGCTCACGTCGCAGCAGTCCGACCGGCCCTCGGCCATCACGCGCGTGACGCCGCTGGACGTGCTGCGCTACCGCTACCAGCACGGCGCGAACCTGGGCTCCATCTACGTGCTCGAGAAATGGCTCTTCCCCGCCATGTTTCCCGGGTCGTGCGCCGGGCACGGCAAGAGCAGCGAGCTGGCGGCGGTGCGGGCGAGCGTCGACGAGCTGGGCATGGACGGCGCGCGCGAGAAGTTCGAGCGGCACTGGGCCGGCGCCGTGACGGACGCGGATCTGGACTGGTTGGTGGGAAAAGCGAAGTGTGCGTTTTTTTTTTTCTCTTACCTTGTCTTCTTTTCCTCTCTCTCTCTCTCTCTCTTCCCCCGTCGACGTCCAAGCATATCCATCATACTGAAAACCCTCCCCAGGCAACACCATCCGCCTCCCCATCGGCTACTTCACCCTCGGGCCCGCCTTCCTCTCCTCCCCCTCGGACCCCTTCCACCGCTTCGCCCCCGTCTACGCCAACGCGTGGTCCTCCGTCCGCGCGCTCGTCGCCCGCCTGCGCGCCCGCGGCGTCGGCACCCTGCTCGACCTGCACGGCCTGCCCGGCGGCGCCAACGGCTGCGACCACAGCGGCACCGACGCCGGGCGCGCGCAGCACTGGCGGTCCCCCCCCTGCCGCGCGCACTCGACGCGCTGCCTCGCGTGGATCGCGGCGCAGGTCCGCGACGACGCCGCGCTGCGCGAGGGCGTCGTCGGCTTGCAGGTCGTCAACGAGGCGGAGTGGGGCGCCGAGGGGTTGTGGGCGTGGTGCGAGGGCGTGGTGCGCGCCGTGGCGGAGGTCGATCCCGGACTGCCGGTTTATGTGAGCGATGCGTGGGATTTGGAGAAGGCGGTGGGGTGGGCGGCGGAGGTGAATAGGGTGGGCGTCGGGGCGAGGGTGGCGCCGGTGGTGGTGGACACGCATTTGTACTGGTGCTTTGCGGATAAGCATAAGAAGATGGGGCCGGAGGAGGTGGTGAGGGAGGCGAGGGGGAAGCTGGCGCAGCTGGACGCGAGGGAGGGGGATGTGCTGAAGAAGGGGGCGGTGGCCGCGGTGGTGGGCGAGTACAGCTGCGTCTTGAGCGAGGAGACGTGGAAAAAGGCCGGGGGCAAGGCCAAGGACGAGTGGGTGAGGGAGTTTGGGCAGGCGCTGAGCGGGCGGCTGCAGAAGAAGGCCATGGGCAGCCACTTTTGGACGTACAAGATGCAGTGGATGCCTGGCGGCGAGTGGGGCTTCAAGGCGTGCACCGAGAAGGGCGCCATCACGCCGCATTGGACGCTGGCGTTGTCGGCGGATGAGGTCCGTCAGAGGCTCGAGGTGGCGCAGGCGCAGAGGGACGAGAAGTTTGGAGAGAGCTTTGCCCAGCATTGCGGGTACTGGGACAACAACTCTCCTGGGACACCGTTCGAGCACTGGCGCTATGAGCAAGGGTGGAAGCAGGGTTTCGACGATGCAGCCGCGTTCTTTGGTATGCGCGTTAATGGCGGGTATGGAGATGTGGCGACGCTGGGAGAAGGTGGTGCAGGAGGGGGCGTTGGCGGCGACAAGATCGGAAGCTTGGAGGTTTGGGTGCGGAGGAGGTTGATCGAGAGCGGCATGGGTGGCCAATTTGTGTGGGAGTATGAGCAGGGTTTGAGAAAGGGTGTTGGCGAGTTCTGTGAGCTTGCAGGTGGCCTGTGAGAAGTTCGCTGAAAGACACAACATAAGGCCAACGATTTTCTCGATACCCATGAGGCACTTGACAGCGTACCATGAGCAGAACACAAGAGATTAATTCAAACTCAAATTGATACCCTCAAAACACTACAGAGGAGTGATCGGACGCCGTGCCCTCTCAACGGAATAGCACTTAAGCGTAGACGATGAACAGAATTCCCAAGGTCTCCCCCTTTGAATGCGCGGTAATCTATGCTGCTGCTCAGTCCCGAGGCCTTTGCATGCAAGGAGTGCAAGAATCGACGACGTGTGCTGCTGACATCGAGAGAGCCTGAGGAATGCCATTGCCTCCAACAGACAGTCGTTGCCAAGTTGTAAAAACATCATGACCGTCCCATCAACATACCAACCCCCGTCACCGCTGCACTAAAGCTCCAGCCCACCGCGAGTTTTTCCAACGACTTGATTATCTGGGCCGTCGAGCTGATAGCCTCGTTGAAGCCCTCGACAAACGGCACCTTGGGCTTGCTCTCCCAGAAACCGGCAACATGCTGGCGTGTGAGCAGCGTGTTGGCGATATTGCCGCCGTTCAGGCCAACGGCGAGCCAAGGCGAGGATGATGGGTACGAGGACTCGCCTGGGCGGAGGGCAGTGTAGAGGAGGAAGCCGGAAGTGAAAAGGGAGGTGAGGACCTGGAACGTTGTGTCGTTAGTTGCCGGAGATGCTGGAGTGGATAGTGTAAAGGATCTTACCGTCACGAGAGCATTTCCCTGGGTTGTGCGCGTCTTGCGCAGCTGCTCCGCTGCGGTTGCGGAGTACTCTGCTGCCTTTTCCGATTGCTTCTCGTACTGCTTCAAATTCCTGATGGAAGTGTAGCAGTAATAGAGGGCGTAAGCACTTCCGGCTGCCTGGGCCAGATGGATAAGCGGGAGAATCTTGTCCATGGTGGTGGTGTTCTTCTTTGGGCTGCGAAATAGGAGTTGTGCATAAGGACGGTGGCGCGCGGCTTGGAAAAGTGTAGGACAATGCAATGACGTAGGTGTGGTCGAGCTTGGCACGGGCGGGGCGTAAGGCTGAGATTCACACAGGGGTCAAGGACCATCTATGAATGGCGCTTCTCTCATTGGGCATTCTTTTTGACCGATGCCTTTCCATGTAATGCAGGCATCTATTGTTAAGTCGTCCTTTCCGTGAAAGGGGAGGGCCCACCTAAGAGCCAACGTTCGATATTTTGGATTAGATAGGCTGCTCCATGCCGCGCCATTTTGCCTTCTCAGCACGATGCATGCGGCGAGCTTTCAAAACTCGACGGTTTCTAGGCACATGAAAACGAAGCGTTGCCAGCCCGGCGGGCAGGAAATGGCTTATCTTTTCCCGCTCTTTCCGACCAGAACTCAGCACACAGAAGGGAAATCATTTGAATCATTTCTTGTCTCCCTTATCGGCTTCAAGGATATCCTTGATACTGACCATACCGCTTCCCCGAGGAAGAGGCTGCGACTGGTTCGGGCCCTCCTTCCAGCCAATCATGTAGATGAGCCTGAAAGTCGCTGGCAGAGTACCCTTCTCATCTTCGTTTCCATGGAGAGCTCTGTAGATGCCCTCTGCAGCAAGCAGCACATCCCTCCTGATTGGACCCGTTTCGCGGCCCAGGACCGCATTGTTCTCGCCCATTGCCTGCAGATCAGTCATGAGCGCGAAGATACTGGGGTAGTCCACGATGATGTCGTCGACGTCAACCGTGAGAAGCTTGAAGCCTGCACCCTGGAGCAAGCCTCCAATATCTCGTACGTCGGCAAGTGGAGACGTGCGCGTGCTGACACCTCCTCGTCGGTCGAGCTCCGCAAGCTGCAAGCTCGTTCTTAGCTCGAAAAGGCTGTCCCCACCAAGCATTACGCCTAGAAATGGAGCATCAGGCTTCAAGATATTGTTTATTTGCCTCAAGACCGAAGGCAGGTCATTTATCCAATGCATCGACAGGCTGCTCAGAACGGCGTCGAAGGATTCGGGCTCGAAAGGCAGACACTCCTCGTCGGCCAGGACCTGGCGAGTTATTTTGATGTCGTTATTGAACGGCTGGTCGGCGTCGCGGTAAAGCATGGTGGGCGACGAATCGACGGCCACCACCTCTCCGACACGGGTGGAAAGCGGCTCGGAAACGGGTGCCATAGAGGTACTGTCAGGATCCGGTTTTGTGAGTATCCGTCCAATGTTGCAAGCGTTTGCGCCCAGATCAAGCACGCGGTCGAAGCGGCGATTGATGTCCTGCGTGGAGCGTGGTAAGTACGGCGCAGGCTGCGGAAACGGGCGGAGATGGGTGTACCAGGAGGCGCTCGCATAGTCTGAATGCCGTCTCATCTCTCAGGTAGTCGACCTCCCTGCTCCTCTCGGTGTTCGCAGCGGCACGCTCCCTTTGCAGCACTTTGTTGCGGCGGTTGAAGACCTCAAATGTCGGCGCTCCAGGTGCCTGCACGGCGTAGCAGCGCTGGAAGGCAAAGCGCACCCGGCGAGCAGCCGGTGGAGGAATCAGGCTTCTGATGGAAAACGGCTTCATTGCGGATCAGTGGCAAGAGAGCCCGGCCTCGGAGTGGAGGCCAATGGAGAGAGCAAGGGAGAAGTGAAGGCGCGAAGCTCTCATGACGCAGTGTAAAGAAATGGCCGGCGCCGCGGGGAAAGTGCAAGGGTCCAAGCTCTGGGCTGCGCGACGCGCTTTCTGACCGCGTCCGCGTCGGCCTTGACTACACAACTCGTCCACTACACCGCCCGTCATGGCCCAGGCCTTCCCGTATACCTTCTACTCGTGTCCGTGTGTCGACACTTCGACGCCGAGCGCCCGCGTGCGCGACAAGCGCTCCTCGCAGTATTCAACCCACACCAAGGAAGAACAGGACCGCACCTTCGATCCACGCAAATCTCGCTCCAACTTCTCCCTATATCCGCTCGAGCACCTACTGTACTGTGAGGATTGTCACCAAATACGCTGCCCACGATGTGTCAGCGAAGAGGTCATCACCTGGTTCTGCCCCAGCTGCTTGTTCGAGGTTCCCAGCAGCAACATTCGGAGTGACGGGAACAGGTACACTGGACCAATCTCGTAATCGTGTCTCGTGCTTGCTGACCAGGTCTGCGTAGATGTATGCGAAGCTGCTACAACTGCCCCGTCTGCACCGCTCCCATGGTCGTCAACTCTCTTGATTCCGAAAACGAAAGGCATGTCCGCCTCGGCGAAGACGGCGAGGCCGTCCAGCCCCCCGGCCCTTTCTACCTAGCGTGTCCGTACTGCCAATGGAGCACACTCGAAATTGGCGTCGAGTTCGAGAAGCCCAACAACATCTCCGGCCAACTGGCTCGTCTTGCAAATGGAGGAAAGACCGTGCCCACCTTGCGAGAGCGGGAAAAGGCCCGTGACAAGCGCAAGGAGGCCGAAGAGCTCGGAAAGAAACCTGACGAGGAAGAAGACGAAGGCACGCCGGATGAGGATTTGCCCATGGACCATGACATACGATTTTCCAACCTGAGCGCCTTTTACAAGTCCCAGCTGCAAACTGATACAATGGGCGGCGACTACGGCTACGGCTCATCAAGCACCCTGTCGCGAATCATGAGCATGTACAGTGGAAGTGGCGCCAAGAAGTCGAAGAAGGACAGACCGTCGGCAATGAGGGAAGCCTTCGGATCGGACGAGGGATTCCAAGTCCACAATCGTTCCTCCGAAGACGAAATCATCAAGCGCATGCGGCAACTCGGCTGGGAAGGGACCATCAGCCCAGAGCAGCGTCAAAGCCAAATACACAGCGACGTACGCTTCGCAGCTGACCTGCGGCCCGTTCCTACTCTCCTCCGCACCAAACGCGCCAAGCGATGCAGAACATGCCGACACATCCTAGCCAGACCAGAGACCAAGATATCGAGCTCCCGCTATAAGATCAAGCTGCTAGCTCTCAACAACATCCCACAGATCTCGGTAAAGGCGCTGCCACGCCAAGTCGAAACATCCGTCCCCGGCATAACAGCACCGGTTCCATTCGACTACAACAAACTGCAGCCGTTCATGGCGAACCACTTCATCCTCACCATCCGCAACCCGCTCTTCGACCCCATCCACGTGACCCTGGCGACACCGGCCATCACTCCAGGACGAATCCAAAGTAAAGTCACGGTGCTGTGCCCGGAGTTCGAAGTGGGCGCCAACACGGACGTGTGGGACGAGGCACTCACAGGGCCCGGTGCGACGCAGAAGAAGTCGCAGGCCCCTTCATCCACCGAGCTGGGCGCGTCCAACCCGGCTACCCAGGCCGAGGCCGGCAAGGTCTGGGAGCGCGGCCGCAACTGGACCAGCGTCGTGCTCGAGGTCGTCGCCGACAAGGCCGAGCCGGCCGACCTCGAGGGCGGCCTCGACGAGGACGAGGACGTCCTGGAGATCCCCATGTTCGTGCGCATCGAGTACGAGACCGACCTCACGGATGACATCAAGGAAAAGGACCGCGAAAAGGGCAAGGAGTCCGGCGGCGCAGATGGCAGAGTGAAGAGGGAGGAGGCATTCTGGTGTGTCCTCGGCGCCGGACGCATCGGGGCGTTGCCCAAGCTGGGTTGATGTGACGATGAGCCAAAAAGGGAAAAAAAGAGAAAAAAGGAGATTAACATCTACGTTGCTTGCGTTTCAAGATTGGGGAGGGAGGGAACCCGGTTTCTACCAATGTGCTACACATATTGTGGCTTATCAGGGAGAGTTCCGGTCGAAAAGCTCGTTGCGTCATGATACCCATTACAAGCCTCCCTCAAATGAAGATCGATGCCCGTTCCTGCCTCAACGTCTCGCAACGGGTCATTCAGCCATCGTGCTGGGCCCGTGGATCTTTTAGTCGCCCGAAAACCGGACGATGAAATCCACCATCCCTCCAAGTCAAAGAGAGAGAGAGAGAGAGACATATAGAGAGAACAAGCATTGATCGACTGCCCGCCACCACAGGAACAGAACCGCCGCCATGTGATGAGACCGCTAATAAGTGATGAGACTCCTAAGCCGCCCTCCTCCCTCATCTCACCGTCCCTCGTGTCCTTCCCACCACCCTCCCCGATCATCACATGCCACGTCAATGCCAGTGCCCTGGCGACGGCGATCAGGCGAACTTAGTCATGAGCACCGTCGTTTCAAAGGCCACGGCGGCGACTCCCTCCCTTCCCACCATCCCCCCCTGCAGTTCGTTCGTTCCGACCATCACGGTGGACGTACGTGCAGCTCTCTCTGCGCGCCAGGTATCACGACCGGAAGGAACGGTTCTGCCCTGCTGTGAGGGATAGACTCAAAAACGCTAAATAGTTGGTGGATAAGATGAACGAGAAGGCCGGCCTTGTAGTTTGCCTCGTCCATCGTTTCGAATAGAGCAGCTTTCTGGAAACTTTCCTTTTGCTCCCTTTTTGATTTTTTTTTTGGTAAAATGCAAAACAGAACTCCAAAGGAACATCCATGTTGTCACTTGCGGTGTACACACACGGAGCAGCTGTTTTTGTATGTCTGTTCTCACCCCCAAGGTTTTCCGCGCAAGACAGGTTACAACATGGGACATCTGTATGCCAATTGGACGATTCCATGTATACTACATTGCAAGTAATCCATCCTGCTATCGTGGGTGCCTGGTTCGCGAGACGAAATGGGTGTGTTGCCCTAAGAAGCGAATGTATTTAAACTCGAATACCTGGTAGTAATAGATAGCAGAGCATTAATGGTGTAATATTTACGAACACAAAGCGTAAGTGAATTGTGAAGCACAAAGGGACACCGACACAAAGGAAATGGAAATCTAATGACCACCGGCACAATTTGGGTATACGTGGGGTAATGAACCTGGTACCGGCTTCCGAGTCCTGCCATTTACCTGGAGCCTACCCTAGGAAACACAGAAAAGAAAAGAAATAGGTCAAGTTTGCCTACTTAATACCCAAATGAAGCGAAATGTGCAAGTGTTAGAAGTCATTGAATCAAGGAGATAAATCAGACGATAGATTGAAGAGAGAAAGAGGAAAAATGAAATTGAATGTGCTTGCCAAAGAATGCAGACGGTTCCCCTTCTATCTTGAAGAAACTTTTGGCTCGTCCCAGTTCCTACATTACTCCACGGAAAATGACCAAAAAGCCCTCGTGAAACACCATGCTGGAAGATATGTTGAAGATGAAGCGAAGAGAGAGATGAGTTAGGAAAAGAAGAATGGGTGAGAGAACGCCATCAAACCAGCGGCCATCACCTCATCGGCGAGCGCTAGCCAGAATTTCCACATCTTTAATGCCATAACCAAAATCAAGTAACAACGCCCTACCATCTTGGCTTGTTGCCACGATTCTCCGGTAGTCGCTCTTGGCGCTGAGAATCCAGCTGGTGGTCCAGTTGTCGTAGACTGAGACGTCTTCGCCGGTCTCGTAGTCGTAAACCCGTATGCTTTGATCATAGCTGCCAGAGAGCACTCGTTTGTTGGGAGTATCAAGGAAGAGCGAGCGCACCAGCCCGGTGTGGCCGGTGTACTTCTTGACAACCTGACCGGTAGTGATGTCGAACTTGTAAACAGTCTGGTCGTTTCCGCCGGCGAGGACGTACTTGGCATCGTCGCTGAATTCCACAGCAGCAAGGCCTCGATCACCACTCCTCAGTTCCTTGACGAAGGCCTTCGTCTTAATATTCCAGAGCATGGCAGCGCCGTCACCACTAGCGGAGACAAGGAGGTCACCGCGCATCTGCACAGCGTTGACAGGCCCCCGGTGACCGCGGAGCTGCTTGAGCAGCTCGCCGGTATTACGATCCCAAATGCAGATGGAGTTATCCTTGCTGCAGGAGATGATGTACCTGTTGTCGAAGCACACATCGAGAACACCAGCCTCGTGGGCGTTGAGGCGCCATTTGGGCTCCCACGTCTTGATGTCCCAGACGATGCAGGAGCTGTCGGAAGAGCCGGTGACGACAATCTCGTCGTCAAACTGCAAACACAAGATGCTGGCAGAGTGATAAAAGGCCGGTTGGTGGTAGATGGCATGGCCCTCTGGGGTACCATTGACCGAGGGGATGTTACTCTCGGTGTACTGACGCTTGATGTCAAGGGTCGGGGGAGTGTTGGGCTGCGGCCGGGCCTCGGGTCCTCCAATTACCTTCAGGCATTTGTAAGTGTTCAAATCCCATACGCGGATGGTGCGATCGCGGGAGCCAGTGATGATCTTGTTCTCATCAAACTGGCAGCAATATACACTGTCGGTGTGGCCATTGAAATAGACGGCAGCCGGGTGCGAAGACCTCCACCGACGCTCGATTGTCCTCCTGATGTGATACATCAATTTCCAGTCCTGGTAGGGTTGCGCCATGCCGGTGCCGATGCCGCCCATCTGGAGTGGGGGCGGTTCCACGTGAACTTGCTGTTCATACTGGCGGTTGAAGACGACACGCCACACATGTCGGGACTGGGCGGGTTCCCTCCAGCCGCGAGAGACACGCTCGCAGATGGCAAGGGACGACGCATCGAGGAACGAGAAGACGTGCTCGGACAGTTCGCGGGGGAATCGTTGGACAAAGTCTGGCAGATTGCGTTAGCATGATGATAATAATCTGAGCAAAATTGCAGGGGAAGTGGTACCCATCCGCGGCGGCTGTGCCACCAGCTGGCCCTGGTCATCTCCGATAACACTATCCGTTTCAGACATCTGACCACATGGTGAGACCTTGGAGCGGCTGCGGGAGTGCAGGCTGAGATTCATGGCGTTAAGCTGGTTGGCCGAATCACGAGCGGCCTGGCCGGCGTTGTGGTCAATGTAGGGCGGTCCCAGCGACGGCGGCGGCAGAGGATTCCAGCGATCGTTGGCAGGACCGGAGACGGCAGGGCGACGGAACTTCTTCAACGAGCGACGGGCGCTAGCCCAGCGCTTGGGGGCTTGGTGTTTACTGGAAGGAACGGTTTGTGAGGGCTGGAGAGGGGAGGAGGAGGCGAGCGACTCGACGTCGGCGTCCGAAGGGGGATTGGCAAACGACGGCGAACGCTGTGGGCGCATGTCGACGGTAGCTTCCTGGCTGCGGCTGGGTCCGGCGGAAGAAGCGGCTGCGCTCTGGCTCTGGCTTTGGCCGCGGCGGTGGATGAGGTCGCGGACAGTGCTAAGGGCGAGCTCGATGTTGTGCAGGGTCGACTGGCGGCGGTGGCTCTCCTGACGGTGGGTATCGTGCGACAGCTTGGCTTCCTTCTCAGGGCCGGCATGGTGCGAATGGCGCCATGCAGAGGCTTCGGCCTCGACGTCGTGAGGCCCAAAGACCTGGCTCTGCGTGCGCTTGGGCGGGCGCGGGATGGCGTTGTCGGGCTCGGGGTCGGCGGACGGGTGGGCGGACTTGGGGCGGAAGGAGAGGGTGGACCGCCTGCGCTGGACCATGGCGTATAAGTAGCACGAGAGCTGGGGGCGGCCCGGGCTCTCTAATGAGTGACTGAGGGCGAGGGCGGGCGCGTGGAGGAGACGAAAGGAGCGCTGGGACGGATGGTGGAAGGAACGGCGCGGAGGCGAGAGGGCGCCGGGCTCGCGGGGCCGGGCGGTGCAGAGTGGGACTGGGAGAAGGGACAGAGGGCAGCGAGCGTGAGGAGTTGGCAGGCCAGTGATTTTATTGTGGGCGAGGGCGGTGGGTGGAGGTAATAGTGTGATGGTGAGGAGCCGTAGGGCAAGGCCAGCCAGCGATCGCTCGCGCAGCAGCCCAAGCGCTGGCCCCCCCGGCTCTGGGCGCCCCCTTCCGGCCGCCACGCCGGCCGCCTCCAGCCCGTTCAGCCCGTCCTGCCCGCGCGAGACTCGCTACGGGCGCACGTCACCGCCGGAAGCAGAGCAGAGGCTGCGCAACGCCCGCTCTTCTGTGCGCACCATCACCACCGCGCAACGCACGCAGCCTCGGATCGCCCGCGCTGCCCGCGCTGCCCGTCCGCCGCGCCCGCGCCACTGCCACGCCGCTGCCGCTCACCGCCCACCGCCCGCCGCGAGCTGGGTGGCCAGTCACCAGTGGCCTTCTCTCCGCCAGCGTGCCCGTCAGCCTCGGCCCGACTCGTCGCCCTCACGCAGCCAGGCGCATTTCTGCCCGGCTGCAGTCCCGTGCCAGCCCGCGGCTCAGGGGGCACCCTTCGTATCGTGCTCTCAGCTCTCAGCTCGCCAATCTGTAGGTACCTGGTGCTGCTGTGGCCCTCAACGAGGCCACAGCCGGCCGTCCGCCCGTCCTGCACGCCACCGCCGATCGGCGCCCTGCCCTTCAGCCTCCGCGTGGCCAACCTCATTGGAACCGCGCTGGAATGCAATAATGCCGACTGTGTTGTGCCGGCCAAGCGCTGCGCATGGCATTCTTGCGCGGAGACGCCTTGCGCGTTAGCTGACAGCAATCTTCCATGGGGCTGCCTCATGACCGCAGCCCTCATTTCCCGCCTAGCCCTCCCTGTCTTCCGCCGTCACTTTGACGACGAGAGCCATGGGACTATCCTTTCATGGTGCGAATCCGCCCCGATACGGAAAGAGGTGGCTTCACCATCCGGCTCGCGCCATGCCTCATCTCTGAGACCACGGTAGCACCCAGCCTAGCTCCTACTTTGCGGGGTAATGCTGAGGCCCAGCTCTACCTCCACCGGCAGCTGGGAAACGCCGTGCGAGTGCACTCTCACTTGACGTCTGATCTGACTCGCTTCCGAAGAACCCCGGCGTGGCAGCCCATGTTCGGATGCGGCCAAGTCTCCACCCTGACCCTCCATGACGCCCTTCCGATTGCGCCGACCCCACAATCCTTGGAGCCAATTTTGACTGCAGCTCCGTTCATGTCCAGAGCAATCCCCGGGGCTGATCATCGGCCTTGCCTTGTCCGAGCCGTCATTATTGTGCTCCCACTCCGCTGAACGTTGCTATTATTGGACCAACACACCCAAAACCACCGGAGGACCAAGCTATTGAACAACTAACAATGATTCAATCTATCTACGTATGTACATACAGACGTGAACCCAGCTTCTCATCAAGCGTCGCCGTCGTCGTCAACGTTGGGGTTGTTCTTAGGGTCGTCGTTGGGGTTGTCGCCGCCCGAGGATGGGCCTTCACGTAGTTTCTGTCTCTTTGAAGACCCCCTGTTGTCGTCGTTCGTCGCGCTTCGTCTTTTGCTGCTAGTGCCTCTGCTTTCTTGAGCAACAGCATCTTGAGGCTCATATGGCCGCAATTGCTGCATCCATGCCCGTCGCGTCATCTCGGCGAGGCCTTTCCCCACGTTCCTCTGGTAGCCTTGTTCCATTTTTTCGTTCAAGGCTTCCACATAAGACACAGCTCCTTGGTTGTCGTCCATCGGAAAGACCAACCCGCCCTTTTGCCAAACGCGTGGAAATAACCTTTGAGCTCCGTCCTCTACTCCATGCTCGAACGGTTCGATTATTCTCATATCGGCCCCGCTTGGATTGATTTGGAGCTCTTCTATTGCATTCTTCACCATGTTTCGGAGTTTGAGAATGGAGGGTCGCTCATCTGCGTTCCACTTCAAACACTGACGGAGTATGTTGGCCAGCTCGACTTCCTTGGTTTTCTGCAATGGCTGTTGCTCATCACCATCTGGCTTACCGATGCTCGGCAAGAGCCAGTCTGATTTCCACTTCTCTAGCTCCCACAAGTTGACCCAATGAGGGGCACCAGTTCCCAAAGTTCTGCCCCATTCCGCCTCATACATTTCGTCGGGATTTCTGCCTCTATAAAGTCGTTCGTTGTGCGACTTCTGTCCATGATGATCGATGTACCAATTACCAATTTCGTCCTCATCGTGATTGGGCGGTAGGTGGATGTCGTCTTCGCTCGCGTCCACTTCTTCATCATAAATAGCCGTGAAGCCTGGCAGTTTTCCCTGCCAAAGCTCAAAGATACTTGCGGCAATTGCGAAAACGTTCGTGCGGTCCGAAAGTTTGCGCGCGAAGGGCACACCAAGAGGACGATATACATTTTGTTCCTACAAGATGATTAGACCCACTGATACAGAGACTGTCTTCTCGGCGCCACTTACCGGTGCCATGTATTCAGTCGTGCCGGAACCACTGTAGTTCTCGGGATTATACGGATCATCGGGGTAAGCCTCAATGGCCATACCCATGTCCCCTACACAAGGTGTTGGGTACTGGTTCGAATGCAAGCCGTGTCAGCAACAAGTTCATTGGGGGCGGTTGAGGGGGGATGGCAGTGCCATCCAGCGTTAGCTACCCACCATATTCCATTTTGCCTCAGCGTCATATGGTTCCCTATCCAGAAAGATGTTTCCAGGCTTGAGATCTCGGTGCACGATGGGTATCCAGCCAGGCCTCCTACCTCCCGTCTTTTCCAATACCTCGGCAAGAGGTTCATTCTCTTGCCCTCCCCACCACCCACATTCTAGAGCCAAGCACGCCTCCGCTGTTGCAAGGAAGGTGTAAAATATAAAATCCAGCGGTATGTCGGAGTCTCCTTCGCTCCGCTTGAACTTCATCGGCTCTTTGAGCGTCATGCCCGGCTTGTAGGGTAGGTAGAGCCTCCATATCCGCTGGCGGAGATTGAGACGATAACCGCGCGAGCTCATGAGGTAGGGACACGGGGGGTTGATCTTCTTTAAATGCTCGTGAATCGAGATCTCCCTCGGCAGGCTGTCGCGCCAGTAGAGCGGGTCGGTCCAAGTTATTGCATATTTTGTCTCTTCTTCTTTGACAGCAACCATCTGCGACACAACCACTGTCAGTCCCGAGCGAGGTAGCTTCATGTATCGTCCGCCACAGGTCGCTCCCACTGCACCAGGAAGGTGACGGTAGGTGGTTGTGATCAATGGGGAAATTCACTTACGTCTATGACCTGCTCAGTCACCAAATCTTTCTTGCGCCACAATGCCACTGTCCCGAATCCCCCTTGACCAAGCACACGTTCGAACACCCATTTCCCGCCGTCATGGTTTAACACCTGCTTGCCATCGTGTGCCTCAATCTTCCCGTACTTCATTTTTTCAAATGCTACCGCCTCCCCCAGAGCGTTGTTGTCTTCATTGGGTCTTTTATGGTACTCTCCACCCATATGAACCCGAATAAATCGTTGATATTGGGCTTTCCACCTTGGGCGCAGGGCGCCGGTTGGGTCTTTACGGCCGTCATCAGTAGATGACGGTAGAGGAAGGTGGTCGAGGTTGGGCCAGTGCTTTTGCTCTGGGGCATTGCTGCTCAGAAACGCGTTATTCTGGCGGAGTTCGATAAGCTGGGCCTCGAGGTCCCTGACTTTTTGCGCGGGATTTAGGGTCAGCGAATCCTCATCCGAGTCACCCCTGGCCGGGCGCTCTTCTCCTGGAAGGTTCTGCTGTGCTGAGCCCTCTCTTTCTGTACCACGTGTTCCTGGACGCACTTCGTCGGTAGTGTTGTAGCCCAAAGTGTCCTCGGCATCAGCTCCACGTGATCCAGCCCCTTCAGAAGGTGCACTGTAATTTGCAGGATCGTGCAGGAAAGCTTCTCGCTCTCGCTGGTTCTCGGCCTTTTTGTTATAGGCAGGTGGTACGACATAAGGGATGTCCCATATAAATGGTGTTTCCCGTTTACCATCATATCGCTGTTTCTCGTCACGACTGAGCACGGTGTACCATAGAAACTCAAGACAGAGTTTCGTCTCCGCTATCATGGCATTAGTCTAACGAGAAGCTGATGACGGAGGATTTCATTGCTGCGGACTTACCGTCGCTCCAACCTCGCTGCTCTTTGATAAAATCAGAGTGGGCGTTCTCGAAGCAGCGCTTGTTCGTGCCCGGGATTTTCGTTGCCATGACGACGTGCTATCTAGAGTTTCCAAGAAGCGTGTAAGGATCGTGGACAAGACGTAGAAGACAGGCACGAGGTGGCTCGTTAGAAGAAGGAAAGGAACCGGCCATTCTATTTACATGATTCATGGCGGAGCGTCTTTACTATCAGGCATTCTTTCTTGTGGATTGTCTTTGAAGCGCTGCTGCATGAGAAGCCCGCGCCGGAAATGGACTCTGCATTATTGAATAAAGACTCTGGAGCCAGCAATGGATGGACAAACACTGCGACTACATGGTTTCAGGAAAACCTGCACAAGCTTTGATATGAACGGACAAAGCCGAAAACAAACAAGAGAAAACCTGGATGGTTTCTTTATGCGGCTGCTGGATGATGCGATTTCTCGATAATCACTTGGCTACACAGCTGGAATCAATACCCAAATTGAATATGCCTGACCGGGACGGGTTCCATCACCGCCTTGTCGAGTCCAACCCTTTGATGAGGTGTCTGAAACGGGCGACAACATGCTGAGAAGTGAGCGCAACAGATCATGCTTCTGCAGTGGGAGTAGAATGCAGGAGGGGTTGAAAGGGTTGAAGCGGATGGAAGTTTGACGACTGGAGTTGCAAGTGGCAGCTGGTCCGGGAGCAGATCTGGGCTTGGCATCGCAAGGCGGGTCACTGGCGGGTGGACCGACTGGCGCCGCCGGGCCGACGATGATCCGCCGCGTCGGCACAATCGCTCTCGTGAAATCGACAACGCGCAAAACTTCAACTGCGACGCGAGACGACCTCCCTCTTTCGACCCGACCGCTCCTCCCGTCGAACAACAATCCGCAACCATGTCGGCTGCCCTGAACAAGATCGCTCCCAACAGCCCCTCGAGGCAGAGCCCCTCGGAGATCGAGACCAGCATTGCCAATGCTCTCTACGACCTCGAGCAGAACATCCCGGACATGAAGGCCTCTCTGCGCCCTCTCCAGTTCGTGTCCGCCCGCGAGGTAAGATGAGACCGCGCGCACCCGCGCCTCGCGACGCATTCGCACAATACCTATTCCGGATCTCGTCGAGCTGTGGCCAGACAAGACATCGGAACAAATCGAAGAGGCGGTGGGCACTGGGCGGCAAACATTTTGCTGACACCAGGACTCTTGTAGATTGAGGTTGGCCACGGCAGGAAGGCGGTTGTCATCTTTGTCCCCGTCCCTCTTCTCCAGGGCTGGCACAAGGTCCAGCAGCGGTATGGCAGTCTTTTCCCCACACATGCCAATCCTCTCTTCGTGCTAATCAGCCCGCAGCCTGACCCGCGAGCTCGAGAAGAAGTTCTCGGATCGCCACGTCCTGATCGTTGCTTCCCGCCGCATTCTGCCCCGCCCCAAGCGCTCCAACCGTTCGCGCTCCAACCAGACCCAGAAGCGCCCCCGCTCGCGCACTCTGACTGCTGTCCACGACAACATCCTGCACGACCTCGTCTACCCCGTCGAGATCGTCGGCAAGCGCATCCGCACCAGGGAGGACGGCTCCAAGGTTCTCAAGATCATCCTCGACGAGAAGGAGCGCGGCGGTGTCGACTACAGGCTCGACACCTACTCTGAGGTCTACAAGCGCCTCACTGGCAAGGGTGTCAACTTCGAGTTCCCCCAGAGCAACGTCTCCGAGTACTAGACGACTCGCGGGGTGAGGGGAGTTGATTGTTTCAGCATGCTGCATGTATGACGGAGCATCAGTTCAAAAAGGGCCGTTCTTCTGGAAAACGGGGTCTGGTTCGGATAGTCTTCTGGGAGTTCATCGCACGCTGTGCCAAGTGCACGCCGTGCTAGGATACCAATGGTCAAAAAGTTTACCACTAGGCGGCCCAAATCGTATTCCCATGCCAAGTTGTGACAAGCAATTACTTTTTGGATCTAAATGTCAGGCATAGCTACTATATACCCACTATAATGCCTAGGCGACATATTAGCACTCACTCGCGGTCCAACTCAGGGTAGTGGCGGAAGAGGCCCTGGGAGTACTTCAAGCGCCTGTCACTGGCGAGGTACTCCTTCAGGCCCTTCTCTTCCTTAATTCCAGGATAGAACTTCTCGAAGATCAGCGGGAACTCTTCTTTCCGGGCTTGAAGCTCCTTGGGGAAGGCAAAGAGTAGGCTACAGACGTCAGTCATGTTGGTCCAATGCTCGCATGCACGCTGGGAGTGCTGGTATCTATCTAATTCCCGCGCTCAAACGAGGCCTCAACAAGGGACTCGAAAAAGGGAAGGGAATTCTCACCCGTCAATGACCTGCCAAACCGTCGTGTCCGCATGAGACAGCTTGTCACCCACAAGATACTTGCCCTTGCCCAGCCCCTCATTGCCCTTCAACGTCCGCTCGAAGTAGCCGAAGAACTTGGGGATCCTGTTCTCCCGAAAGTCGACGGCCCGCCGCGCGGCCTCCTCCTTCTGGTCCTCGTAGTACAGCGACACGGCGATGGGGTGGTGCGAGTCGTGCGTCTCGTTGCTGAGGTCGAGCGCCGTCAGCACGACCTGGTTCGCGTGCAGGGCGTCGGCCTCGTCCGCGGGCGCCAGCCCGACCCGGGGCGCGAGGTACGCGAGGATGTTGGGCGTCTGCGCGACGAGCAGCGCCCTGCCGCCCTTGCCCGCGCCCGCGACGCGCAGCGCCGGTGGCGCGAACACGGGCGGGTTGCCGTCGTCGTCGCCCGTGCTCGTCGCCGAGCAGCAGAGGGCCTGCACCGTCGCGTAGCCCGCCGAGCCCTTCTCGTTGGCGACGTCGCTGTACGGCGCGCCCGCGGCTTCGAGGACCAGTCGGATGTACTCGCCCCGGCCGGGGATGCCGGGGTGGTAGAGCAGCTCGTAGGTGGGTTGCGTGCGCTGGCGTTTGGCTTCCGGCGCGGACATTGTGGATGGGGGACGTGGGGGGTGGAGTGTGGCGGGGTTGTGGTGGTGGTGTGTGCTTCGGCGTTGGGAGCACGCGTGTGGGCTCGCGGGGGGTGGGAATGTGCGGGTGAAGCTGGAGAAGGTGGCAGTGAAGCTTGGGAAGGCGTCAGGAGAGCAATTGACGCGGAGGGCAATGTCACGGAAGAGGAGGATGAGAGAATTGGTGGAACGGAGGGCTGCTTTTATACTTGCTGGGCGGACTGAAACAGGAAGCAGGTGATGTGGGGAGGGTCCCGACATAGATACAGGCGTGACGTCAAGCGGCGGGACTGGAGAGGCGCTGCGTTTCGTCCCGAGTGGGACAGGACGCGTTGAAGCTTGGGTGCATGGGCGGGCATGCTGGGGCGGGTGTGGGCTCTCAGGCGGCGCGGCGGGTACGGCGCTGACTGAGCGGTAGGGCTTACACACAGAGGCCGGCAGGGCAACGCTGGAGGGCTGCAGCCTGTAGCCCCGCACCGGTGACAGCTCAGCTGGAGCTGGCCTTGGCGGCGGACAATAAAGACGGACTCGGGCGCTCCAGATGCGATCCCCGGGCCGGGCTTGCGGTGGTGCTGTGATTTACAGTCTTAGCGCTCCCACGGACGTCCCGCGCGCGTCGTTTCACTCGACTCTGGGAATTTCACTTAAGCTGCCACTTGCCGACCCCAACACACCACCCTCGCTCACCCGCAAACTGCGCTCGCGAATGTCAGCCTTCAAGGCGCCAACCGACACCATGAACGGCTACGAGTCCATGCTCCCTGCTCTGGAGCAGAAGCTCGAGGGCTTCCGGCGCTCTGACAACGAGCGCGATGCTCTCCTTCAGGTATGCTGCTACGCCGCAGCCCACGCCTCTCCGCCCTGCTGCTGCCTCCCGACGTGTCTCCCGTGTCCATGCCCTCGCTTTCCGCCGACCACTCCGAGTCTTTTGCTCTGCCGTCTCGTCCTGGCCCGCCACTGACGCATCTGCAGGAAATCGTGCGCCAGTATGAGCAGCTTAAAATGGCCTTCAACGAAAAGTGCGGCGATTTCGACAACGAGGTACAGGCGCGTAGATATTGGCAGCAGCAGTTTTCCGAGGCCAGTCGAGTCGTTGCTATGACCCGCCAGCAAGCAGACCATTCGCCCTTCGTTCTAGCCCTAATAGACGGCGACGGTGCCGTCTTCACCGAGGCGCTGCTGCGCGCTGGCGCCGACGGCGGTTCAGATGCCGCGCACAAGCTTCACAGTGAAATAAGGAACCACATATTGGATGTTTATGAGGGCTCGGCCGGCAGCTGGGCTATCATGGTGCATATCTACGCCAACCTGGAAGGCTTAAGCAGGAAATTAGCCTCGGTGGGCATCATCAAATCGCCCCAGGAGCTGCACATCTTTTCCCGCGCCTTTAGCTTGCACCAGCCGCTTTTCAATTTCATCGATGTCGGCAGCGGCAAGGAGAGAGCCGACCACAAGATTAAAGGTACGCCTAGCTGAGCTGACTTGGTGGTGGCAGACTCTGGTTTTCCAGCTGATCCGAGGCCACCCCGCCTTCGCTCAGCCTTGGGTAATACTGACACATGGCCAGAAATGATGCGTGTGTTCATCTCCAACATTCAGTGCAAGCACATTATTTTTGGCGGATGCCACGATAATGGTTATCTTCCTAACCTCGAGTATGCATCACACTCGCCCGTGTGCTGGCTGATGCGGTACTGATGAGCGTGTCGCAGCCCTTACAAGCACGACCCCGCCCTTGCCAACCGTATTTCGCTGCTGGAAACAACGCCGGCGACGGCTGGTTTTATTTCGCTTAAGTTCAAGACCGTGAACTTCACCTCTGTCTTCAGGTCCGATGAGCTCCCAGAGTACCGTTTGCCGCCGCCGCCGCCGCCGTCGTCGCAGCCGCTTGTGCCCGTCAAGACCGTTTCTCCCGTGCAGACCGTCGCTTCTCCGCAATCCGCAGCCTCTCCGATTAGCAATGGGCTCCGCAACGGAACGCCTACTACGACGTCGTCTTCGTGGGCTACGGTTGGGAAGTCGGGGATGACGGGCAAGAGCATCTCGATTGCTCCCACTAAGCCAAAGGAGAGGAAGTTTGTTCTCCTCAACGCCTATGATCAGCGTATCGACGAGAAGCTCGCCAAGGTCGAGCGCGGTGCTCTCGAGCGCTTCCACGCAAAGATCGCAAAGCAGAAGATGTGCAACGAATTCCATTTGAGGGGCGCCTGCACCCTAGGCCCTGCTTGCCCTTACGGCCACGGCGAGAAGCTCAGTCCGGTGGACCGTCTCGCTTTGCAGCACAAAGCCAGGAATATCCCGTGCACTTTCCTAGGCGATTGCCGTGAGGTCACCTGCTATTATGGGCACAACTGTCCTTACGATGAATGCACCCGTGGTGACAACTGCTACTTCTCCGTGACCCACGACATGGATAGGGTAAGGCAACTCCGCTGCGCACGCCTGGCATGAGGACAATGACTGATGCGGTGGACAGGTGCCCCGGATGAAGATGTACGAAGACAACACTATCGAAATCCTCAATTAAACGCAAGGTGGCTGGGTTCATACTTTTGCTGGCCAGATTGTGGGGATCTGCATGTCCACATCGCCATCACATGGCCTGAATGGCCTGTCGGTCTGCCAGAGCTGACGAATAACAACATATCACCTCACGTCTACACTCCCTGTTTCTTTTTTGGGGTTGGCGGCGGTCTATTATTCTGCTATTTCGGTTCCCTTCGCTTACAACCTGACGCCATGATGACAACATAAGGGGACTTTACCACTATCATATTGCTTTGGGGGCTGCTGGCTGGTTGTAAAAATTGACGATAAGAAGGGCTTTCTAATCGGATTAGAAACGGTCATTTGCGTGAGATTCACATGCGTAAAGTGCGATGGAGTAGCCCAAGGGGAAGTCAGAGGCGAGGTATTATATGATAGCGCAAAGGTGCTCCAGCTCATGTACAGGGTTTGTCTTCTACTAATTTCACATTGGTTATGGCAGAATCATCGAGCAAAATGAGTGCAACACATCCTTCTCATGAAACAGTAACGTTTTTCTCTTTCCATCTCCCTCCCTCTCCCTCTTCCTCGCCTTGAAACGAAAGAATGAATGAATGAAACTCTAAGTTCTGACATTGACTGGCGACACCACCTGTCTCCAAGTCATCGACATGCCGGTCTCAGCGGTGTCAAAATGTGTTCCGCCATGAAACTTTTGCTAATGGAGAATGTAATTCATTTGTTCGGCGCAGGAGGCACCCCGCCATGTGTAACCGTAGGCTTATCATGTGCTCCGACATGATCATGCCAGCTTTCGTTTGCACTTTTGTGGAATGGCTTTGTCAAGGTCGAGTTTCGTTGAAATGAGTTTCCGCTCCTACAGTTGGGGAGCATCTTCGAATGCTTCGCAAAACGACCCACTAGTCTCATCCACTGCGCCGAATTTCTTGATGGTTGTGGCTACGACTGGTCTCCACATATGGCCATCCGCACTACTGAGTCTTATCCGGTTCAAGGTGGAAGACAGTGCGAATTTGTCAGACCATGGACAGACTTGTGACCATGAAACAAACCTCAGCTGCAACAAATCGCTCGCCGCCAACTGGGCCGATGCTTTCGAGAAGGATGTCACCAAGTTATGCCTCGAACTTCGGATCCCTAGATCGAGTACCTCGAGGAAATGTCGCAACAAGTTGAATATTCTCGGGGTATGCATAGACAAAAATTCTGGCCTCCCTACGCTGTCAACCGTGTTAGAGTGCTTAGAGCTTGGCACTTTGGACCAATTCCATACCCACAGAGGCTGATTGGACGGTGTCTACAGGCCACGGCGATATCGAAACAAAAAAATTGCTAGTGTTTCAAGAGCAAAAGTAAATTGCCTTCACGATGTCCGACTTTGGCGAACGTGTTCTTGTTGCAGAGCATTCATTCACTGGGACAGTTGACGTTGTGAGCAGATTCTACCCTAACTCTCTCCATTTACCCTTTACGTTCTTTGAACTTCTTGGTTGAACTTTTGCCATTTGCTTTTTTCTTTCCCTTTTGATTTTGGTGGCAGATTTTCTGTACGGCGTTTTGAACCACTGTTTCCCCTACAGACAAAACGAGTCTCGAGTACGCCGGGATTTTGCAGCTACCGCAAGCAAAGGCGCGGCACAAAGAGAGCAGCAAGCAGCAAGTTTGCTGTATGCCTTATTGGTGCTGATCCTCTGGATTGATGCTAGGCGTCTGATTGAACAGACTATTCAAACGTATTCAGCTCTTCATGCAAGCGAACTGTTTACTATTGTTTCCAATATCCAAAACGATTCACTCTATAATTTGCTCCAAGTTCGGTTGATGCGCTCTCGGAGGTCTCGCGTCATCCCGACGTCCGAGAGGCCAGAGCTCCCATGGCCCGCCGCACCAACCCACCTCCAAGCTCCCCGTAAGCTCCGCCCGCACCACCAGTAGCCCGCCACCACCACCAGCCCATGTCCCCGTCCTACCAAACCTTCCCGCCCTCGATCCAATCCTCCGCCGAACCGAGCACCGACTCGATTGCCGAAGAAGCCCTCCTCATCCGCCGCCGCGACCCAGCCACCACCACCACGACGGCCGACACCTTCCTCACCACCATGCCCGGCATCTTCTGGACCATCGGCTCGCTCTACGGCGCCGCCAGCGTCGCCTTCGGCGCATTCGGCGCCCACGGCCTGAAATCCCGCATCGCCGACCCGCAGCGCATCGCGAGCTGGAACACGGCCGCCCACTACCAGGTACGTACACACATGTACATACACAGTAGTACCATCTCACTCCCCCAAAAACAAAAAGCCAAAAAAGCAAATCACTGATGAAAAACAACAACAAAAAACCAGCTCGTCCACTCTGGCGTCATCCTCCTCGCCTCGGTCGCGGCGCCGCAGAACAAGCTGGCCATGGCGCTGCTCACGGCGGGCGTCGCCATGTTCTCCGGGTCCATCTACCTGCTCGTCCTCGACCCCGCCCGCTTCCGCGCCCTCGGCCCCGTCACCCCGCTCGGCGGCCTGTGCCTGATCGGCGGCTGGGCCGCCCTGGCCTTCGGCCGCGGCAGGGTGCCCGTGCCGCCGCCGAGGGCTTGAAGTTCGGTCCAATTGGTGTTTTTTTTTGGTTGAGTCGGGTGGGCGAGGCGGGAATATTGGTGGATGGAAAAAAGATGACTTGGGGATTGGTTGGTTTGGGGTGGTGCGTCGTATGGAGGGAAAAAGCGAGAGGTGTATATATATATCCATGTCCATAAAGCATCCGTTGTGCTAGACAGAGAGGTGAGTCGTAAGTTATGAAGCACCTTCCATATATCTAGACACATTTTCCGTTTCGGGACTGCTTGTTCAGAAGGAAACATTGTTATCGCATAGATACGTTTTAAAACTGTGGTCCGACCGAGAACCCCGTGTTTTCTAAAACTACAAGAATAGCCGGCCTGTTCAGACGAGGAGAGAAAAAGAAAACCTCGAGAGGAGAATGGAAAGATTCTTAGTAAACGGACAATTGGACGAGGCGGACAGTGTGCCACGAGCCAAAAAGAAAAGAAAAAAGATGATACTGGCTGGTATGCCCTCAGATGACACGAAAAGTGGTGCTTGTGGCCCTCCAGCGCTTCGAGTGTTGCAGTAACCCATTTGCTCCAATAACTTAGTGTTTCCCAGACCGTGCGTCTAATCCCATGTGCTCTCCTGGCACGACGCAATCCCACAGCTATAGCTGCTCAAACTCCTAAAAAAAAAGTAGTCGAAGAGATTCCTAGGTTCCGGCCGTGACTGTTGTGAGTCGGGGGGGTATTTCGTGATCAAAGGAGAAAAGTGAAGGGCGGGTAGGCACAGTCCGCCAGGGAGATAGAGGGAATCCTGATATCAGTGCTAGTGGAAGATGAGATGCTGAGCGCTTAACAAAAAAACCCGCTGATGCAATTGCCGAAAATGAAAACAAGGCCTTGGACTTTGCATGCCTGTTCCGTAACCACCAACTCCCAGTCTTTTTCTAGGTCGTTCAGACCGCTCGAGTAGACTGCTGCCAATCCGAAGACATAAGCGACGAGCTTCTTCGCACAAAAGAGAAACCTTCCAATGGACGGCTTCGCCCAAACGAGGTGCGCGCGATACAAATGCGTCGCAGAGCAATACAACAACGATTGGAAGGAAAAGAGAGGAGAAACTTTCAGCCGAGCACTTCGCTGCCGTCGCCAAAGTCTTCGTCCATCTCTTCGCCAATGGCGGTTGCACCCATCATTGCCGTCACTTGCTGGTGCACATTGACATTGACAACCATGTCGGCATCGTCACCATCGTCGTACATGGTACCGTCAGTCTCGTATGTCGGGTTCGTCTCTTCCTGGTTAAGATGGTCGCGCAGCCGAGCAACTCCGTTGCCTGAGAACACACAGAAGACGTCACGTTGGTGCTCGTTGAATTCTACAGAAACGATCAGCATTGGCAACGATTGACGCGCGTGGAAATGGACATACCCGGTGGAGCCTCACGGCAGAACACCAAGAGATCCTCGCGCAGGAATGCCTGCACCCCTGTCAAACTCAAGTGGGTCAAGCGAGGGCAGTTGTTGAGCAGAGCATGAATCCCCTGCACATGAAACGTTAGCAGAATCCTACGACTTCATGCACGGGGCATATTACATTGAGCGTCAGGAGCGTGCAGTAGCTGAGATGCACACGCTCAAGCGAGCACGGGACTGCCTGTCCATTTGCCCCTTGGTGCCTTTGTCTGGCAAGTGCGGTGATGCTCTTGTCGGTGATGTTGCCGCACTTGACCAGGCCAATCCGTTTGAGCTTGGTGAGGGTTGACAGTTGTTCGACAGACTTGTCCGTCAGATTTTGACAGCAGGCGAGATCAATGTAGCGGATGCGCGTGCACATTCGAATCAATTGCTGAACACCAGTGTCGGTAATCCGCGAACAATGGCCGAGGTGGATGTAGTGGAGGTTCTTGCCAAGCTTCGTGATCGCCGCGACGGCACGGTCGGTGATCTGACGGCATTTGGCCAGGACAAGGTTACGCAAACGTGGGGCGGCCGCAATGATCTTCTGGACGCCGACGTCGTTGAGCTCCCCACAATCTGTTAGATCGAGGATGCGGAGGCTCTCGTATGTGGAATCCGGCGGCAAGTTGAGGAAGGCGTGGTCCGTGATGCGGGTGCAGTGCGCAAGGCGGAGCTCTCGGAGATGTTTGCCCTCTCTAATCAGGGCCGTGACCGAGGCATCTTCCAGGTTCCGGCAGTTTTCCAGGTCTATCTCCAGGATGTAGCGGCAGTTGTTGGCAAACGCCATGACAGCGTTGTCGGTGATCTGGGCGCAGTGGTTGAATTTGAGCTGCCCGGCATGGTTAGTGCAAGTCACCGCAAACGGCAATGGAAAAGCTTACCCTCTTCACATTCCTGCAGCTCCGAGCAACGGCTTCCAGAGACTCATCGCTGATCTTCCTGCATCCGCTGATGTTCAGGCCCTGGAGCTTCAAGCAGTTCTTCGCGAGGGCGAACATGGTCCGGTCCGTGAGATTTTCCAACTCGGTTACATCTAGGGCCAGAAGGCTACGGTTGCCTTCCAACATGGCCTCAAGACTGAGGTCCGTGAGCTTGACACACTTGGTCAGAGTCAGGCGCTCAACTCTCTTGCAGCTCGAAAAGGGCTGCAGAGTGCCGTCGCTGACCTCGACACCGAGGGTTGAGAGATTGAGTCTCTTGACCAGAGTCTGGTAGTCAAAATAGCTATCCACCTTTCTGACGGCCTGAACCACTATGTGCACGCTCGGCCATTTGTTGGTCTGTGGGCGGTGCCACAGCAGGCCTACACTATTCCGCGCCCAGTCCTTGGATACGAGCATACTTGACTTCAGGTCGGCGGGCGACGAGAGCTTGGCGAATATGGAGATCATGAGCTCAGCGGGAAGCCGGCTGATGGGTGAGAGGCGACACCTCTCCTCCATCTCGCGGGCATACGTCTCTTCCTCGGAGGTGGAAGGAGCGATGGACGACTGGGAATCGTTGGGCTGCAACATGAAGGAGTCGTTGTCGTCGTCGGGGCAGCGCTCGGGCGACGTCGAAGCCGAGGACTCGGAGCTCGCGCGGCCGCCAGAGAGGCGCTCTTGCCGGCGAGAACGGGTCATTGTGTGGGCGCGTGGGGGGGTAGCGGCGCCAGAGTCAGGGTGGAGGGACGCGAACAAGGGAGTCGCCCGCCCGCCGGTGGGGGTCGAGCTGGACGGAGTGCTTGCGAACGATTCCAGGGTGGCGGTTGCGTGCGACCGAGCACGCCGTGATCTCGTGGGAAGGAGGTATGTGTGGATGCAGAGTGGTGCTCTCCGGGGAGCGCAGGCGATCTCGGACGGGTAGGCCCGACCAGGCGGGAGCGAGGGGATCAGGTGTGGCGGCGGTGGTCGGCGGCGAAGGGCAGAGGGCGGGCTTTGCTGCGGAGGAGGAGCCTGCGGGCGGTGACCGGAGGGGAGGGAGTGGTTTGGAGGGGAGGGTAGGAGGAGGCTATTATGCAGCGTCTACGGCGACGCGCGAAGGACCAGTGACATAGGCTGAGGCGTGGCAGGGACTGCGCTAGCTGCGAGGCCGTGCACGGTCGGGAACGGCGGGCAGACGGGCGTTTCCTGGCGGCGTGGACGATGGAATCGAGCGGCGCGGGAGCTGCGAGGGCAGTGACGGGCTGCGCTGGGCGGGTCCTGCAGGCGCAGGAGAGGTGTTGAGCGGGCTGGATGGTGCTGGGATCCCCGCGACGCTGACTCTGGGCTCCGACTGGCGCTGCGCAGGCGCCGAGCAAAGCAACCTCGATCCGGTCGCCCTGGGCCAGAGCAGGTGGCAGGTGATCGCGCGCGACAACTCACCCGCCCGCTGCCCGCTGCCCGCTGCCCGCCCTCTGAGGCCCGCGGCCGGCCTCGCTCTCGTCGTCACATTACACTCCTTCAGTCCTGCCGCGCTTGCCCAGCGTGGCGTTCTGGGCGCCCAACGCCGCTCGTCTCGATCCGTCGCCGCTCCACGATAGCCTCGTCTTCTAGCACATATCTCCGCGCCTTCTAGCTGCCCTGCCTCGTACGAGCTTCCTCCGACGCACTCCCAAACTTGCTTTATTGCTTTTATCTGCGGTGTGCGCTTCGCCCTCGTCGTCATCGCTCATAGTAGAAGGGAAAAGCAAAGCCTCCACAATACGTCAGCCGCCGCCCCCAGCCCGAGTTCTGCAGCGGCGGAGAGGAACCTAGTGCTTGACTTGAAAGTTGCCTCTTCCGGCGCCATTGACGAGCAATGGAGCGGGAGCTGCCTCCGTGCGTTATACACAGGCTGGTTTCGTATCACCCGCGCCGACCTTGCGTCGTAAACTTCTCATCTGCCTGCCAGCCAGATCCATGGCGGGCTGGAGCCTCTGATCTCCGCACTCTTTGCCGTTTCCCCACAGACAAACGCGCGATTGCCTGCAGGAACGGCAGCATCCTTCTGCACCACTTGCACGAGAGCGTTGTGTGCTGCATTCGATGCCACGCACTGCTGGATTGCTGTTTGTGGTAATGTCTCCGGGCTCCGACTGCTGGACCCTAGCCGTGCATGTCTGTTTGGTTTCGAGCTGCCCCCATGCAAGCTCCTGCAACAGACAACAGACCACCACAGCACTGTCCAGACGCGCCGCGGTTGGGTCCGTTCGGACGCAGCGCGCGAGCGTGTCGAGGTATGCGCTGTCAGACACAGACACAGGAGGCGGAATGCGGAGCTGTCTCACGTCGGGCGCGCGAAAGCTGCTCCCTGGGCCCCAGGCGCTGCGGCAGTCGATGGCCGCTGCACGCCGCACAAGGGTAGGAGCGACAGTAGGGCTTAGCACCGGCGCCGGCTGCCGGGTCCCAGCGGTGTCGCGGCGGCGCAGCTGTCGGATGGCGATGCCGGGCACGTGTGGCGGCGTGGACGAGTGACCGAGTGACCCGGTGGGCGTCTCCACTGCGCGGCCAGCGTGCGGGCGGCAGCGGGGCAGGTCGTACTGTGTTAGGCGGTGGCATGCGCAGCATGCGCAGCTGGGCGCTGCGAATGGCGGGCGGCGCAGCGCATGACGGGCCCGCGCCGCACCAGCTGCAGCGGCACGCCGACCAGATCTCCCCAAGGGCGGTCTGTCTGTCGGTCAAGTGTCAAGCAGTCGTCCCGCTGCCGGGCCATGTTGCCTGCGCACCCGCTCCTGTGGCCGGAGCCCCTTTTCAGTGGCCAAGGCTGATTGGGTGCGGACGGGCTTGGGCGTGCTGCTGGTCCTCGAGCGGGCGATCGTCGCCGAGATCCAACGGTTCCCAAGCACCTCCAGTGGCTGCCCTGCCGCCTCAGTCCCGGACGCAACACCCAGCTCCCAAGCCAACCCTCGCGGCGCTGCAGCTGTGTTGCCCGCGACAGCCCTCTCCCCGGACCGCTGCCGCCCTATGTCTCCGCGCTGATCTGCCTGGCCCTTCCCTCTTGCCGCCGGGCAAATCACCGCCGTCCCAATGACGTCTCAATACCACCCCTCGACCGTAGCCCGCCCTGGCGCCTTCCACGCTCCCCACCACGCCGTCCACCACAATGCCCCGCCCGGCACCTTCGCCTCCGGCACCAAGGTGCAGGTCGGCGGCCACCGCGTCGTCATCGAGAAATACCTGTCCGAAGGCGGCTTCGCCCATGTCTACGTCGTCAAGGTGCCCAACAAGGCGGGGGGACATGACACCGCGGTCCTCAAGCGCGTCGCCGTGCCGGACAAGGACGCGCTGGCGAACATGCGCACCGAGGTCGAGACCATGAAGAAGCTCAAGGGGCACCGCAAGATCGTCACCTACATTGACTCGCACGCCTCGCAGCTCAAGGGAGGGGGTTACGAGGTCTTCCTGCTCATGGAGTTTTGCGCCGGCGGCGGTCTGATCGATTTCATGAACACCCGCCTCCAGCATCGCTTGACCGAGCCCGAGATCCTGCACATCTTCTCCGACGTCGCCGAGGGGGTTGCCTGCATGCACTACCTGAAGCCCCCGCTGCTGCATCGCGACCTCAAGGTCGAGAACGTCTTGATAAACACCGAGGGCGGATCACGGGTATACAAGCTCTGCGATTTCGGCTCCACCGCGCCCCCGCGCCCGGCTGCCACAAACGCCGCCGAGGGGCGCTTGATCGAGGATGACATCCAGCGGCATACCACAATGCAGTACCGGAGTCCGGAAATGGTAGACGTCTACAGGAGGCTGCCCATCGATGAGAAGAGCGACATCTGGGCGCTGGGCGTCCTCCTGTACAAGCTCTGCTATTACACGACGCCGTTCGAGGAGCAGGGGCAAATGGCGATTCTGAATGCGAGCTACAAATTCCCGCATTACCCTCCTTTCTCAGACCGTTTAAAGACACTGATAGGTAGATGCTTTCCCAGCACCGTACTCTCGTGTCTTGCTAATATTTTTGGACAGCATGGATGTTGAAGGAACACCCGCAGCAGCGACCCAACATCTACCTGGTGGTTAAGGAGGTTTGCGCCATGCGCAACAGGGATTGCCCTATAAAAGACGTGGGTTCTCCGCCACCGCTTCGAGACTGCAAACTGACCATGCGCAGATATACACCAATAGGACTCAATCCGAGACACGCAAGAACCAACAGCTCCCGTCGCCTGATCCCAACGGTCCATCTCCGGGGCCCACAATCGGAATTTCCAAGGCTGCGCCTGTGCAACAGGTTCAAGTTCTGCCAGATATCAAACCCATGCGGCGTGGAAGGCCAACCGCGCCGGCTCAGCAAAGCACTGCGGCTCACCACAGTCCCTCTCCTATGAGAGGTACGGGTGGTGCAAACGACCCTTTCGCGGCTTTGGATTCTAACTCGGCGCCCGTGAGGGCCGCCGCCGCCGACGAATTGGCCCAAAGATTTCCGTCCCTGGACGAGTTCTCGCTGCTTCATGACCGGGGCGGGAAGTTTCAGTTTTCCAGCGACTCCCCTGTGGAACCCAAGGCAGAGGCCGTTCAAAAGCGCGTCGCGGAAGCGTTGGCGGAGGAGGCGTTTGCAATTCCGAGTCATCACCAGCCGAAGAGGGATCCGCCAACATCGGCAGCTTCTCCTGCGATACCAGCCAGGTCAGATTCGTTGAGATCAGCTCAGGCCATGTCTCCGAGTCTAAGGTCAGAGGCTAGGCCAACCCAAGGCTCTCAGATCCACCAGCCCCAGCCGCAGCGCCCTTCAATGATCTCTACTGGTATCCAGACCTCGCCTCCTGCTTCACCGGCTCTAAAGCCTGAGCCTGCAAAGTACGAGCCTCCCAAGTATCCAGAGGTCAGCCAACGTCCTATTTGGCGGGTACCGCAACAGTCAAGCCATACCAGAGCGATGAGCCAGCCGAGGACCTCGGAAGACGACCGACGCTCGACACCATCACTACTGAAGCCCGAGCCGGGCCCGCCTGCGCCACATCGCCCCAATTATCTGGACATGCATCGATCCAAGTCACAGACAGCGACTTTACAGCTTCCACAGTCGCCTGCATCATCCAGGCCTTCCTTGGAAGGATCGAGGCCGTCGGGCATGGATCTCACGGATCCCATCAGCCGATCGAAGTCAGCCAATTCGAGAGCGAGGCCTTCGAGTGTGCACGTGGAATCCAACTTGGATTTCTTGCGTGATCGCGAGGCCTCACGGAAGGGTGACAGAGTCACTAACCTGATTGACACGGAATCGGAGCTCAACAGGGTGAAATCTGCTCCTGCGATAGATGCTGAGTTAGAAGAGATGAACATCGCGTCAAACGTTGATTTCCTGCGAGCGTTGGAAGGCGATGATGGGTCTAGAAAGAGCGTGCATCGCCGCACGGGCAGCAACGCAAGCAGGCACTCCAAGAGATCCAGCCTGCCTTCGCTGTCCAATACTAAGAACATCCTTGCCGGAAAGTTCGGAGACGCCTTCCGTCGATTCGAAAACAACACGGACCGACGAGAGCAACAACGCACGCCTAGCCCCGACATTGACATGAACAATCAGCAACTCACGCCGATTGCAGGCTCTGAGGTCACGGGAGAGCGAAGCGACGACGAGACTGCCATTGATGAGACACAAGACCTGCCCGCTGAAGTTCGTCGGGAGCTCGAGCGCCGGAGACTATCGCAAGAGGAGAAGCGCGTGGCGGAGGCAGCTGCTGAATATCGCAAGCGTATTGAAGAACAGGGTGAAGGCGGCAAGGGCAAGCCTGGCGGCGGTGGTCCTTCGAAAGCTTCGACGATTCAAGACCGTGTCAAGAATTTGCTGCAGGACAACACACAGACTTCCCCGAAGAAGCGGACTGCGGAGGGCTATGGCCGTTACACAGAGTCGGCGGCGGAGAAGGGGAAGCCACCACCGCCTGTCGCCAAGAAGCTGCCTTCCCTTCCGTCCGGAGCGCCACAGTCAGAGCTGACGTATCGACCTGCGCGGCCCCAACAGTCTTCTTCGACAGGCCAACCGCCAGCATCCACGGCTTCCGGCTCCCCGTCGTTGCCGCAGGGGAACAAGCCGCCTCCAGCGCCACCGAAGCCAAAGGCGTTGCGCACGGGTGGGCAGTTTGAGTCTCCTAATTCGAACAACTTCCCTCCATCGCCCCAACACCAGAAGCCCCCCTCGCGCGGAGGCCGTCCGGCTGAAGGCGCCACGGGCCTGGACAATGGCTTGGGCATCAACACCGAAGACTGGGAGGCGAATTTCAGCAAGAGGTACCCGAGTTTGAGCGGGCTGGAGATGGTTGAGACGGAGGTGCCAAATGGGGGTCGCTACCGCGACATATAGACACAAGGAGCCCGAGAGGGGTAGGGTCGTGTTCTGGGTCGGGAATGGGGTCGGGACGATAGACGGTGGATACTACGGATTTCTGCCTTGCATTGACAACACGGTGCTGCCAGGGCCGGGGTGGCAGTCATCATGTTTGAATAGGGGGGTGGGTTTTTTTTTCTCGAGCACAGCCAAGGCGTGAAAGTAGGGAAGCACAGATAGATGTTGCGAGAATAAGCGAGGCGATCGCGTCGAATATAAGGTTCTCCAATCCTTGGACTACTTGTGACGGTCATACCTAATGTGAGCTGAGAGCGGAGATGCGGGCAGAGCGGACATGGAGCGGTGGCTTGGCGCCGCGCATGGCGGAAGAGCTCCGCGGCCATGACGCGGGGCACTCACAAAATAGTCTTGGCTTTCCGCACGACACCTTCATCGCACCTTCTCTTCGGCGGGCTGGCCCTTCTCTGTAAATATTTGGCCCCTTCGCGATTGCGAGACCGTGTGGATCCCCGGTCAGGCGGTGATTCGGCAGCGAGACGGATCCTGGTCCAACACACCGCCTTATTTCTCACAAGGCGTCCGCCGCCGCCGCATCACCGCCGCCGCCGTCGTCACTACGGACTTCCAGCCGTGGCCTTTACTGGATCCAACCACGCCGCTACCACCGGAAGCAAGCAGCAGCATCGCGGTACTGACTCACCTACCTTTCCAGCTCGTCGTCCAATCTCAACACACAATCGACCGCAAACCAAAGAGAACGCAACGCCACGCCACCTCCCGCCAGCGTGCGTCACACACGCACACACGAGAAACGAAAGCCAAACAACCCCCCCGTCCGAACCTCACGCCTCACAAACACACACCAAAAAAAAAATAACGGCACCGCCACCACCAAAAACCATCCACCCCCGCTCCCGCTCCCGCCCCGAACCATCAAAGAAAAAAAAAAAAACCACCACCACCAACACCACCAACCATGCTCCCCAACCTCCTCCGCATCACGCCCCGCCGCACCACCAAATCAGACGAAGAACAAGACCAACAAGAAGACCCGGAAGACGTCTTCGCGTCGGCGCTCGGCGCCATCTTCACCGACGACCTGCGCAACCAGCACGGCGACCCCGGCTGCCTCATCACGTACCTGTCGCGGCGGCTGGACCGCGGCGTCGAGCTGGGCGTGGCGGACCCGCGCGGCGAGGCGGAGCGCACCAAGTTTGCGCACTACCTGTGGAACGCGGGGGTTTTGATGGGGGAGCTGTGTGGGGGGAGGCCGGGGGCGGAGGGGGAAGAGGCGGTGGGGGAGGCGGAGGCGGCGGAGGCGGCGGTTGATGGTGGGGGTGGACGACGGGGTGGAGAGGGGGGGAGGAGGGAGAAGGAGAAGGAAAAGGAGTTGGCGGGGGTGGAGTGGCGGTTGGATGGCGGGGAGAAGGAGTGGTGGGTTGATGAGGGTGAGGAGGGGTGTTGGCGGGTCGAGGGGGAGAGGGTCTTGGAGCTCGGGGCAGGTGGGTGAAAATATTATGAGTGCATCCTGTCGTGAGGCGTGAATGGTGGCGGATTTCTTCTTCTTCTTCTGCCCGTTCTGGGGATCATCTTTTTTTCTCTCCCTTTCGTAAATGGGCCGGGAGCGCTGATGGCATCGTCTTTTTGAGCATCATAGGTGTGGGGCTCGCGGGAATCGTGAGCACGCTCGTCGGTGCGGAAGAAGTGAGTGCTGCCTCTTTTTTTTCCTGCAGTATTCCATTGGAGGACCTATGCTAACAATGTGACGGTTTCAACGCAGGTCGTCATCTCGGATTACCCAGCCCCGGAGATCCTGGAGAACATCGAGCAGAACGTGAAGAGAAACGTTCCGGAAAAGCTGAGGTCCAAGGTCTCGGTCCAAGGTCATCTGTGGGGAGACGTGGACTCTGCGTTTGCAGTGGCCAATGCTGGCGGCTTTAGCAGAATCTTGGCAGCAGACTGCCTCTGGATGCCTCATGAGCACCGCAGCCTGGCAAAGTCGATGGTGCACTTTTTGTCGCCAGATCCGCGGGCACGGGTGTTCGTGATAGCAGGCTTCCATACCGGGCGGGCCATGATGGCGCCGTTCTTTGTGACAGTCGTGGAAGAAGGCCTGGAGATTGACGATATCTATGAAATGGATGCCGAGGCGAGGCGGAGGGAGTGGGCGTCTGAGCGAGACGGAGGGAGGGAGGACCACGGGGAGAGGAACAAGTGGCTTGTTGTTGCTCGGCTAAAGCGCAAGCAGTAGTGGATAGGGCCCCTCGTATTGCCATCTCAATCCTTACAGCGACTCTTCATGCCGAGGCATCACTCTTCTTCTTAAAGCACAGGGTGCACACCTTGGAGCCCGTCCTGCCGCCAAAGGTGAAGCTGGGATACTTGATCTTATCCTCGTACTCCAGCAAGCCCCCCTCCACCACGAACCAAGCCTTCAGCTCGTCGGCCGTCCAATTGCAGCTCGTGACCAGCAGCAACCCGCCCGGCTTGATCAGCGGCTCAACCTTCTCCCTGTAGCTCTCGAAGACACGCCTGCCCTGCGCATCCGTTTCGGCGCTCAGGCTGATGGCATCGAACGTGCCCTTGTCCAGCACGACGTCGAACCCGCCCTGCAGCCACTCGGCCCCCGGCTCCTCCCCCAAAATATCCCACACCTCAAACCTTACATCCGCCGCCGCCGCCGCCACCTTCCCCCCGTCTTCCCCTCCATCCCCATCCCCATCCCCATCCCCACCCTCCGCCCTCGCCCTCTCCACCGCAATCCTCCTCGCCAACTCCACGCTCAACGCGCTATAATCCACGCCCACCATCCTACCCCTCCACCCCTCGTCCCTCAGCGCGAACAAGAGGTGCCCGTTCCCCGTGCCCAAGTCGCAGAAGCTGGTGCAGTCGCGCGCGGCGTCGGCACTGTTTTCCTCTTCGAACCCGCCGTCGTCGCCCTTGACGAGGCGCCAGTCGTCGGCGAGGCGGTCGAGGTGCGCGAGCGTGCGCTCCTCGGCGCCCGCGTCGGCGAACCAGACGGTGCCTTCGTCGTGGGGCCGCTCGGCGTGGTTGGCGATTTCGCGCTCGTAGCACGCGTCCCAGTAGGCTTTGGTGCCGAGGGCGGAGGGGTCGAGGTGGGCGGGGGCGTGGTGCTGGTCGTGGGAGTGGTCGTGGTGGTGGTGGAGGTGGAGGTGGTGGTGCTGGTCGTGCTGGTCGTGCTGGTCGTCGTCGGTGGCGGTCATCGTGGTGGTGGTGAGGGATTGCTTGGCTGTGGGATTGGATGGAGGTTTTCGTATTTGGCGGCGTGTGGAGGTGCAAGAGTATCGCGGGGTTGGGGTGAATTTTTTGGATCGTCCGGGGGTTTGCTTATCGATAAGGCGGCAAGCCAGGGGTCCATGAGTAGGAATCTTGTTCGGTACCTATGCTTTTCGCTTCGCTGTCCTTGTTGCTCATGAACACTTGAACGAAACCATTCGAGGGTCACTGTTTCGTGGTCGTTGTTGCGAATTCATGTATTCTCGGGCCTGCTGAAACTCTCCAAAGACCCTTCACAACCATGTAGTCGATTATTGAAGATGAAGCACAACTTCATTGTAATGAGGTGGTATCTTTTTCGAGTGGCAGAACAATATCTGAACTGGCCCTTACACCCACAACAGTCATTGCTCTCCATGGAAATGTTCTTCTCTTCGCTTTGGTAAATCAATTCAGACCTCACAGCCTCCCGATCAAACGTCTGCCCTCATTGCCATCACATGCACACTTCTGAATATGGGACGTGCCTGCCCAAACATCTGTTGTGCGCTCCCCATGAGGTCTTTCATGTGAATGGACCCTGCATGAAAGGGCACAAGCGCCTTCCACGCAACAACAACAACTGCACCGCATGATGCAGTCAGCCGCTTATTTGTGCGATCACGGCACTCAACCCTGCATGCGCACTTTCCACGAGCTCCCAGACTGGCCCCATGCCGTTCAGCTCCCTCCGCACCCCCAATCCCATAAATACCCCGCCTCTCTTCACCCAGGAGTCTTCTTTTCTTCTTCAGCTCTCTTTGCCTTTTGGCTTAGATCAAGTGTAGTATCTGTTCTTTTTAGTTTAATCTCTAGAACGCCCCTACGGGGGCATTTCTCTTGATTAAACTAGTTTTTGGAACCAGGTCGATGGCCTCTGAGCTCCGCTTACCGTCATTGACCACAGTGTCGCCTGTATTGCACTGTCTCGGGCTGATGCGAACACCCTCTTTTTTCGTTGAGACACTTCACCATGCGTGGAGGCTTGAGGAAGAAGGACCTTCTTTGGATTGACAATCCGAGCAAGAGACGCGAGGTGGATGAAGCAGACTTCACAGTTCACACCAGCTCACTTCACCGCGCCTCACTTCCATGCTGCCGTCTACCCAGAAGACACATCAACTGCAGCAGCAGCAGCGGGCGGGATGTATTCCGAAAGGAACCCGCACATCTTGACTTTGTGCACGCTGGCTCACTGCACAGTTCTCACATGGCCTTCGATAAGCACGGAATGGGGATGACGCAAGGGTGGTGTTATCCCAGGCGCTACAGACGGCAACTGTGGGCCCAGTGACTTTACTGCATGAACCATCGACATTGAATCCACACAACTTGCGGCGCTGATTGGCACCGGCGGCTATCCGAAATATCCGTGATATTGAAGCAAGAAAGCATCGCGGCAGCATTAGTGCAGGCACATGATATCTCTGAGGCACGAGACAGACTAAGCTCGGAGGCTAACCGGCCTGAATTTGGCCGCGAAGCTAATGACAGGTGTTGATAATGAGCAGACTTGAGGTAACGCCAGCCTTTGTTACAGGACAACAGGCCGAGGGGTCTTTTTTCCTTTTTGAAAAAGAAAGAGTGCGTATTGATTATAAACACAAAGTTAGTATTGATAGCTCGGAGGACGTCGGCTGATCGGGAATCATGGATCGTGCATGTTGCTGGTGATGTGTTGGTGTCTTTCTCATAGCCGACTCTCAACTGCCGAAGTCGGTGAGTCAGCAGCCAGCAACGACCACGTTCAGGCACTTAAGCTACATCATCGTCAGTGGAGACCGGCAGATGCGTTCGGGAGTGCGCAAGAGGCTGTGCGGGCCATGAAATTGGCGACAAAACACAGATAGTCATGGCTCCAAGTGTCCTCACAAGCAGTCGACGCTGCTGATGGCGTCTACGAGAAGGTTGAGTGATGTCAGGAAGCAGCAAGGCCAGGCCGGGCCGGCCTAAGGAGAAAAGGGGAAGTGTGCGCCAGATCTGTGCGGCGGCACCCGGATGTGTCCCCGCGTTCCCCATGATCGAATTCGCAGGTGTGGGGTACCCATGCACCCTGCTGCTCCACAAATCAGCGAGCACATGCTGAGCTGCGGCTTCTGGCAAGCCTTGGTTACCGAGCGGCGCCACAGCCTCGACTACGAAGTCATGCAGCTGGCGCTTATGACCGACCGTCAACTGCCGAACCACCTCCTGCGTGCTCAGCCGCCCTTCCACCGCCGACGCCTATCAGGTTTCATGGTTGGTGCTCAAGCATCTCGGTAGTCCATCCCAGCCCTTGCGTCGCTTCCTGAACGGCTATCGTATTGCTGTCGACCGGTGTATATATCATGGCCCGCGCCGCCCCATCAGGAGCTTCATCTGAGCTCTTCAACACGCCAGACACTCCCCAACGATGGTGCTCAACGATGTCGTACCTTTTCTCGTGCAGCACTGGCCTGCCGTGCTCGGCGCGGTGTTTGTCATCCACATCCTTCGAAACAAGTTCAACAAAGGCCTGCACAAGTACCCCGGTCCCGCTCTTGCGGCGTATACAGACTGGTGGCGGCTCATCGATGTGTGTGGCCGGAAAACGGAGCAGACACACATCCACCTCCACCAGAAGTACGGAGACTTTGTCAGGCTCGGTCCGAACGTCATCTCCATTGCGGACCCGAAGGCGATCAAGACCATCTATGGCTTGAACAAGGGCATGACGAAGGTGAGAACAGTCCCTTCCACGTGCGTCGAACGGGAGGCTTACAACGAGGCAGTCCGACTTCTATCCCATCCAACAAGCCACGGCTGGCGGCCACCGTGTCTGGTCCCTCTTCTCGACCAAGGACGAGGACTGGCACGCCAAGTACAGACGCTGCATCAACGGGGCCTTCGCCATGAGCGCGCTCGTGTCGTACGAGCCGCTCGTGGACTCGACCGTCAACTACTTCCTCGACCAGACGGACAAGCTCTTCGCGTCGACGGGCCAGGTGTGCAACTTCAACCGGTGGCTGCAGTTCTTCGCATTCGACGTCATCGGCGAGCTCACGTGGAGCAAGCGGCTGGGGTACATCGAGAAGAACGAGGACATCGACAACATCGTCGGCTTCCTGGCCAAGTTCCTCAGCTACGCCGCCGTCGTCGGGCAGCAGCCGTGGCTGGACCTCCTCATCGACAAGAACCCGATCAAGCTGGCGCTCCAGCGCTACGGCGTCATCGGCAAGGTCTTCCCCATCGCCAAGTTCGCGCTGAGCCGGCAGGCGGAGCGCGCGGACGAGATGGACAAGATCCGGCAACACGGGCTGCAGGTCGACGGCGCGAAGCGGACGGGCGGCACCGACCTGCTCAGCAAGTTCACGGGCGCGCTGCACGACCACCCGGAGTTCATGACGGAGCGCATGGTGCTGGCGGCGTCGGTCAGCATGGTGTTCGCGGGGTCCGAGACGACGGGCATCAGCCTCAGCGCGGCCTTCTACTACCTGCTGAAGCACCCGCGCGTGTACGCCAAGCTGATGGAGGAGCTCGACGAGGCCGTGCGCAACGGCACCGTCGTCGACCGCGAGAACGGCGCCGTGACGTGGGCCGAGGCGCAGAAGCTGCCCTACCTCGACGCCGTCGTGCAGGAGACGTTCCGCATGCACCCCGCCGCCGGCCTGATGCTCGAGCGCGTCGCGCCGCCGCAGGGCATCACCGTGTGCGGCCGGTTCGTGCCGGGCGGCACCATCGTGGGCTGCAACGCCTGGGTGCTGCACCGGCGGCCCGAGGTCTTCGGCGAGGATGCGCACGTCTATCGGCCGGAGCGCTGGATCGAGGCGCGCGGCGAGAAGCTGAGGGAGATGAAGGCGACCATGTTCCAGTTCGGCGGCGGGTCCAGGACGTGTCTCGGCAAGAACATCAGCCTGCTGGAGATATACAAGCTGGTGCCCAGTTTCTTGCGACGCTTCGAGCTCGAGCTGGAGCACCCCGGCCAGGAGTGGAAGACGCAGAACCACTGGTTCGTGCGCCAGGTCGAGTTCAACACCCGCTTCAAGCCCCGGCCGCTCCACGCCACGGTTTAGGCGTATCTGTCCTTGTTTCTTAGCCGGCGTCAGCAGGGAGTTGTGGTGGGTAATTCGGCGTCTCGGTGCGGGCACCTTGGATAGCACTCGAAGAAAATTTGATGTAACCACTCATGTTCTTGTCCATGCATCTCAATGTGAATGTGAGGGTTGAGTGGGCCGAGTGATCGGTTGTTGGAGGAAGACGTTGCCGAGCTGATGTCGGCGCGCTGCCCCTTCTGCCGGCGCCCAGCACGACCTTCCTCGACACTTTGTCCTGCTCCATTGGGTTGCCATCTCAGCTTGACACTTCGCCGAGTACCAGTGATTTCATTCGCCTTCAATGCCATCTGCTTGTAGGATTTCTGAAGTGGAAGCCAGTATAAGCCCAAGAAACATACCGACCCGTGAAAGCAGCAATCGGATGTGACGGCCTGCCGTCTAATGGAAACTCAACCCTATCTGCTCCATCACAACGCATATAAACAGCCCACCCCTTCTTCTCAACCGTCAACCCCCCTTTTCCCCCCAAGTTCCATCAAAAATGGCCGCATCAATCAAGAGTGTCCCCAGCGCCGCCGTCCTCGAGGCAGCCAAAGCCCGCTTCCTCGCCCGCAACCCCAACTCCCTCCGCCTCCACAAAGAAGCCGCCCTCAGCATGCCCGGCGGCAACACCCGCACCGTCCTCCACACCGCGCCCTTCCCCGTCAGCATGTCCCGCGGCGAAGGCTACCGACTCTACTCCGAAGACGGCCACACGTATGCACTTCTTTCCTCCCTCAACCCCATCCTCCCTCCCATCCTCCCATCCTCCCATCCTCCCCACCCTTCCCCCACCACCACCACCACCCACAACTAACCCCCCTCCCCTTCCCCCAATCCAGCTACACAGACCTAACCGCCGAATACACCGCCGCCCTCCTCGGACACTCGCACCCGCGCCTCCTCTCCGCCATCACGTCCACCCTGCACGACACGGGCCTCAGCCTCGGCGCCTCGACGCGGCACGACGCCGCGCTCGCGCACGCGCTCTGCGCGCGCTTCCGGCTCGCCCGCGCCCGCTTCTGCCCCTCGGGCACCGAGGCCAACCTGCACGCGCTGGCCGCCGCGCGCGCCCACACCGGGCGCTCCAAGGTCGTCGTCTTCGCTGGCGGGTACCACGGCGGGGTGTTGGCGTTTCCGGCTCCGCACGGGATCGCTACGCCGAGTACGGTGGATCGGGGGCGGTGGGTCGTGGGGCGGTTCAATGACGACGCGCGGGGGGTGAGGGAGGTTGTGATGCGCGAGAAGGGCGGGGAAGATGTGGCGGCGGTGCTGGTCGAGGGCATGCAGGGGGCGGCGGGGTGCGTGCCGGGGAGGAAGGACTTCTTGCTCGCGGCGCGCGAGGCGGCGCGCGAGGCGGGCGCCGTGTTCGTGCTCGACGAGGTGATGACGAGCCGGATGGGGAGGCGCGGGCTGCAGGGGGAGCCGGGGCTGGAGCTGGAGCCGGACCTGACGACGTTTGGGAAGTGGCTGGGCGGGGGGTTGGCGTTTGGCGCGTTCGGCGGCAGGGAGGACGTCATGGCCGTGTTTGATCCGACGAGGGAGGGGGAGGGGGCGTTGGCGCAGAGCGGGACGTTCAACAACAATTCGTTGGCTATGCGGGCGGGCTTGGTGGCTTTGACGGAGGTGTTTACCAAGGACGTGGCGGAGGAGTTCATGCGGGTTGGGGAGGCGTTTTTGAGGAGGCTGAGGGAGGTCACGGCGGGCACGAAGGCGACGTTTACTGGGGTGGGGACGGTGCTTTGCTTGCATGTTACAGATGAGGGCGTCAGGGATATTGTGCGGGCGGGCGAGATAGAGGAGAGAGATGATCTGAAGGACATCTTCTGGATGGAGATGATGGAGGAGGGCTTCTGGATTACGAGGCGTGGGATGATTGCGCTGATTCTGGGGACGCCCGAGAGTGAGTTGGACAGATTCGTCGAGTGCGTAAAGGCGTTCCTTGAGAGACATAGAGATTTGATGGCACTGTAGCTAGTCGTACGGATGTATGGCCTATTTGCTCTTCTGTTGCTAAGCCAATTTCGTATGAGTAAGCTCCTAAACAAAAACCGGACCTGTTAGACCTAATTGCCATCACTCATGCCTCGGATCCGTTGTTGGCCCTTCTCCTTCTTCCTCTTTGCAGAGGGCAAAGCGTCTGTGTTCGGATATACGATCGACCAGATATGCGGAGAAAGCGTCTTATAGAAGACCAGCTCAGACTTAACGCTAAAGTCAGCCTTAAGGCGTGGCACCGTTTGCGCAGTGCGATGGGTAGTGTCGATCACGTAGATATGATCTCTGGGTAGCACGTTCCGCATAGATTGAGATTTAGCAAACTTATCCGTTGTATTATGGGTCAGTGCGCAACACTGGAGTGTTAGTAGAACGCGTGAAAGAATAAGCTGGGCCACTAAATGACCAGAGTATAACTCATGTAGAGGATGGAGAGCCAGCAAAAAGACGTTGCGCAGTAGAAGAAGATTCCAGATGTGATTGGCAAAGACGACCTGGAAAATGGCTTGCGGCAAGAAAAAAAGTTCCACGTTGCTGTGCAGACGACGGTAATGGCAATTCCTTGATGCTGCGTATTTTCGTCTCACCTTTTGCAGGCTCTATCCGATCCACCATGGTACGGCAGAACAGTTGAGGAGCGTGTTAGGACTTTCAGCCCGCAAAGCAGACGCAACCTCGGGTGTCGATATTTACCTTCCCCTGACCGCATTGAACGTGCGATACCGGATGGTTTCAGGATAGAAAGCCACAACACTCTCTCCACTGCTACATGCTGGCAGAACACACATGGCAACAACCCACACGATGCAACCGGTCGTCGAGGCAGTGAGGAGGTTAGGTTCCACTGTTGTCCTAAGCTCAAAGCTGCATGGGCTGAGACGGATAAGCCTCTCCGCATGCACCCTCGGGTGGTCCTGGAGCAGGATGCCTGCTGAAGTGTATTGTGGCAAAGGCACTGATCAAACATGCCAACCCCGCCCGCGACCATGGATCATCGGCCAACACAGAAGGTGGGAACGTTCGCACCACAGACCCAGGAGTGGTTCGATACTGCGTCAGAGTAGCGGCTCCGTCCAGGCTCCCGCCGCTGTTCCCCGCGGAGACCACGAGGTGTGTCTGAGACACCCCACTTTCGGCACAATGGCGATTGAGTTGTTTGAGTGCTGGCGCTCAATGGCCGGGTTTCGCGTCAGCCTCGCCACCAGCTCGGGAAGCGGTGGAGTCCGTGTCGCAACTGAGTCTGGCACACGCACGCCTGCATGGAGGCACGGTCCCGTGTCGTTTTTCTGGAAATCAAAGAAGCAGCAAGGCCGCCCCGTTTATCTCCTCCTGATCTCCAAGCGCGGTGAGCTCGACGACGGTTTAGCGGTGAATGAGACGGCGGTTCCAGCTCTGATGCGGCTCAGGCGTCGGTCAGCCGTGGCGCTCGTGTAAGGCAGCGCTGGTGGGCGGAAGGGCGCGGGTCGGGGGCAGTCTGCTTGAACTGGGCGTGCGAGGTTCCTTTTTCAGGCGGCGAGAGGCTCACAGACCATTGGGCCCGGCGCGTTCATGCAAACGAGATATAAAAGGCAACGGCAAGCCTGGGTCCCTGGGAGCGGCGCGCCGCCACACACACGACACAACGCCAGCCTGTCGGTGGCGCACGGATCTGTCTGGCGCAGGTGACGTGGAGTGGGGACGAGCGCGCGAGGCGTCGTCGCGCTGGGTTGGCGGAGAGACGGTGAGGGACGCGGGTCGGTTTGGCGGGCAGTCGCCGGGGCTCAGCAGCGGCGGGCAGCCATTCGTTGGCCTCGACTGCACGAGCGACGCGACGCGACGATCCCCGGCGGATCACGCAGCCGCCATCCACCACCCACGGCTGCATGGCGGCGCGAGCTAGGCAGAGGCGCCTGTCACGGCGACGCAGCGGCCGATGGTCTGCGGCGCGGCAGAGCCTGGAGCGGAGCCTGGAGCGGCCCCTGGCAGCGAAAAATGAAGAGCAAGAGCAGAACAATGTAGAGCGAGAAATTAAAAACGCCGCGGTCGCCAATAGCTGGCCGTTATGCGCCCGCACGTCTCGGCTGCAGGCCCCGCCGTCGGGCGTTAGAGGGACGGGGCAGGGGTGTTGAATGGCTGGCCCAGACGAGATGCTCTCCCAATAACAAGCCCGCCGCCTCATGCTGCACCGCATGCTCGCGCCGCCATTGCCCTCCGCTCGCCGCTCCTCCGCCGCCTGCGACCGCGAGCCTCAGCCCTGCGCTGTCTGCAGAGCCCGCACCAGCCCCCTCGGTCCGACGCGCGCACGTTCCGGACGTCATCTGGCCTTCATATCCGCCGTGCCGCCCGCCTCAGCTGCAATTTCGCTGCGCTCCCCCCCGAGCCGATGCGCCGCCCACACCCACCCTCGCCCGTCCCGCTGTCTCTCTAGCCCCTCGAGCACAGCGGTGCCTGTAGCATCATAACGCATAGCGTGACTGCCCAAGTGGGCACCTGAGTGGACTCAGCTTCCTTCTCGCTGTGGCGCCGCCGACGAAACCACCCGGGACCACATCCCTGTCGCCCTTTGCGCTTGTCGCGCTCCGCCTCAACTCTCCCTCCTCCGCTCTCTCCCTCTCTTGCAGCGAGCCCGCCACCGCTGAGCGGCACCCCCACCCCTCGCATGGCGATGGTGTCTCACGCGCAGACCGTCACCACCATCACGCCTCCCGCATCCGCGCATGGCGAACGCAGCTCCTGGGACTTCGCCGTCCCTATAAGCCCCGAGGTGCGTGCCCTTCCTCATCTCAACCGCCTGAGCAGGCGGCCCTGCCTCTCCTCGAGCGCTGGTTCTGTCCTGCGCACTAGCTCTAGCATCCGCTCAGGGTCCCGCTGGCGATGCCTGTACAGTCCCAAGAAACTAGTCGCACTAACGTCATAGGTCCCACCAGAACGTGACCTTCGATCATTACATTTCTAACGATCTCGCCGGCAAGACCTACTCACCCCGCCAACCGCTCAGTGGTCAACCAAACGGTTTCCCCCGGCCCGCCCAGCACCGCACCAACACCTTTGACTCGGCCCGCTCCAACAAGTCGGGGCATGTTGACGCTCATTTTGTACCCAGCCGATTCGACGTCCAAGCCAGAAAGCCGAGTGGCCAGAACGAGGCGGACAGTCTGCTCGACATGCAGAGGAACGGAGACAAGCGGAAGGTCTCGAACGGCGCACACTCGAACGAGAAGGACGCCACCGTGCGTGACCAGTCGTACTGGATCCACCGCGACAAGCTCGCTCAGATTGAGCGCCATGAGCTGGAAGAAGCGGGGTTCATCCCTCGCAACGGCGGAAGGTCGACTAGCAGAGACAGCAGCAGGTCGAGGGCCACATCCCGCAAGAGGGGCGACACCTCCACCAGCAGGGATGGCTTGAGTCACTTCTCTGGCGACGAGCCAAAGACACGTATGGTATCCCCCATTCCTGCCGAGGACGAGCCGGAAGATTACCGACATTCCAATGTTGTCACCGACTGGCGCTACCGTGAGGAAAGCAGCGTTGAGAGAGAGAACCATTCAACAAGGAAGGACCCTCCCAGGCCCGGCACTTCGAGGATCCCTATCCCCAAGCATACTCCAGCGCCGATCCCAGCCGAGGCTGTCGAAAGAGAAGCACCGCTGCCGCGCAGCCGGAGTGGAAGTCAGGTGTTGGGTGCCACGTCGGGACCTGACGGCATTGCTTACCGACGGAGGAGGGGTGGCAGTATTGGAAGCCAGGTGCTTCTGGACGATGTGTCCGATCAGGGAAGCTCGAATAACGGGGACGTCGATTCTAAGAAGGCCTCGCCCAAAAACGGATCTCCGAACAAGGCCAAGATGCCTTCGAGCAAAGTGCCGGCCTCAGGAAAGAGGACGCAGAGCAAGCCACGCACTGGCTCGCAGACCCAAACCAAGTCGAGAACGAACTCTGGTACCAACAACAACGGCCGGCCACGCACCGCCTCACGCCCGACAACCGCTCGCCCGGAGGGAGAGGCGCCCTGGATTGCGACCATGTACAAGCCGGATCCTCGGTTGCCTCCGGAGCAACAGATGCTTCCAACGCATGCAAAGCGTATGGCACAGGAGCAGTGGGAGAAGGAAGGCAAGGTTGGGACTATTTACGACAAAGACTTCAGACAGCTCAACGAGTACGACTACTCACAACATCGCCGTTCTACTGGCTCCATGTCCCCTGTACTTCAGGACCCTGAAGCGGAGCACTACGAGTCCTTGGAAGTCCAGCAAGTCCAGCCGAGGCCCGAGGAGAAGAGAGAGGACAGGATGGAGGACAGGAAGGAGGAGAAGAAGGAGGAGGAAGTGGTGCAGAAGGCCGTAGAGCCGAGCTCCAACTGGCCCTTGAACGCTTCCCCGAAGGTCGAGCAGAACGGAAGACCTCAGACAGGCACAAAGGAGAACGCAGGGTACAAGATCACTCCCAGCATTCCCACCTCGCCTGTTTTACCCAACATTACTACCACCGTTACGGCCCAGCACAGCCCCAAGCCGGAAACCATCAGGATGCCCGATCCCGACGAGAAGGAAGAGGGCAAGCCTAAGAAGAGCGCTTGCTGCTGTGTGGTCATGTAACGAACGCCCAATCCGCCGGATTTCCCATGTCACCACCTTTTATATTCTTTAATCTTTCCAGCACTGCGCGGCCTTTCCTTAGTATCATTTCTGTTCCCGGGATATCTTCCATTACCGTACCATACCCTTGACACGGGCACTGAAAGCCCCTGTACAGCGACGCCTACGTCTCATTTGTGTGTTTTCAATCGGCGTTTGGGAGCGAAAATATCTCGATACAGCCCCCGGAAAGTTTTCATTTGCTCCTTTTCCTTTTTGCTTCCTATGATAGCGTTCAGCGGCTTGGTATTTCCTACTCTTTTCAAGCATAGCGCTCTGACGCTTCCATTCCGTCACCGCTCAAGACCAGCCTGCTCTTTCTTTCCTTTTTTCAGCTTTAGATGTGCTTCCCCGGCGGGCTATCAGGCTTTTTCGAGTGGAGCGTGGTGGAGTTATCGCAAGGCGGCAAGACACAGTTGGGACGGCCATTTGCTTTCTCGGTTCAATAATTTCCTTTCCATTAGCAGGGGATTTGGAAATCGGCAAGGCGTGTAGGAGGGACGGTTCTTGGATGATGTGTCATTGACACAGGAGAATCCGATAGCTGCGATTGAATGGCAGCGTTCAGATTGCTTTTTCCTACGTGCACTGTGGCTATCACGGTGTAATAAGAGAACTTCATATATTGAATCGAGCAACCGACCTTGGCGTGTAGATCGACTTAAGGCGTGCTGTCTGTCTGTGGTCAGGGCGCAAGACGGACGTTTGAGCGCGTGAAGTGGTTGAGGCGCGAGTTGCGTGATCACGTGCAGGGCCGAGTCTCCGCTGGCCGCCAAGACCCGGGCCGACTCGCTTCACGGCACAGAGAGGTTGGGCTCGATCCGCAAAATCGACTATCGGGAAACTTTTCGCCCGCTCGCAACCCACCAACGAACGACAACCCACAAGTCTCCGTCGCATCTCTTCGAGGAACACCCGACATCACATCCACCATCTAGTCACAATGGTAAGGAGCTCCCGCGTCCCAGGACAGCCTCGCAATGAGGTTGTCAGCTACCTCAACCCGCAGCCCCTCCCACCTGCCAACCGCCTCGTTACGAGCCTCAGCCTCGTCACCGACACATCATCGTCGCGCCTCACGAGCAATGAGATGCCGACTGGAACAAAGACGTCTGCCCGGACACCGCAAATGCTAACGCGACGTCTTCAATGCAGTCGGACGGAGAAGAGCCCACTTCCCCCGTTGAGCAGCAGGAGGTCGAGGTTTCGGCCGATGCCTCCTCCGGCCAGATGTCGGTTCTCGACGCCCTCAAGGGCGTCCTGAAGCTGGCCCTCATCCACGACGGCCTCGCCCGCGGTCTGCGCGAGGCCTCCAAGGCCCTCGACCGCCGCCAGGCCCACATGTGCGTCCTCAACGAGGCGTGCGAGGAGGAGGCCTACAAGAAGCTCGTCGTCGCCCTCTGCTCCGAGCACAAGATCCCCCTCATCAAGGTTCCCGATGGCAAGCAGCTCGGCGAGTGGGCCGGTCTCTGTACGTTTTTCCACTCTCTCTTTTCGCCCTTTTGTTGTTGTTGTGTGTTTGTCCGGTTGCTGACTGTTCTTGTTTTTTACAGGCCAGATTGACCGTGAGGGCAACGCCCGCAAGGTCGTCAACTGCTCTTGCGTCGTCGTCAAGGACTGGGGTGAGGAGTCTCAGGAGCGCAACATCCTCCTCAACTACTTCCAGACCGAGCAGTAAATGTGCTGCCCCCAAATCTTTTTCATTCTTGCACATACCCCCCCAAAAAGATGTGCTGCAAACATCACGCTGCAAGACAAAATGTATGGCCCCGATACGGCTCGCTTGAGTTTCATGAGACGGGAAATCGGATCGGGATTTCGGGCATGAAGTGAAATCGGGGACATGTGGTGTGCTTTGCAGTGAGGAAAAAGTGGGAAAAGGGACATGAAAAAAACGGTCTGGCTGGATCTGAGTGGGAAAACACGGGCGCACGGTTGATGTGGATGGTGGCTCCCATATAGACGGAGAAATCGAAAACATCAATACGAACCAAACACGTGGGTTTTTCTCGATTGTTGCGTGACGTTGGACGATGCGTTTCTACATGGCCGGCACTCTGAACCCCCCGCGTCCAAACATACAGCTGCCAGCCGGCCCTTCGGCACTATCGTGTCTGGAGAGGCATCAGAGACCGACATGCCAAAAGAGTCTACCATCTCAGCCAACCGTCTCTTCCTAGCCTCATCTAAAACTTTAACCTGACACCAAAAAAAAAAAAAAAACCACCTTCACTAGGTTCTTCTCTCCCAGCCCGGTAAACGACCTGACTTCATCTACTCTAGTCACTTCTCACCGGCCACCGTACTTTTTTGTCTACTGCTACCTACCTACCTACCTACCTACCTACCTCCCTACCACCCCTTGCCTGCTACACCCATCAATTACCAACCACCACCAATCACCACCAATCACCACCAACCAACCACCTACTCGACATACATACACAGCACCCACCCAAAACTCACTAGTCACTCCCACTCACTCCCACTCCCCCCTCCCCACCCCGCCATTCGTCCCGCGGCCCGGCCCGCCCAGCACCGCCGACGGCGGCTTCGGCACCGCCAGCTCCACGTCCTCGGCCACCTTTTTGCGGACGCCGCGCTCGCGCTCGCGCAGCTCGCCCCACTCGCGCCGGATCTGCTCCGCGCGCCGCTCGCTCACGTCGGCGGTGCCCCAGACGTAGTTGCCGGCGCCGCCGCGGCCGGTGCGGGCGACGGGGACGGAGGAGGTGGTGGAGGAGGTCCCGGTGGTGGTGGTCGAGTTCGAGGTGGGAGCGGATGGGGTGGTGGTCGTGGTGGGGGAGGACGACGACGACGACGTTTTGGCCGTGTTCCACCAGTTGGAGCTGGAGTCTAGGTTGGAGAGGGGCGCGGGCGGGGGCTCGGCGGTGGAGAAGGACGGGTTGGTCGTGCTGGCGGTGGTGGGGTCGTTGACGAAGGTGCCGGTGGAGCTGAGGGCGGCGGGGGAGTAGAAGTTGCCCGCGCCGCCGCGGCCCATGTGCGCGTATTCCTGTGACGCCGCGGCGGTGTTGGCGGCGGCGGCAGAGTCGTCCGTGGCTGCTGATGTGGTTGGGTTGGCGGCTTCGAGGTCTTGGGTCTGTGTGTGGGAGGAGGTTGGATGGGGTTAGCCTTGTTTGTTCTTCGGCAAGAAGGAAGCGAGGTGATTGGGTCGAGTGGGAGAGCGAGCCGGCGGGGGTTGTGGTTGGTCCGAGGGTGAGTGTACAAGCTAAGTCTCTGTGCGACTTCGATGGACGGAAGAGGTAACTCGGCTGTGCTGACTAGAGAGGCCTGTGACGTCCCCCCCGCCGGCGGCAAGACCTTCAATGTCCCTCAACGCTTGTAGCGCTGTCCGACCCACCGCGGTGTGCACAACAGCCCCAATACATGACAGGCCCACGTCGATGACAAGAAACGTGGGCAATAGCTAGGCGCGGGTCTTGGCTCGTCCGTCTGACAGCTCACACCAGCGTCGCACAGCCACGCAGGTCGAGTATACCAGAGGGACCAAGCGCCACACAAAGACAGACAGACGAGAATAGGAATGGGAAACGGGGAGAGAAGCCGGGCGCTTAGGACAGGACTCACCTCCGATGCGCGCTGCTTGTTGGCCTCTGCGGCCTGCTGGATATTACCTGCGCCTCCGCGTCCCCACATCCTTGCTTGTTTGTTCTTGTAATGTGACTTTTGAACGTATGTCTTGCTCTCTCCTAGATCGAACGAGACGTCTCGTTCGTAAGAGCGCGGGTAGCTGTTGATGCACGGCACACGACAGGGTTGTCCGTAGAGCTTCCTTCGGGCTTACGGCAAGCGGAAATCGGTAGTACAGAAAGAGCACGAAAGGAAAAACAAAAGACAACTTCAGAAAAACAAAGTCTCCCCGGATATGATCGCGGCCACTCTCGACTGATGTCGTCGTCAGGAAGAGGTTGTGCTCTCTCCGCCGCGCAGACGACTGGGGGTATGGGTGTGGAAACCTAGGCTCGGATAGGCTCTAGCTCTTTCCGGGGCTTGCTTTGGCCGTGCCGTCGGTCTGGGCAGCGATGTTGCTGGCCGAGCAGGTGACGGCGAGGGCGCACGCTTTGTCGGGTTGGCGAGGCAATATCGAAGGCTGCAGGTGCCAGGCGTTTGTATGCCGGATACCGTAGTGGCGCACCGTCAGCAAGGAGCGTGGTGAATGAGGTGATGAGCTGGCGGCCTTGTGGAACGGCTTGCGGGCGGGCGATGGGTTCTCTGAAGCAGGATCTGGAGATTGTCGGAGAGGTTGCCGGCGCAGTTCCCCAACGGAGGCAAGACGAAATTCGGGACCGAGGTCGGGTCTGACTCGTTGGCCTGGGGGCGTGGGCACGACAGAGGTCGCGCTCGCGGATCGGCAGATGGCACAATGGCGGCAGTTACGATAAAGTCGTGGTCAGAGAAGCACTGCGAGCAATGTCTGGGCGGCCGTGTGGGGTGTGGCGCGATAGCACTGGCACCGGCCTCCCGCGCTCGCTTGCCGCCGATGATGTCAACCCCGGCCAAGCCTCTCTCCCCCGCCAGCGTCGCCCTCCTTCAGCGGAACTCTCGGCACCAGCCTGCAGCGCCCAGCGCTCCGCATCCCGGGCAGTCACCAGACGCATCGAGGCAATCGAGACTTGATAGTGAACAACATGACCTTGCCCATAGATATCTAAGTAGCGCGTATCGAGACTGCGGCAGTCGCAAAGCACAAGCCAGCAATAAAAAATAAAAGCCGCCTCGACACAAGCCTGTCCATAAGAGGCGCACATGAAGATACTCCTGCCAGTCCGCTCCACCCAGTTCCAGCCACTCCTGGTTTGACTCCGGAGAAAAAGAAATACATAGGAAAGGAAAACGAGTGAGGCTCCTCGCTGCACCTGGGCATCGCCTCTGCTCCAGCCGTAGCATGGAGTCCGCAAATCTCATCCACGAGAACTTAGGAAAGGGGCGAATGCGGTTCCATTCCGTACCCGAGCATCATAATACACGTAAACTTTTGGAGCAACGGCGTCCTTAATCGCTGTCTTGCACAGCTCGTAGGACCGGATACAGACTGCGCTCCTCCTCCGACATGCCGGCACCAGCGGGGCCGCCACGTTCTTCCGCGCTCTCCTGCTTGACTGCTGCCGTGTGCTCGTCGTCATACTCGCCGCGCTCAAGCTTGACCTTGATGAACGCGCGCAGCTCCTCGATCATGCGCATGTTCTGCACCCAAGCCTCGTTGTCCTGCTCCGAAGCGCCCTGCTCAGACTGGTGCTCCGAGGCAGCCTCGGACTGCTCACCAGGAGAACGGAGCGACGGATCAAGCGGAGGAGGCGATTGGATAGCGAGCTTGTGGACGTCCTTGCGGAGACCGTCGCGGTCAACCGAGTTGCGTCGTGATGCACTGGGAGTCGAGTCGTTGTCTGAAACGTCCATGGCATCCTCGTCACGCGACGGGCGGGACTTCTGCAGCTGGTTACCCGACCATCTCCTGCGGCCGTCAGAGTCGAAAGGAGCAAGGTTGGGCGCGTTGCTGGTTGCCGGGTAGCTGCCGGCGATGTCCGACATGGCGCTGACGGATGGGAGAGTCGGGTACATCGAGATGTTTGGTCGCGACACGGGAGAGATGGTCTGGCCAGAGTGGACAGAACCGGGAGACTGGCCTGAAGTGTACGACATCACACTCGATGCCGGAGTCAGCGCGGGGGTTTCAGTTGCCGGCGCAGAGAGGGGCGCGAGAGTGGTGGCGTGGGATGACTGAGGCTGCTGGGAGTGACTGCCCGGCGGCGAGTTGCTCGAGCGGTAGTTGAAGCCAGAGTGGAGATAGTGCGTACCCGGCTGAGCGACGCCAGCGGCCGCAGCCTGCTTGGGGTTCTCGTAAATGGTCGACTGGAGCTGCTCAAGAACCTGGTCCACGTCGATGAGGTCGCTCTTGGTCCTGAGATTGGGCATGCTCGGCATGGGAAGCGAGTACTGGTGCGAGGGAGTCGGCCCGTGGCCGGTGGGAGAAACCATGGCGGGCTGCGCGTGGTACTCGGGGCCGCCGTAGCCCGCGAGGAGCGGGAGCTGGCCCTGGATGCCCATGAGGCGCTGGCCAACATCGTAGTAGGTCGTGGGGTCGATCTCGCGGCGCTTGACGCTGCCGAAGAATTCGTTCAGAGCGTCAAAGGTCGCCTTCTTGCGGATTTCGTAGTCGCTCTGGATGTTCTGGTGGTTGACGGCATAATAGACCGGGCCATAGGCCGAGTTGGTCTGCGAGTTGCCGTAGAAGGCGCCGCCAGCGGCGGTGCCGGGGTGGCCATAGGCAGAGTTGCCACCCATGCCATCCTGGTAGAAGCCGCTCGCTGCTCCAGCAAGCGCCTGCAAGTCAGCGACATCTGCCAGACGTATTAGAACCAAGAAACGGAGGGAAAGGGGTCACGGTGCTGCTGGAACATCGCTGCGAGAGATGAACTTACGCTTTCCGGCCTGGCCGGGGTAGCCGCCGCCGCCGTTTCCGTGAGGGTTGCCGCGGTTGGGCTCGGGCGAGCGCAGGAGGACCGAGTCGTCGGCGTGCGTCTTCACGTGCTTCTTCAGATCCTGGGGACGCTTGAAGGCCTTGCCGCAGAAGTCGCACTTGTGCGGCTTCAGCGGGACGTGGACGCGGATGTGCGAGGTGATGTGGTCACGCTTGACGGTCGTGGTGCGGCAGTTGCCCCACTGGCAGGTCAAGTTGAGGTTGTTGGTGCTCTTGCGCCCAACGTGACGCTCGCAAACATGGTCCTGCGACGTGTTAGCTCGGTGGGCGTTGGGGCGCAGGCGGGGTGCGCACGTAGAGGAGCTCCGCGGTGCTGAGGCGTTCGCCGCAGTTCTGCCACTGGCAGGTCAGCGAGTCGCCGCCGCCGGTGGTGGGCGTCGCGGGCGCCTGGGGCTGGACGGGCGTCTGTGCCTGGGCGACGGGCTGCTGGGGCTGCTGCTGGGGGGTGCTCGCCGACTGCGCGGGCGCCTGAGCGGGCGCGGCAGAGGGATTCTCAGCGATGGCCGACATGGCCAAGAACGGTGGTGGTGTTGAGTGGTCGTCGAGTCTTGGCTTGGCGGAAGCACAGAGCGCGTGGGTTGAGCGCTGGGGGAAAAAAGGGCAAAGAGGGGCAGGCGCGGCTGGCGGGAACTTGGAAGAGATGCTAAGGCGGGCGCTCGTCGCGCTCTTGGGCACAGCGGAAATCTGGGAGTTAAGAGTCTCGTGCCGTCGCACGCCGGGCTTGGGAGAGGAGGACTGAGGGCTGGGGCGTGCGGGCGTTTTGAGATTTCTAGGCGTGCCGGGTCAGGCGGGGAGGACTTGGTCCGCTGCTTCTCGGCACAGCTGGGGGCGTTGGCGCAGCGTCGGACCAAGCAGCCCTGCTGGAGCAGGCGCCGGCTAATTATCCATTCGGGCGCCGACGGGCAGCACAGCCCCCTTCTGCGCGCGTTGCGTCGCTTTGCATTACGAGAAGTGGCCGCACCCATGCACCCGTGGGCGCCATGGCTCTTGGCATTCTTGCAACTTGCCTAGCGCGTCGCTCCGCCGGCACGTCGCAGCCTGCATCGCGCCCATTCGCCCACGCGCCCCGTATCAGCTCAAGTCTGTCAGCCCTCACGCCCGCGACTCCATCCCGGCCCCGCGGCCGCCCTCGCCAGCGCCCTGCCAGCGCCCTGCCAGCGCCGTGCCAGCGCCCTCACCGCGCCCGTCGTGCAAGTCAGGTCGGCCGCGCCCGCCGCGACTCAGCGCCTGCAGCCCCAGAACGTGCTCACAAGCGCCCTGCGTCAGCCGTCAGCCGGCTTGTCGCACCACTGCCAGAGTGCTTGTCCCGGCTCGCCCAGCCATTCTGCGGCCCTTGGCGGCGCCAGAGGCAGCTCCAAGACTCGCGGGCGAAGCGGAGCACCGGCCACTGAGCGCAATTACTTGGCCGCTGAGCGCGGAACGCTTGACGTCTTCGCGCCGTCTCGAATATCGCGCAGCCGCTCTTGGCCCAGCGGCCTCCCCCGAGGCCAAATACCAGGGCTCTCCGGCTCCAGCACCTAGCAAGAAGGAGCCCCGGCCGTCCGAGCAGGCCCTCATCTCCCCTTCGTTTACGGCAAGATTGTCCCGCGCTCGTGGCGGGGCCTCAGACGCACTCCTCACGCGTCCTCCATCCCTTTGCCTCCGCGTGCATCCAGCCCTCCACCGTCTTTGTCCAACCTGGAGGAATGCAGAGCATGCAGAGCGCCCTGCATGGCGCCATTTGCCGGATCCACGGCATCGCCTGGCTCCGTCCGCGTGCTGCCCACCTAAGACTGCCTGCCACGCCACGCCACCAGCCAGCCCGATGACTGAGATGGGCGCCCGCAGTAACCGGGCGCCGCTATTGTTGTTTTGCGCGTAGTCAGCACCGGCTGTGCCGTCCTGATCCTGCCCAGCAGCAGCCCAAGCTATAGCGCCAACGCCCTCCGCCGCCGTTGTGTTTGGCGACTATGCCAATCATCATCAGCACCGCCCCTCTCCGGACTGCCGGCCATCCGTAACCAGGGATCTCGGAGCCGGCTCTGCTGATGAGCTGCTTGTCCGCCATCAGCTTGGCACTCCGCGCACCAGCAATAATCGATGCCGATTCACAGTGACCAAGTTCCAGACGGCCTTGGAAGCTGCACTGCGCCTCTGTCACGTACCAAATCTCATGTTG